ACTGTTTTTTTTTAGACTGTGACATTTGAGTGTTATAGGCCACCCAGATGTACGAACATCACAGCTTTAAAAATAACATAAAACTCAAAATAAGTCGTAAAGACCCGTCTCGAGAGGGGAATGTTTATGCCTTACGTATGTAAGCACGTACGGGTTGGTTTTGTATGCTAAATATTTCCTTTGTTTATTATATTTTATTACAAATACATACGAACTTTTTAGTAAATGTCGCAGCGTAAATATTATCTTTACTGAATTTATCAAAATTAACTCAACCATAGAATAGAATAGAAAATCCTTTATTCAAATAAACTTAGTTTAAGCACTTTTGAATGGTCATAACATTTTTTTCAGCTGTTCATTTGGAAAGCTGTCTCATCACAAGAAGAACGAGCAAGAAACTTGTGTATTGCTCTTTTAAATAATCGTTGTAAAGTGCCGTGTGATATATTCAATAGCAACTAACACTAATATAGCAGGGTAAAATATAAATATATAATAAGATTAAATCGTAGTGATTACATAGAGAGAACTACAAACATTACGCTATGTGGAAAGATCTCCTTTGAAATCAGAATACATAAGTTGTCGAGAAAATCGGGTCATATAAGAACTTTCATCGCTAAAGTCGCGTCACGTATGTACGACATTATGGAAAAACAAGTTTGCAAAAACCGGAGTAAAATACTAAGAAATGAGGTCTAGTTGACAATCTCAGAATTGTCGACTTCCCCTGCTAGATAGGGTATAGGTAGATTTCCTCTATTTTTTTATAGCATAGGAGGCAAAGGAGCTTGCGCCACATGTAGGGTTGCCAACTTTCGCAGTCCGCCAAAATTTTATGATTAAGAATTTTAACAGGGAGGTTATTAACTAAATTCATTAAATATTTTTATATTGAATTCATCTGTTTTCACTACAAAATCATAAAATATCTTACCTTATTTCTTATTTACATAAAAAATCGAAGTTTTTTAGTACTTTTATAACTCTACTTTTACTAATGAAAAACTAATTCGATTTGTTTCCTTGCTCCATCATGATGAATACGCGCTTGCATGAAGCATTATAGAATTTAATGGATAGAACAATCGTGACCACTTTTTTCAATTTAGTACAGAGATTTTGGTCTTTCTAAGAAAATGTCGGAGAAATTATTGCACACCGAGGTTGTCCATTATTACCAGAGTCTCCCGGGATCCGGGAGTGTTGACAACTAGGCACATGGCACTATGATACTCGAAAACCGCCGCGCATGATCATCCGCTACAGCATAGACAATTACAGGATGATAAACAGTTTACAAAAGCTACTGGCGGTAGTACCAAATATTTTGGCAGGCAATTTCGTAGGTACCTCTTGTTGCAATTAAAAACAATGAATTTCCACTTATGCTGGTTCCTAAATCGATAAAAAACTATTGGTGTTGTAACTAACGAACTAACTTGAAAATTGTTAATAACCATTCGATATTTAAATGCGACTAGTATTGTTTTGTCTATGACAGTCTGTATTTGAATAATCGATTGGCATGCAAATATGATAGATCGATAATAAAGATTAGAAACGACGTCATTAGTAGTCTATGCGGGCAGCGTTTCAAATTGTCGTTACATTATGGTTACACTAATCTCTGGTTAGGAACAGAGAATACCGTGGAGTGGGCATCGATTTTTACGACACATTAGAAGCATATTAGTCGCCCGTAAGCAAGCTCGTATCGATATCGAATGTATCGTAATGGATTTTTATATATTTAATAGTCTATAACACACCCGTGATAATTATTAGGTAAAAAGTATGTAGTACATAATTAATATTTTTTGTGACTTTAATGATAATAGAAATTTATATAAATTATGTAACTACCAATTAATATGAAGATATTTATATTTGAACATTATTTAGATATCAATGAACCAGTCATAAAGAACAGTAGTACGAAATCTAAGCAAATAGAATAAAATGACTGAGCTCACGTAGGTCTATTTTGTTTTTATTTAGACTTTTTCATAATACTTTTTGTCTAAAAAAAACGCTTACAAATCGAAATTTCCATAAATAACATCTCTATTTATTTCTTTGTTCTACAAATAGCCAGTGACGGCTCGTCAAAGGTCGCAACGTCAAGCGTAGCATACTAAACAAACGGTGTACGAGTGTCAACAAAAGTAACTGTTTTTATTTCTTTATTCACCCGATATTTTGCTGTCATATAGTTCAAAACAGTTAGTGAACCTTTGCGGATGACCGTACAGACAGCGACCACAGACGCAGTGACCTAACAGTTTACAATTTGAATACATATGACATGCTGACACATTTTCTTTATTTCGGAGTAAAAATCTAAATATGTTCCGCTTTGTCCAACCAGTTGACAGAATCGAACAAAAAAGGAAAGGAGCTTTTGTAATTTAAAAAGGAAATTATTTAAAAATATTGCACCATATTTTTATTTAATTCTATAATTTAATATTAACTACTGTACGTCCGGCTTTGCATGGGCGTAGGTGTATTATATATATAAACCTTTCAATAAAAGGCTAAAAACTGTAACCCTTTTGTAAACCTTTTGAAAATACAATTCGTTAAATAGATATTATATAAAGTCAGAATTAAAATAAGTATCATATTTATTATCTATATTATATTAATACGTGAAGCAAAGATTTTGCAATGTTTTTTACTAAAATTACGTAGACGGAGGTGTATGAAATTTTGCACACGTATGCTTTACATAGAGAAGGAATGCATAAAGCTAATTTTTTTTATTAAAAATTAATGTGTTTTGTACTTAAGTTATGTATACACACGCAGATATAATATTTTGTTTATTTGTTAAAATCTGTGGTCAAATTAAGAATAAACTAACATTGTTTGTCTTTATTATTTGTCTATAGTCTTACTAAATGTTAAACTAATTATGGTCGAATTTCTACCACTGGACGATCATTAGTTATTATAATTAATAGTAGTATAGTCGTACACACACGACACCGTCCTCGCCGGCGAAGACGACGACCTCAAACACACAATATCGCGCATTCAACTGGGGGCCTGGCCTGGGGGCGGGCACGCCCGTGCGCTCCACACCGGCGCCCCTCCGATCGATCCCCAGTCCAATTCAAACGGGGACCGATAGTCGAGATAGTCAAGAATACAAGGAGGTTCTTTTGAATAAACATTGACGCAAAACATACACTTGCACAGATATATAAGTACATAGATATTTTGAATTTACGTCTATGTGATAAGCAATACGTATACATTAAGTAAATACTCATAAAAACCTAATTTCACCGTGGATTAAATGTACCTGAGATGTCATTTAGCTTTATTTTATATAAAAAAATACAACAGGGGCAATCAAGCATACGGCACTATTGACATTGCAATAAATCACGAAACATTCGTTTGTTTTTTTAAACAATAATTAATTTAATGTTTATAATGATGCAACTTCACCGCCATATTAACATAATATTATAACATGCTAAAGATTTTACCAAATACCGTAAAAACCACAATTATTATTAACAACAATTTCATGTATAACCATTGTACCAATCATAGAAAGCCGAGGTGTTATTGCGAATCATAATAAAATAAACAATATCAGATTTACTATTACCATTTTAAACACGTTTATCGTTGTTTACAATTGTATATTTTATACAAACGGGAAATTTACCGTGAATACATTATTTATGTGATAATAACAGAACATTAATCATGTTATTACGGTAAATATTATTTTTATATAACGTACATATAATTGTTTCACAAAAAAAAAGTTTCTAATGAGATTCACAATTCGTACTCGTAGACTTATTCTTAAATTAGACCAATAAAACTGAAGCAGTAAAATTCATTTTGTTTGGTTTTGATTTATAATTTTGCATAATTGAAGCACAGTTTTGGTGAACCATATAACAAGTATAGTAAATCTAATATTGTTAGATAAATAATCATAGAATAATGAGTTATGATTTTCTTATTTCAAGATAAATAATGTACGTAATTTATGAGATTTGTGGAAAAAAAATAGATAAATTGTAGTAAGGAATATTTCCAACAGTAATATTATCTATTTTTTCATTTCTCAACGATCAAGTGATAGGTATTCCCAAGTTAATATTTTGTGAAATTATTTTACGAATAGATATATAAAAACACAATATGTATGTAGTATATTTACATAAATACATATATGTTTGCCTCAGAATTCAACGTGCACTTATAACAAAGAAATTCATTTCATTCCTATTAACAAACTCATATATCAACATTTTTATAGTCATAATAAAATTTAGAATTAGCGCCTGAATAAAAACTCTTAGCAAATAGACAACTATGTTAAATATTGATATAACCAAAATATTAATCACCTATAATTATAGAATGATACAATATGAGCAATAATTGCGAACGAATATGTGTTTTATTACATAATGCTCAAAATCTAAATTTCCACAAATTTGTGTATAGCAGCCATATATAATAAATGCTACCTTCCAAATGTTGATCTGTTCTTACTCTGACAATAAGGTGTTTGTTCTTGTATTAATTCTAACTTAAGATATCAACTTATAAGGGTTAGGGGCGTCTAAACAAATAGTTGGTTGCTATTTTATTTTAATATTTAGCAGATGAAATGAAAGTATATTTGACCCCGCACTAGTGTAAACTCCTTACTGATAATCAGCTAATTTGTCTATATAACATAATATAAATTCATTAATTCTTTCTATGACTACGAAAATGTTGACTTTCAGTAGAATGTTAGCACTTATATGACTTTACAAAAATAAATTAGACACTAAAATCACTAGAAAAATAAAAAAAAATTACTTACCCTTCTTCTAAAATCAATTTAATCTGTCTTTTTCACTTCCACATATTACAAATGTATATAATTCTTCAAAATTGCTTCTTTTAAAAACAAACTCGCTAAAATATATTTAATTTATAATAATAAACTTACAAATCTAGGTACTTACCAGTTCAGCAACTATTTCTTTCTTCAACTCGTTAACAGTTGGTTTTGTCGATGTTGTCTTGGCCTGGAAAAGGTGAGGTTTCATTAAATTGTCTTCTTAAATGAGGTCTGGCATACACATACCAATGCACTACAGAGAGGCGACGGGGATTGTTAATAATATGGACCAATAACCACATTGCTAAGGATGTATCATATCAGATTGACCTACACACAGTTCTCCCTGGAAACTGTTAAATTGTCATTTGCCAAGATGAGATACCCTGACCTGTCTTTATGCTCATTTTATCATCCTCCACTGGTGCACAGGTAGCGTATACCGTTAGCGCAGGTAGGTTCCATTAGCATCCATTAAAAAAATGCAGACTAGAGAAAATCAGCCTACAATATAGGGCGAAAGGGGATTGTTAGTACTATAACTGTTTACCCTATTGCTAACAATGTACCATGTCAGATTGACCTCCATGCGATTCGCCCTGGAAACCATCACGATAAATTCCTGACGAATTTGTGCCAATGTGTTAACCGACCTGACCTCATGCTCATCTTATCAACCTCCACTGGTTCCTCGCAAGTGTATACCATTAGCTCAGGTGGAAGGAACATTCCATTCTCATGCATTAAAATATATATATATCTGGAAACAGTTAATCTCTTAATTTTATATATATAAATAAACAAACAAATTAACACAAACCTGACTGGCCTTAGCAGTGTTGGAGTGTAACACCTTGTTAATATCCTTCATAGAATGTATTGAGACATCCAGTGTGGATGAGTCTAACTTTTCATTCTTAGTGTCAGGTTTTGCACCATACCTCCGTTCTAGTTGCTTTTTTGTAGATTCCGATTGCTGCGAAATAAATATTTTTTTATATTAAGGCCTTTATGACGGACTCGACTCACTGGCTTGGCGGCAAGACATTTGCGGTTGAAAGTACACAGAAATGCGCATATTCTACCGTATCGAATTGTACAAATTAATACTAGCTGCTGAATTTCAGCATTATACTACCCGCCAGAAACTAAAATACCATCCTAATCATCTGCATGAACGTCGGTCCACCACAGTGCATTTTTCGAGAAACTTTTTGTCACACATAACCACATTGTGACATAATGTTCTAGAAACCTTCAAGAAATAAATTTAATCCTTATCAAAAGGTTGGTAACGCACTTGCAATTCCCCTGGTGCTCATGGCAGCAATCACTTACCATCAGGTGAGCAGCAAGCTCGTTAATTCCCTATGCTATAGAATGAACTTTCAAACTATATAATACACAACAGTAACTCACGAAATTGTGGTGTGTAAGGTCATCCTCCCAGTTGTTGATCTGATCCGCCAGTGCAGCGAGCCTGCCGTACTTCTTTCGTCCATCAGGTTTGCTTTCTCTTACATCGCCGGTGGGCGGAGTACCTGATGTGAACTCCTGCTCAGTACGGTGAATTGGCGATGACAGATTAGGTTTATCTGAAATATGTAATTAGCAATTAACTAACAACACAGTTTTTTATTTATTACAAATAAATTAGTTCATACAAAATTTGTATGAAATCGAGACGAAAATAAACACATTTCTGATAAAAGAAATGCGTTCACAATTAGAGAAGATATACAATAACACATGTAGCTATATATATATGGCAATTGGATATGATTATATTCTTTGTGTAAACAAAAATATTTCAACAAATTTGCGTATGAAATCGTAACGAAACTAATATTTAAAATAAATCAGCTTACAATTGTAGAATATAGAGAATAACGTATTTCAATTGAATCATGTGAATGTGATTTATTACTGATTTCTAAATCAAAAGTAAGAAATTAATTTCACTTCGCTTATTTGAAAAAAGAAATAATATATTTAAAATTTTAAGGATAATTTATTATTATATATTTATTTTAAGCACTATGATTAAGATAAAATGTAAGAAATAGTTCTTATTGAGTATAGAAAAACAAAACATCACATTGAACTATGTTCAAAAGGAAAATCACATTGCTGTTTGTTAAACAGATAATAAAAAAGATAGAAAATAAATATTTTGTTTTCTCAATAGCAGTTATTTTACTCAAAGTAATATATCATATGCTAAAATGTAATATATAATTCTCTATATGACAATTAACTGTACCATGATTCAAGGGTAAATGACAAAACTATTAAATAAATAACCATAGTATAGGGAGTTTATTATCTAGTAATAGAAACAAAACTTTTTATCTTATTATCACATCCTGCCGATGAATGGGCCATAACTTTCATTAATCAATTCAGGAAATATGACTAACAATTGATTCATATTTCCTGTAATTGATATATTTTTTGGATGTAAAAGTGAATATGTTTGTACAACAAAAGATGACATGATGGTGAGCTATTGCAGAATTTGGGGATTGTTTGCGACTTTGAAATAGATTTATAGACCCTAATAAATTAGTGCTGGTTGATAGTTTGTATTCACATGTTTCGACTTTTAAATGTGAACTTACAAGGATTATTTAAAATAGCAACAGGTTTCTTGCTCATTCTTCTTGTGATGAGCCCAGATTTCCGAATGAGCGGTAGATAAAAAAAATTGTTGACTATTCAAAAGGGCTTAAATTATGTTCATCTGAATAAATGATTTTTTATTCTATTCTATTCTATTTTTGGTACATTTTTAACGAGGAAATCTCATATAGAATTAAAAAATATAAAACCAAACTTGGCAGACATCGGAATAAAGTTCAACTGACACTGCCTGATTATATGACACATTTTATTATGATATGTAACATACGTTTATGATATGACAAATACCAGACTTCAATAACATGGCATAAGCTGGAATATATGAGGCTGGATTCTCAATAGAGAATCACCTCTCACAAGATGTTACAATGGTCAACTAATATGCTTGTAAACTGGAAGAAATCAGTCTGCCAAATTACATAATGGATGATATAAAATGAAAACCATAAAATATTTTGTATATTTTATGCGATTTTTTTTACAATATTGTTTTGAGTTAATCTCTCTGCTTCTCATGCATATAAACGTAACTTTGTGCTTGTGTAAGTAAAGCTTTTGATATTCACTTACAGAAGCACAAAGTTATGTTTACCATTGCCAGTTACAGTACATAGTAAGTTACCTGAATACAGATTTCCTAGTCTGTCCAGTCTTGATTTTATATCATGCCTCAGTCCAGCGCGCTCCTTGTGGTCGCCAACGTCGATCTGCTTCTCCATCTCGTTAGATGTGTCGTCTGAAATTCAAAATAATATATGGTATCACCAGCCTTATTAAATTAGTTATCTGCAAGTGAAAATACCATCAAAATAGGTTTAACCGTCAGATATTAGCAAGAACAGACAGACAATATTTTTTTTTCTTTTATGTATATATTTTCAATATTAGGGACATTGTCTGTAGAAATTTTCATTCCATATTTCATAAAACTTTATATCAAATTTAATTAAGGTCTGTTTAAGAACCTGAAGGGGAGGATAAATACGGAAATACAGTCCAACATACAAGACACACACTTTCACATTTATAATATTTTAAATATCTTAAATTTATAATATCATCCTTATATATTGATATGTGAAGCAAAAACTGCATCCCTTTTTCGAAAACTGAGCAGAGAGTATACATTGAGATACACACACTTATATAGAGAAGTGCAGAATCCTAATATTTTTTACATTATGCCTAAAAATACATTAAACATTTTTTTATTCTGTAATTAGTACAATGAAGAGTATAAATAAAAACAAAATAATAATCAATATTTTTTTTATATATTTAACTTTAATGCACAAAAACAATGTGTACATATGGCAGACTTAATACCTTGCAGGGTTATCTACCAGTCAACCATGAGTGGTGCAGAGAAAGATTGACATTATACACACTACCATATATTTGCCACATACATGCATATAAATATACTGTTTTGTTTATCTGTGCAACACTAGTACATGTGATTATAGAAGTATAGTCTTTGAAATAGAGTCTTAATAATGTTCAAACTTAATTTAAATTAATTATGATTGAATTTTGACCAGTAGCCCACCAGTGGTATTAGTAGTGTGGTTTCATCTGTATTAAATTTCAATATAAAATATAGCCTATGTATAATATTATTCTGATACATAAGCTATATTATTGTAAAGTTTCATCAAAATCCATTCAGCAGTTTTTGCATGAAAGGGTAACAAACATCCATACTTACAAACTTTCACATTTATAATATTATTAAGATCAAACATACCTCAGAGACGAGAAGTTGCTACTTTACATATAGTCACTTTGACATTTTAACACACAAATGAAGGTCAAGAGGAGTTCCTCACTACTGTAAATACATACACAAACTAACAATTTATTGATGTTTACTAATATTATTTTGCAAATAGTCAAATACCTCACAAGTAATTAGCAGAACTTATATCTAATAGTGTAATTAGTCACTATTCTAAGTAATTAAGACAATGCATCTTTATAGAGAAGTGACTACTAAGTTATAATGACCCTTTTGTATTGATTTCAATTAATTATGTAGTAATTATGAAATGTATATTTATTTTTCCTGGTCATCACCAATAATTTGAAATATAGTTTAGTGTTTAAAACTGATAATTAATATGAAAGACATATTGCCATGTTGAAGTCAAATATATCCAATAAAATGTAGGTATATGAAAAGATTTTTAATTGTTTAGGTCATCTTACTAATATTATAAATAGAAAAGATTATAAGTATGGATGGATGTTTGTTACTCTTTCAGACAATAATCACTGAACATATTTTGATGAAACTTTACAGTTATAAAGCTTATGTATCAGAATAACACATAGGCTATAGTTTAAAAAGATATTATGTAAATTGGGTTAAATATAATGATAAATGTCAATCAAGTGTGCAGTCGAAGGTCAGCTAGTATGACATATTCAATTTCATCATATCCTATTGAACTCACCTTCAATTTCCTTTATGATCACATTCTCTCCAACACTTTCTGGATTGTACACTATACTGATTGGAGCATCTCGTTCCTCAACTTGAACCTCAATCTGTATATCATTTCTATGTCCAATGTTGATCTCCACTGATACATCAGAGTTTCGTCGCGTGACACTACTTCTAGGACTCCTAAATTCCTTTTTTGTCACTACCACGTTGTTGCGTGACTTCTGAGGCGTTGAAACAGCTAATTGGTCCTTCAAACTTGTTCTTTTTGCCTTTGCAGCCGATTCTGAAGACTTTCTTGGCGAAACAATAGATTCTTTGGCGGTTTTCGCCGGTGACTTCGCAGGTGAGTTGTCCTTTTTCAAATTATCAATATTTTCAGTCAATGGTTTTCGTTTCGGCACAACTTGGCCAGAACTTGCTAGTTTTTTGTCAATTTTCTCTTGCCTTGCTCTTGCACGCTCTAACATACGCTGGAAATAAATATTAAGTATGTACAAACTGTGATTTAAATTCTTATTTCCAAGGCCTAGGCATTTCAAGTCCTAATACGCACCTGAGTAAAGGGATCCATTGTCGAAATAGAACAACACAATGATAACAAACAGTTAAAATAATAACATAACTCTGCACAGAACTTATTATAATTTTCACAACGAACAATTCTATTTAATTATCAAACTAATACCCTATAACAACAAACATCCGTTGAAATGAAATTGAAAGTTTGACAGTAAACCGAAATATTTAAATTATAGTTCCTAGAGTAAACCAGTAGGTGGCGTGTGGCTTTCGTTCGGAAACTAATGATCAATAATTTTTTCGTATTACTAAATTTATCAAAAAGTAAACATTATCGCAACAAAATAAAAAGAATATATTTATAATCTTAATATTAATACAATGTATTCATAATTAAATTATAATAATTTAATATGTAATGGTAAGACCATTTTATATTATATTATTAAATAATTATAAGCACAATGTTTCATGAAATTAAATTTTACCTATTATGAATATTATTCACAATAATATATTGTTTTTTTTAATAGTTTATAATGAAAGCGTAATAAGATACAGAAGAATAGGATACAGAATACTCAATCAGAAATATATATGCGTTTTAAAACGGCCAATATAAAACACCTGCTGACCTCGTTCTGACGTTACTCGCTAGGTGGCGCTACTGTGGTATATTTACTTTACTCTTTGCGTAACTAGTTGTCAGAATAGAATTGTAAACTGAATATTGGGAAAAATATTTACTTAAAAATGACAATAAAAATGCGTCTTAACGCAAGACACTTATTTCTCAAATGGTATATTGTTTATGGTCATGATCATAGCAATAAAATGGATAACTCAGTTCCTTCAAACGTACTAAGGCGGCAACAACATAATTAAATATCCTCTCTGACATAAGCGCAAACCGCAGCCCACGGAATAAAAGTATGTAACCATTTATATCCAGGGTACTTATTATATATAGGTAAGAAATTTCATCGAGAGAAGATATTTATTGTTTCCTAATAAAGAGTTAATCCTTCACTGGCTCAAGGTGATAATAGACTGCTAAGGTTCGAGTGTATTGATTACTACCTATTGATGTTCTTGTAAAAACTAAAATTGAATAAGAGAGGTGCTGATGTAGATTTTCTCCGTTTTCTTTTCTACAAAATTCTCTCAGGAATGGATTCTCCAGCAATGGTTGTTGCTATCACACACATTGGGGTAAAATTCTGCTTTTATATTTCGCTGTCATGGTGACAGAAGGATAGTGGCAGATAAGTATGGGAATCGTAAAAGAGATAGCAGGGAAGAGGATGGGCTTCTGGAAACTCCAGTGGGATACGCAATAACACTCGTCTTTGTAGGTGTGTTATCTATGGGTCTTAGAAATCCATATTGGTCAAACAGCTTGCTCTACTAGTTTGAAAGATAAACTATATAAGTAATTCTTTTACGTAATAAAATCTCCCTTATAAACTATTAGAGACATGCTCTCACAGGGGTAGTGCCGTGGGATAAAACTAGTAATAATAATAATAATACTCATAGACAATTCACACAACGTCAACTAGTTCCAAGGTTAGCAGAACTTGTATTATGGGTACAAGACAATTGATATAAATACGTAGATTTTGTTATTGTAAACACATACATAATATACATAGAAAACATCCAGAAAGATACAAATAATCATACTCATGAATACAAATGTTTGTACCGTGCGAGCAATCGAACCCGCGACCATTAGGCGGTGTGCACCTAAACCGCTAAACCACTGAGGTTGTCAAACTATGTTCAACAAGACCCGTGACACGAGGCCGTGACAATACATTCAATCTGAAGTTTAATTGAATGAGTTGTTTATCACCTCATAAAATAGTATGTCCTTAGCTATTTACTTGCTATGTAGTATGTACCTATTTATTATAAAGGACCTACTTAGGTACTTTATTATTACAAATTGCGTACTATAATTTATTATCTAGTGTTGGTAACACTCAGCGTGGAAAAATCCATTTTGTATAGATAGTCATAATATTAGTTTATAATCTAACAAGATATTAACCGCGGAGTAGTATCTACCCATAATAAATCATCTAATATGTACCTATATAAAATTAACGTGTCAGTGTTTGTAACCAAACTGCACCGAAACGGCTTGACAGATTCTTATGAAATTTTATATGTATATTCAGGAGTTTTGAGAATAGGACGTAAACTATTTTTCATACTCCGAGGTATTTTTTTGGACATTTTTTATGATTCTAAATTTTCGCGGGTCTACCGTCGACCCCTATTTTTTATCAGCGATATTAATACTTTAATTTATATCGCAAAACAACGTTTGTAGGGTGAGCTGGTAAATAAATAATAATTGTTATTAAATTGAAATTGAACTTTTTAATAGAATGTTAGTAAGTAGCTTTATAATAAAAGAGATTTTTTAATAATAATATAATGGAATATAGTCCCTAGATGTCTATACATATATATAAAATTGGAGTGTTTGTTAGTAATATTGAAATAACCGATTTTACTACATGCATATGAGTATAACTATACCGTAGTTATACTACATATACTACATACACCAAAATATCATTTTTTACAATTTTTGTCTGTCTGTTTATTCCGGCTAATCTCTGAAATGGCTGGACCGATTTTGACGACACTTTTATTGGCAGCTAGCTGGTGTAATAAGGAGTAACTTAGGCTACTTTTATTTTAGAAACATTATTTTATTTTAGAAAAATAAAGTTAAATTCCACGCAGACGAAGTCGCGTGTACACCTAGTACCAAATATAAACGATAGTTTCAATCATGAATACCAATATTGCAGGAATCGATCCGGACCATTTAAAAGGTCATCGGAGTTGAATTTTTTGCCAGTTCTTCTCAATTAAATCTATATGTACATTAAACTGTAAAAGTAAGAAAAAAATAGTAAGAGAATAAGTTCATAAGCAACTAAAATGTCGTACATAAAAAAATCGTTAAAAACAACAACCGTAACAGCTTGTAACTGACTTGTGTTGGACATTGAAAAGAAAAATAAAAGTTTGGTGTACCTACATGTTAAAGAAGCCCAAAAGGACATGTATCCCGAGCTGTAAAACATCTTATTAACATTATAAACGCGAAAGTTTATATGCATGCATATTTGTTACTCTATCACGCAAAAACTACTGAACGGATATGATATGAAACTATACAGTAATATAGCTTATACAACAGAATAATAAATACTATAAATTTCACGCGGGTAAGCATAGTAAGTAATAAATAAATAAAAGTAACAGCTGTCGCATCAATAGAACTAAGAGTTTAATGTACTTGTTAAAGTACATGTATTTAGACTCAAATGGATATCTATCCGGAGCCGTAAAACATATTAACATAATAAATAAAAAGAAGTGCTAACCGTCGCGTGCCTATAGATACGGTATATGACCTATGTAAATACATCACGATTACTTTATGCTATTGAGTGTACCAACTACCAGTAAACGAGTGACCATAGTTGGTGGTGTGAGTACTTACGACATCTGCGACAGACTGGTTCTCAGTATTCACTCAGCATCCTGCATTAAGTCTTGTGTTCGGTTTTGTGCAGAGATAAATAATAATGGGTATGTTGATATATTTATTTCATAGTATTTAGATAACTCATAAATATATATAAATTAAATGTAATGAATTTTATATATTTATTATTATTATATTCTTTATTGCACTTAAATACATTTGTAAGTATGTTAATCTATACATATAAATAAACTTGGAGTGTCTGTTTGTAATATTGAAGTAACCGTTTTTTACTACATGCATATGAATATAAATACGGTACATACGTCAAAATAACATTTTTTACAATATTTGTCTGTCTGTTTGTTCTGGCTAATCTCTGAAATGGCTGGACCAATTTTGACGGGATTTTTATTGATTTATTATTTTGGAAAAATTCTTTTATTTTAGAAAAATAAACTTAAATTCCGCTGTAAAATCCGTTGCGTAGTTTTAAAGATTTAAGCATACATAGGGACGGACAGACAGCGACTTTGTTTTATACTTTGTAATAAAGTATAGATTTAAACATGTTAAGTTATTGAAATAACATAGTAAATAACAAGCGTTATTATTTATCAAATGTTTTCCTTGTTATTATAACTTATATATACTTATACTATATATAGGTACCTACTTTTACGATTACAGAATAATACCATCCTTACTAATATTATAAATGCGAAAGCAACTCTGTCTGTCTGTCTGTCTCGCTTTCACGCTGAAACCACTGAACCGATTTAAATGAAATTTTGTACACAGATAGTCTAGACGCTGACAAAGGACATAGGCTACTTTTTAATGCAAAACTAGATTGCAAGGGGTTGAAAGGTTATATGGAAGTATCGTCATTTTACGCGGACGAAGTCGCGGCGCAGCTAGTATAAAAATATGTTGATATATTTTCTTCTTTTATACTCAACACAATTACATTTATTATGTTAAATACAATTCATTTCGACAGTAATTTAACTGCCATTTGTTCCATAATATACATATAAAACACCCAGATCATTAAAAACAATCATACAAATGCTATGCCTGCGGGTAACGCTATACGCTGGTGGAGCATCAGTGGAAGATGATAAGATGAGTATAAGGTCAGGTCAGTTAGTCCATCGTGGCAAATTCACCACGAATTTAACATAATGGGTTCCAGGGGGAACCGTGTGGAGGTCAACCTGACATGGCACATTGCTAGCAATGGGGTTATTGATACACATTACTAACAATCCCCATCCCCCCATCATACAAATGTTTATACTGTGCGAGGAATTGAATCCGCGACTATCGAGAGTAAAGCACTGCTAAAACGCTAACCCACTGAAGTTGGCTGTCGATATGAAATAAAAAAATATCTGTTTAAATTAAAACATATAAAAATATTTTGATAACAAAAAAAATCATTTAATCAGTAAGCATAACTTGATTATAATGTACATATTTATTCGCACATAAGAAGACTCGATGTATATTCTTGTTGTCAAGCAATTTGCATCGATGTAATCTTAAACTTGTTTTTAAATAGGTAAATACTTAAAATTTGAGAGTTTCTTTAGTTCAGTCAATCCTATCCACTCAAGATGCAGTGGATGAGGTATTTAACGATTGCTATTTGTCGGTCATTGTTCTGTTAAGTCCACTTTAATCAGACCTACTCTGTGCAAGTAAACTACACACACGTGCGTCAACTAGTTTTTTTTCTTCGAGTATATTTGCGATCAGTCCTAAGACTATGAGCGAATCTGTTCTGTGATGCTGTCATATAGAGTGGCTTACCATTGGAAACCTTTATTTTCGGATTACTCTAATGCTGTTGGCCGCAGCTGGCCTTTACAGCTTCACCGGACGATAAGGGTGAGTGCAGATGACACTCCAAACCAAAAGAAGGGCTTTTGGAGCGGCTGAAGGCCAACTCCCGCCTGACGGATACGACTTTAGTCTGAGGGCACTGCTAGAGGTTCGAAGCTCGGCTTAGGCCATTGTAATTTCGATCCCGTTTGAATCGGACGAGGGATCGAACGGAGGGGAGAAACTTCTACTCATTTGCATCCTAGACCTACTATCGGTCTTCTAGCTCCAGGACTTGTGTAAATTGTGAATGGATTTGGTCACAATTTATTTTATACAGCAACCATACGCTAGTGAACACTAACGATAGTGAAAATAATATATAACTTACTAATAATATAAACGCGAAAGTTGTGAGTATGGATGGATGGATGTTTGTTACTCTTTCACGCAAAAACTACTGTACGAATAATGGTTGAAAGGGGAGATGGAAGGTTACATGGAAGTATCGACGTATTACGCGGACGAAGTCGCGGGCACATCTAGTAGTAATATAGAAATATCACAAACACCGAATATAGGTACATATGTATATAAAAGTCTATATATAATATACTATTACAGTCAAATTGATAACCTCTGAGACTCAATTATTTACTGCAATTGCAAACAAGTTTCAGTATTAAAATCTAGGTCCATTTTATAACTAGATTTGCTGAGCTAATTTCTACAACTGACCTTGTAACTCTATATCTTCTTGTTCTTATTCGACACGAGTAATTATCTCATAAATATAAACTTTGAAATAATAATAATAATAATAATAACCCTGAACCCCGGCCGACTGTGATTCTGCCGGGGGTATGTTGCCATCTCCTCTCCTTAAGAGGGGAGATGAGAATTTTTGGGAAAAAAAAAATAATAATAGAAATCGATGAAAATGATATAACACCAATCACACCAGGCACACAATAAGTACACACACACTCACATATACATACACGCGCACACACACATACACATACTCTGCACTTACTTGGTTTCGGCCCGTAAGTGTGGAAAAATCCAGCAATAGCTGAGAAAAAATAAAGAATAACAATAATAATAATAATAATAATAATAATAATCTCAGGACAGGAAATACTTGCTAACAATTACTTTACGAGGCAGACGATCGATATTAATTCTAATCGTCCTTTTTATGAATATCATGATGTTGTAGTAAGTTTTTTTTTTCTTTGGTAAACGGAAGGCGAACATTATTCAATTTGAACTTGTGACTACAGGTACAAATTGAAAAACTCCTTTAGGTTTTAATTGTCCATTTAACGTGGGTATGTAACATAACTACCAATAGGACTACAACATTAATCAAAAATGTTTCTAAACGGGGATTTTTTTTCTTTTTTTTACTGCGCTTACGCCGCACTTTCAATCTTGTCTCTCTTTTATATGACGCAGCCAATGTTGCGGGGTCCACTAGTTATATTTAAATTGCAATCTTTTTACCTTGTGTGGTACATATGCTAATAGTAATTGAGCAACGTCCGATCGTGAATAAGGTCAGATTAATCGGTCATTGATAAACCCGTTCTTGAATACTGTAAGTAGTCTATATACATAAACTGGCTGACCAGCTCAACTTAGTCTGCGCCATTTTGACAGGTTTTTACAATACTCTTCATATATTCTAAAATAATTGACGGCCTCGGTGGTCTATCGGTTTAGCATACCTTCTTAATTCCGATGATCGCAGGTTCAATTCCTCGCACGGCACAAACATTTGTATTCTTGAGTATGATTGTTTGTATCGGGCTGGGTGTTTTCTATCTATAATATGTATGTATTTACGAAAAAAAATACTATGTATTTATTTCAGTTATCTAGTACCCATAATACAAGCTTTATCTAGCTTAACTTGGAAGTAGATGGGGCTGTGTGAATTGTCTTGAGATTATTATTTAGCTTCTTAATTATTATACATAGACCTACCATTTGTGGCTGCGGTTTTACCTGCATGAAATTTATAGTCTATGCGTTATTCTGATGCATAAGCTATAGGTATTACTGTAAAATTTCATCACATTCCGTTCCGAAATTTAAGCGTAAGAAAAAGCATGATTTCTAATTACACATCAGTTGTCTAGTACCCATAACAGAAGCTCTGCTTAGCTTGGGACTAGATGACGCTGTGTAAATTGTCCTTTAATATTATAATTATATATATATTTTTGTTGTAGGTTCATTCGCAGTGTTGGTGACAGTCTTCGCTGTTGTAGTAATTTCAAGCACAGAAGCGGGTAAGATAATTGAGATTTCTATATCCAATAAAAATGATAATATATTTTATTGATATTAATGAGAAATTAAATACTTTAAAATGAGAATGATTATTTATCGTTAGGTACCGTTATATGAGTAAAATCTCATTTTGTTCAGAGTGATTAAAGCCAGAATGAATAAGAAGTAGGTTTGATATTCTATTTTAATTCTCTGTTAGATGAAATGTAAAATGAAATGGTAAAATTCAAAGACTTGACCTAAAGATCAAATCAAATCTTAATTAAACTTATTACCCATACAATACCATCTAGGTTTTGGGTTGACCGGAAGAGATCTTTTCTTGGCATAAGGCACAAGTTAATGGATCTCTGTATTTTTGCTGTTAAAGAATTAAAATATCTAGGAATTAAATTACAAAGTAAATTGTATCAGAATATATAAGAAAAGTGATTATTGAAAACAACAGTGTATTTATTGTGAACATTTACAAATATCATTACTCTGAATTATTTTACTGCTGTATAATATGTGCATAGATATTTGGGACCAAATGAGAAAAGATGAAAGGGATGATTGTTTGTTTGTTCGCATTGTATTAGGCTTCGAAACTACTGGACCGATTTGAAATTTTATTTTTATCATTATGTAAATATATTATATTATTTGATAATTAGATTAATACATTATGAAATAATCTAATAAAATAAAAAAAACATTTAAATAATAATATTGAAACTTTCATAATATAACTAAGCTATACTATACTAACTATACTATAACACATAATGTACTCTCAAAACGAAAAAAGGTTCTATATGTGTGTTATAATATATAATTTTAAAATATGTCTTTAAATACTTGTATGAAAGTGGACCGCTAGTTACAAAATCTAAATGTATTCGTCAGTTTGTGTCTCATATAGTACACCGATATCAGTAGTTTTAAAGTTTGTTCCTAGATGGCGTTACTCAATAAGTCAAGGATGTTAAGAATATTCTCCGCTAGACAAATGTCTAAGGTTTACTTTCTAATATGTCCTCCAGCTGGGAATTGCCCCTTGCCGTCCAAGGTGTACGGCTGCAGCCCCAAGTGCGTCCAGGACTACGAGTGCACCAACGGGAAGGTGTGCTGTCCCAACGCATGCAACTCCAAATCCTGCGCCGAGTCTGCTGCCAACGGTAGTGGAACCGGCTCCAGCAGCAAATACTGTAAGTGTTATTAATGAGCCTTGTCACTCAGTAGAGCCTTGTCAGATTTATTACAATTATTTATCCCCCCCCCCCCCCCCCCCCCCCCAACTCCCTTGTCAGCAAATGTAAGCTAAGTTACGTAAACATTTTTCAATTAATGTATTGTTTTTTTAGCAAAGACAATGTGAGGGTTGACATTCGTGTAAAAAAGTAAATAATTACCGATGACGTTATCATCATCTAGACTCCCCTACACCCCATGTCATCCAAAATAAGTAACGTAAAGACCCCCCTGCCCCCATAGTACTTACGTAATACTTGAACGGCCCCTTACCCTGAGTTTACCCAAAGGTCGTAAATTGTATCCGAAATTAAAAATCATTCCTATAAAAATGTATATTTCTGAATTCTGAGTGAATACACGGTAATGTAAACACATAAGTAATCTGAGAGACGACTGTAGACTAGTCATGTTTGTATGACTAGACTACTTATTTGACGGACTCCGTGGTCTAGCGGTTTACCATATCGCTTAACTTCCGATGTTCGTGAGTACGATTCCTCACACAGTACATACATTTGTATTCATTATGATTCATTTACAAAAAAAAAACTGAGTATTTATATCAGTTGTCTATTACCCCTAACAAAAGTTCTGCTTACCTAGGGACTATATAGCGTTGTGTGAATTGTCCAGAGATATTATTATATATTAGCGACTGGCGAGGCACCAGTGGAGGATGATAGGATGTGCATATGAAGTCAGGTCAGTTAGCCAAACTTGATGAATTCGAATTGTAAACGACGTATATTTTTATAGATATTTAGTGACAGCTTTATCCACAAGCAATTATTGCTCTACACAGGGGCGGATCGTGACTTAGTGGGGCCCTGGGCTAAATCTACTTAGGGGCTTACCTAATTATATTACTCAACTAAAAAAAATACACCGACCAAAAACAAGCGACCAGAAATGAAACCTTATAGGTTTAACATTCTAGATATTTTTTTATATTCTAAATATCGTTTCACTTGGAACTGAGCCCTGGGCTGCAGCCCAAAAAGCCCTGAGGTAGATCCGCCCCTGGCTCTACAGCTTACCAACGAATTGGTCTGAAATTTGACGAGTCATTGATAGTATAATAAATGTACTTATTTTTAATAAATTTATAAAAACTTAAGCATCAAATCAATAAATAGAGCTATGCTTCATTTTCAGGTATTTAGGATCACTCGTTTAAAATCTAAAGTATTATTTTTTCCCTTTTTTTAAAATCCTTTTTTTTAATTACAGCTGGCGGCACCGGCGTGTATTGTGACAATGTGAAGTGCAGTTCTCAAGAGATATGTAAGCGAGACCCGGTCACCAAGCGGAATAAGTGCAGCCGCGCCTAATTACTCCATTAATCTATTTACTCTGATAGCTATATAACTACAATATTATAATAAATATAAGTATAAATAATGTAATAATATTTTTTAAAATTAAATGCGTCATTATCATAAAATATATTTATCAAATGTAATTCTTGGATTTGCTACGTAAATTAGTGTACCCATCGGTTGTTACTTTGTACCCATTTTTACGAAAATTGAATCTCGCACACTTATACTTTATATAGAGAAGGAATGCAAAATGCTAAAATATAAAAAAAACTATGCATGAAAAATACTCTACAAAAACACACACTACTACGTATTTGACACACATACACGCACTTTTGTTTATTATTGAAGTATGTGGCCAAATTGAGAATAGTTATATAAGAAGAAGAAGAAGAATTACATAATATTGTTATTAATTATGGACCACTAGTGGAGCATTCATATATATGTATGATAACCCATTACAATACATGTAAGATGTACTACATGTATAATTTTCAAGCAATTCACTTACAAAAAGCACATAGCAAAATTACAAATCTACAATTATAAGAAATTTTAATTTTTAGGCGTTACTTATTGCTAATAACCTAGTACAATATTATGTTATCTGTGCTAGTACTAATATCGATCAACCAGTTAATGTAGTACTATGCTTATAACAATAAAATGTTCTTAGCTAGATACCACATATTCTACATTCTATATTATAACTATATAAAATGTACAATATCTGTCAACTGACAGAAATTCAAATTTAAATGACAAAAAAAGGAAGCATGAATCCCTGATAGTAAGTAGCAACCAACGCCTATAAATATAAATACACATATGAACAGGACATCACGTTATAATAGGTACATCCCCGTATTACCACTCATATATAGATATTCTAGAAGACCCTATGATGTCAAGGCGCCGTTTCTTGTACTTTCACTGCCATATCTAACTGAAAAATATAACGTTGAAAGCAATGTGTTTGGCAGCGTCACATTTGACTTTAGAACCTATTGGAAATGCTATTACTATAAGAGCACACTGTACGTCTCCCTGTACGGCATTGAGCCCTATACGTAAGCATGTTTACCATTATCATGCTAGCGCGTTGGCCCTACATATTTATTATATTGGCCATACCGTACACAGTGTACATTGAGGTTTCTTGATATATTACATAAAAGAAAGGTCATTTTTAATTAAATTCATAAATTATCTATTTTCCACTAGGAAATTTTGAATATAGCCCATATATAAATTATAAATACACGTAAATTATATGTACAATCAATGTTAGTGGAAAATGGAGCAATAACATATATATAAAATTACTCATTGGTGACACATAAAGTATCGAATAAAAGTTCTATAGGGACCTACCGACTGAATCACATAGTTCGTCGTAGTCACAGACTGCTTCGAGTTTCTCGGATTTGTCAAATCGAAACGAAGTAATTCATCACCTAATGTAATGGTTGAACTAATTATTGCCATTATTAATAGGTATATTATTAACTAACTGTAATGGCATCGACTGAAATAAAAATATTTTTCTAAAAGAACCCTTATTACATATACCTGTAGATAAAAGTGGACACCGTCAAAATCGATTCAGCCATTTCAGAGATTAGACGAAACAAACAGACAGACAGACAAAAATTGTAAAAAATATTATTTTGGTGTATGTATGTATGTATACACCAAAACAATGTTTGCACCGTGCGAGGAATCGAACCCGCGACCATTGGAAGTAAAGCGGTGTGCTAAACTAGCCACTCGTATCCTTGTTGGCGATTAAAAAATCTGTGTAAAAATGTCTCTTAATGGATTCTGGAGGATATCAAAACATCTTCCAGGCAGATGAATCAAATATCCACGTGTAATTTATAGTCAACCAACCGTATATACTTATAAGTAGGTTTAGAATAATGGAATAAAGGATTTTATCATTGGTTTAGTCACAAGCGTTGACCGCGCGGCGAATCAAACAATTATGAAAGTAGGTACGTAAAACAACATAAGGAAGAAAATGAGATGGCAATGTAGTCTGAACATCAGCGAAGATTAGACGTGTCTGCAGGAAATCGAGGAAAAACATGGGTAAGTTTAACACTATTTCCTTTTCAGATATACTATTAGTTCATAACAAATATGACATTGATTTGTAGTTATTTCATAAATTAGCCTCGGTAAATTACCCTCGGATTAACACACCGCTGCACTTTACTTCTAATGATCGCGGGTTCGATTCCTTGCACGGTTTAAATATTTGTATTTATGAGAATGATGAATACAAATTATTGGTCTGAGTGGTTTCTATGTATTTACATTCTGTATTTAAAACTATCACTAAAGTTATCCTGTATGATGAAATTATAATTATATTAGCCCTGGACAATTCACACAGCACCATCTAGTTCCAAGCTTAGAAGCGCTTGTATTATAAGTACTTAACAACTGATCGTAAATAAATAAAATGTCATAAATGCATTAACAAACCAATGCAAATAATCATACTCATAAATACAATTTTTACAATGTGCGAGGAATCGAACCAACAACCATTAAGTAAAACAGTATTTTAAACCGCTAGACCACTAAGATCCTCAGTACTTATTACTGTGTCATAATGTATTTAGTAACTTGGGACCATGGAATATGATATGGATTCTTTTATCCTCAACTATAGGAATTACATTATAGCCTTCGCAAGTTCTAAACCTGTTACTTGTCGGTTCCTATTTTATTATTAGTAGTAATTAGCCATTGAAAGCAATAATTAGTATATAAAAACTAGCCAAGTCAGACCTGAGGCTACAATATATTATCCTAAGTTGTAAGAAGAAATGATATTTTATATTGTTATAAATAAATTTCAGGAGTGACCATTGAACTTGGCATCCATTTTGATCTCACTTATTTTGTCGTCGAAGTCAACAACCAATGCATATATCATAATATTGAACTTGGCTATCACTTCATATTTTTTTTTTATGGTATACATATATTACTAACTATTTATGTATATTTATCTACAATGGTGGTCTTATCACGAGGTTGCTCATCTACATGTCCGTCATTAAAAAAAAACACTAGTTATATATGTATACTTACTCGCTTTAGAATCATTCCTGGTAACTACTGGGTAGTTAGCACTAATTTTACCATTCTTGTTTATTAGTAGATGCCTAGTCTTGTGCAGTTTGCGAAAGAACTAGTTCAGAATAGCACCCAAAATAACGAATTATCGGTAATAGTTCGCATATTCCTCGCTTTTTAGTTAATTTAATAAAATAAGATATATTAGTAATATATTGCACGTAGGTACACGTGCAATATATTTATACGTAAAGTAAAAACTATGTAAAAAATGTGTTGTAAACCATAGTAACAAGTGATTATTGTTTATTTGTTTCTTTGTTATATAAGAACATATTATACTGATACCTAGGAATATTTTAAACTTATTAAAGTTTCTGGCCCATCTGAATAGAAGACACGTAGTTAGTAAAATAGTAAAATGCATTTTCTATTGCTTCGTTGGTTTAAAAACATGACATAATAAAGGCAAAAATATTTGCTGGATGGCTCACAGCCTTGCAGCAAATATTTTTGCCTTTAAAATTTCCTATTATTTATTTACTTCTTAATTATTCGCTCTCGTCTCGGGCTACAACAATGTCCCGGTTTTTTTAAGCAAATATGGTCCATTTTTTGTTGATCTGTATCTGAATCGTGACGAGAGCGAACGAACTAATAGTTCGGAGAGCAATTGCGAACTAAATTGGACGCTCCTTTCGCGAACTATTTATACGCAAGACTAATTACAACGATAATTACTACACCAGAGTATACTATACTATACTATAGATAACTATAATATATCTAACGTACTGTCTGTGTTATAATAAAGAATCTATATACATAACTTGCCTGCCGTATCTTAATTTTTAAAATGTATTTTTCAGGTTACCTTACAATAGTGCTCTGTTTTGCTATGACATTGACGGTTATCAGTGAAGCAGGTATGAAATATTTCCTCAGTTTCTTTATTATATACATAACTAGCTGACCCGGCAAACGTTATGCCATATAAATTAATCAGTTATCGATCGCCGAGAGTAAAAAACTATTAAAGTATCTATCGCTATTAGGAAATTGGGGTTGATGGTAGCAGGGTGAATTTAGGGTTGCATATATTTTTTATATGATATGCTTCTTTCTCTCTCTCTCTTTTTCAGCATATATCACAGTCCACTGCTGGACGTATGCTTAATCATAAAGTAAATAGTACAAATCTAAAAAAATAAATTTTATCACTCATCACTTATAACCTACTGAATGTACCACTAAATTTTCACGAGAATTGTTCGATTTGAAGGAATTTTGTTATAAACACTGAGACACGAGAATTTTATATATTAGAATATAACGACTTGTTTGATAAGTTACAAAACAATGTAACATTTCATTCAACATAGGTATTAATTAATGAGTACTTAATTGTACCTATTATATTTCATAATAACGGTATACTGAATGTAGTCCAATTTTAGAAATGTACCTATCATTTGATTCAGAACAATATTCATCTTACCGACAAAAAAAAATAGAAGACATTTCTACTAAAATCTCTAGACCGAACGAAACGTTGTAGAGCTTAGTGTATGTGGGAAAGAGAAGGAAGCATTATGTCGTCTCTATCACACATTGCTGGCATCATGTGGGCACTAAGCTGTGAAGTGTGAATGGCGAGAACAGTTGTGTGAGAGCCAATAATTAGGGGAACAAACAGTATATATATCTAATACTAGCTGCTCGCCTTTTTAGTTAATTTAGGTGAACAATGGAATATTAATAATATATTGCCCAAAATTGAACATCCCAATATATATAACGATCTCAGACCCATAAGTATTTTACCATTTCTCTCAAAAATTCTGGAAAGGGCATGTATATAATGATTATTGTTTATTATGTTACTGATACTAATATACTACCGTCAATCAATAAGAACAGGGGCCGTGGTACTGTTACAGCGCTGCTAGAATATTTTAGACGATATACTTGCAGAACAAGATGTTGGACGTGGTTAGTACTTGTTCTTCTCGATTCACTCGTGCATTTGGTCTTGATATCTGGTTGCATCTTTCCAAGTTGACTAAAATATTCGATGCACATGCAATCAAATGGTTTACAAGTTACTTGAGCAACATATTTTGGCAATCCGTAAAACTACGTAGACATGATGGCTCATATTATTTATCCACTCCGAAATTATAAAGCGTGGAGTTCTCAAGGATCAACAATGTCCCTTTTTTTAATATATATTGTCAGATTTAACGTTATTAAACTGATATCACTGTTACGTGACGATACAACTTATATCTCGTTAAAGCAACAAAAATTAGAGAAACATTGAAGGCCCTTAATGATTAATACGCATTGACTCAAATTAATCCGTAATTACTAAATTTATGATTCTTGGTATAAAAAACAGATTGAATATATCAAAAATAGCGATCCCGTTGTAAAAATTTTAAATACTTATATACAGGAGGTTAGTGAAGCCAGGAATCTGGGTATTGTTTTTGATTGTATCCGTTTTGAGAGCCATATACGGAATCTTGTAAAGAACTGTTTTTATAAATTGAAAGTTTTATATAAAATAAGAAATTGTGTAAATGAAAAAACGCGCATCACTCTATGCGAATCATTAATTTTATTATATATTATGGAACTTGGTGTACGGCAAACGTTATGCCATATAAATCGTATGATTCAACGTGTACAGAATGCATGCTGTAGATTCTGTTTTGATATTCCTCCGCGTACACATGTATCTCCGTTCATAAATAGGGGTTGATGCTAAATATGGAATCACGTCGAAAATTACACCTTGCATGCTTATGTTTTTAAAGCTGTCAGAGTATCTTCTCTCTCTCTTTTTCAGCATATATTCCACGACCAATATGGAGATGGTACATAGGACTCTGAGGCCACCATTAGTACAAAAACTAAAAAAATAAGGATGTTTTATCACGACCAAATGTTGGAATAATATAACCTCCAATTAGAAGTATTCCCTCGAAACTTTTTCACAAAAATTAAAAGATTTGTTGTTGAACAAAAGTCAAATGATTTGTCTTTGTAACCGTTATACAATAATGACATATATTTTTATATATTTGAATATGGTTTTGTTGCTTGATAGTGACATATATGACAATATAACATTTCATTCAACTCTTATGCAATAATTCTATTTTCTCTTTTGTTTTTCATATTTATTTTATTATATGAATTGATAATAATTTCCTATATATTTTATGCCTATATGTTATACCTATCATTTGTTTTAATATAGTTTTTTTTTTCTTTTTTAATATATTAATATTTATGATAATGTAATAGGGCTGATTACAATGTGGTCTTGTTACATGCGTCCTCGCGTATGTCCGAACGAATATCAGTGGTTTGCTTGCTTGTATGCTGCAAACAATACACTGAGGTGCTGCCTTTTTACGTATCTATGCACACACACTACGTTACTCATACCGTTTTTTGTTATCTGTATTGCATTTTATTTTATCTGTATAATTGTTGTGTATTGTATTTTGTTTGACTTCACTAATGTAATGTGTATATCTGTTTTATTTTTGTTCTTATTATTACAGTGCCTTTTGTGTGTGTGTGCCTTTAACATGAATAAAATTTTTATCTATCTATCTATGTATTATATATGTAAACCTTCCTGTTGAATCACTCTATTTATTAAAAAAACCGTTTCAAAATCCGTTGCGTAGTTTTAAAGATTTAAGCATACAAAGGGACGGATGAACAGCGACAGCGACTTTATTTTATACTACGTAATGATAATTATTAATCATCAGGTTTTGTAAATGTGTAAGTATTTCCTATTTTGTGTATTCAGCTAACAGTAGATGCCCACCACCATCCAAGGTGTACGGGTGTACACCTAAATGCCATGAGGACTACGACTGCAAGCACGGGAAGATTTGCTGTCCAAACTCTTGCAACACCAAGTCTTGCGCAGATCCATCGCCATACTCTATGAATACAGGCAAATGTACGTAAATTAAAAATAATTAAATATTTTCTACTCTAATCCGTGGTCTAACCGATGAGAAAGATCACATATTTTTTGCTTTTATTTTTAATTATTATATATAAAAATACAAATACTAAATTAATTTCTCTACTAAAATAAGTTGAAATCCACTAAATTAATTAAGTAATTGTAGCGGAATTAAACAAAATATATCCATTAAGAAGTCCATTTGACTGGACTTCCGCAAAATAACACATAATTCGATAATATATATAAAAAGGTGCAAATAATCTTGTGAATTAAATTTTATGTAACCTGCATTTAGTTGATTAATTTTTCACACTGTCTCACAAAATTTTCACCATTTACTTCAATAGATACCACTGCTGATGCCACAGGGTGGTATCTTAGCATCTGGCGGATAGACTACTCTAAAAGGGTAAAAGATTTTAATAATTAGAACATGTTGAGGAATTTGTTGATTTATTTTACGTGGTAACTTTTTAGTATATGTTAATTTATTTTACGTTCTCTTTTTTAGAACATGTTTATTTATTTTTCGTTCTATTTTTAAGAACATGTTCATTTATTTAATGTATTATATTTTTTTCATGTCAATTTATGTTTTAAAGATGGCGGTGCTGGCGTTTACTGTGACGGCGTGAAGTGCAAACCTCACGAAATTTGCAAACCTGATCGATACAGTAAGAGATTAAAATGCCAACATCCATGAAAACCCAATAATTATGTTGGACACAAAAATATCATTATGTGTCTATACAAAAATATCATTATTTACAAATGAATGCGACCTCCAAATCTATATTCCATTACATTACATTTCAGTTGAATAAACAAAAGTTCGTACGATTAGTGTTTTATTTAAGTCGAATCGAACTCCATTACTCGAACACAATTACCATACATATGTACTTCCATACTAATATTATAAATGCCAAAGTACATATGTACATCCTATACATGAACAAATCTTTATAAAATTTAACTTGAAAGTAGGCTATATCATGATGATAGACGGGAGTTACATTTTATCTTAACAAATAATCTGAAAGAGTGTGCAATGGGATAAGAAATGAAATGGTATTTATTTGGTACATGACCAGATATACATTCGCAATCACCTTAAAATAAAAATGAACAAAAACAATAAAAAATACACAAAATAAAAAAAAAAATACTAAGAATTACCTAATAAATATACATATACTTAGTACAAATATAAACAGAAAATAAAGTAAAAAACAGAAGATATTTGTGTACCATAATAATTTTGTATAAACAGTAGACAAAGTCGCGGGTGACGGTTAAGCAGAATTGTAGATTTATTAATTTAAAAAAACGGAGAACCAAAGATTTGATCTTGAAATCGTATTTTCCGCTAGATGGCAGAATTAATGACGGTAGTCTAGCGGTCTAGTATACCGCTTTACGTCCGATGGTCGCGGGTTCGATTCCTCACACGGCTCAAACATTTGTAATCATGAGTATGATTATTTGTATCGGTCTGGGTGTTTCCTACGTATAACATGTATGTTTTACAAAAAAAATCTATGTATTTGTATCAGTTGTCTAATACCCATAACACAAACTTTAGTTCGCTTAAGTTGGGTCTAGATTGCCTGATTAAAAAAAACTTAATGATGCAAAAAACTATTTTTTTTAAATCGTAGTAACCATGTACCGGCAATACCAAGCCAAAAAAATTTTAATAGAGTATATTAAAATAAAGTTTATAAATACCACAATAAATATAGTTATTTTTTTAAGGAAACAACAATATTTTCAACATTACAAGTTGGTTTTTATGTCCTATTTTGTACATGATACTGCGTAAATTGTCCCGTATTATTATAAACTTTTAGGCAGAATACCCATATAGGTACAGTATTTAAGTAGGTAAACCTTATTTTGTTCACTATGAATTACTTTCGCAATATTTCCTCGTAACTTTACTTTTTTCTCCAATTATGCTGACTGTACTGTCGCCAATAGCTAGTATAGTCAATAACTTCTCAAGCTAGTAAATAAGTAGTAAGGCTTTATTCGGCTTTAACCCTCGCCGCGTAGCAGCCGCTGCGCTGCGCCCTCCAATAAAACAAATCACGCGATAACAAAGTACCTAATTTACTCTGATTTACAATAGGTAAACAATAAGTGACCGTGTTCTTAATTTAAATTATTTTGTTTTTGAATATATTTTTAGTCTGTGTTCTTTAAGTTATGAAGAAAAAGAAAAATGGCGGGAAAATAGTTTATTTTGTAAATCTATGTATGAAATTGCATATTATTACGATATATTTGTAAGCAATTGTTTGCATAGATTCATTTTGAATATAATGCATGCAAGTGTAAGTGTGTATTACTAAATATTTTATTTGTATGAAACTGCAACCCCTTCTTTTCAACCGACTTCTCATAAACGAAGAAGTTCTTAATTCGAGTGTTTTGTTTTTGCGTGTTAGTCTATTTTTTCGTGGCCTGAATACGATATTACATAGCACCATTATATGATGTTACATATATTTAATTTTGGTTATATTTTTTTTTTTTATTTACAAGGCAGTGTCGACTCTTCCATACTAATATTATAAAGAGATTTAGCATGCGAGTATGTGAGGTTGTAGGGAGTAATCTCTGGATATACTGAATCAATAAAAAAAAATGTTGTACTAATAAAAAAACCACTTTATTTGTGAGTATCATAAACTATATAACATCACGCTACGACCAATAGGAGCGGAGCTGTAATGAAAAACGTAACTAAAACGGGTGAAATGTAACGTAGACGAAGTTGCGCGTATAGTATACCAGTATAGTATACTCGAATAGTGTTAATTGCTCTATGGACGGGTCAAGTATTTATAGATCAATCAACTATTTAGTCGCAAAGATACTTATTTTATACCTACAACAGTTGTTTTGTTCGACTGTAATTCTTATTAATAGATAAATTATTATATTGATTGTACTCAGCTAAATAGAGCTCGAGGAGCTAAATAGAACTTGCTCCTTTGAGGAAATTATTAATAATAATAATAATATTTCTGTTTACCAGTTGTAACATTTAATATAGATATTACGCGGGTAAACACTTATAATGAAGGTACAAACAGTAAAAGTGCAAGTAACAATAAAATATGACAATTCTAAAAACTGTAAAGAAAATACATAAAACATTGGTACAAATGTATATATATAAAACGTGCAAAGAGTTTGTTACACTGCCTTTTTTTTATTGGATTGTTTGGGCTATTGTCAGGTTCTTGGACCTGTAGCACTGCGACATACATAGATCTATTGTGCACACCATCGGGACATGAATTAAAGGATATTCTTAGGAGCTATAGTTTTTATCTCCTTAGGATAGACTGTAAACTTTCCAAAGGAGATATTATGTTCATGGATGAGTGCGCTACAACCACATAGGATGTGTAGTGGCATTTCCTCTTCAGTTTGGCAAAATCTGAAGATTTTTGTTGTGCATACGCTTAGATTTGCCATGTGTTTATTCAATTTTCAGTGTGAAGACTCTACACTGCTACTCTTGAAGCTAAGTCCAATTCCTCTTACATAATTAATCAATTCTTTCATTGCTATTAATGTATTATAGGAAACATATGTTTATACAAGTCGAAATAGAAAATCACGTACATTTGTTCCGTCATCATTCATTTTATATTACACTACTGTTGATATAAGCTACTAATGACACCACTCATTTTTACAGTCACGAATGGTACTGATCAATATCTCATCACTTATTCAATATTGTGAAGCCAATTATTAAAGAACCTATTTGCAACTTGCATATGAATCATCATTAAGTAAATCCTTATTGAGCAGGAATTGTTATTACTTGGACCTGGTGTCCCTTGATAAAAGAGTACCATGGTAGGTTCCTTAGGCTTATGCTTCCTTAGCAATTAGGTCAGAATCTACATTCACTCCTAATAGTGTTCCCTCTGACTGATCCTGTGCCCCTTCTAAAAGGGTTCGAAATCACGACGGCCTGAGCCGAGGCTTACCTTTAACGGTGCCCTTCGAAGTCGTAACCGTCATGCAGGAACTAGTCTTCAGCTACTCCATAAGTCCTTCTGCAGGTTTATAGTGCCCTCTGCACTCTCCTTTTTCATGCGATAAATCAATTGCATCTAGCCCAAAAGTTTACAAGCCTGATATCAATTTTTTCATTTCAAACTCCACAATAATATACCTGTATACTTCTCATTATCTAATGTAATATTAGCAAAATGCATGCACAAATTTTAAAAAGAAAAGAACTCATTCCTTCTTAAAAGGCCGGTAACTCACTTGCAATTCCCCTGGCGTTGCGGTGTGATCGCATCAGGTGAGACGCAAGCTCGTTTGTCTCCTATGCTATAAAAAACCGCGTAAACACACAAACATGAAAGATTTGTTTGTAGTGACAAGAAAGCATACAAAGCAGTCAGACCTAGACTAATATATTATGTAAAGAGACCATTGATTGAAATATGTATACTACCTATTGATCAGTTAATTGAAGAAAATAATCTATCCTTTGACAGGCCTTTAATATTCAAGTATTTATAGATGCGGAGTAAAGAGAATGTTTAAAATATTCTTTATGTAATTGTAAATGGTAACCCTCACCTATATACATAGACAGCACCGTGGAGGTCACGTAAACATCCCTGAACCCCTCATGCATTGCTATTCTTGATTTAAATGTCCTATCTCGAGAGTCTTACAAAACAAGCAAACTATAACACGCGTAGTGCTTTTATATGACGGGTATTGCTTGTTATCACCTTGGATGCTGTTCTAATTACATAAAAAAAAGCAATGATCGAAATTTAAATATTTGTAAGACGTTTCAGTTCTACCACAGATAATATAATATTATATAGTTCTACCACAGATAACATAATGTTCTACAAAGAGTTAGCATCGGACAGCCAGATCTGTTGAAATTAGTATGATTAAAGATAGATTTTTGTAAAAAAACCTGAAAAATTGTAAGTTTACTATTTTTTTAATGGTTTTGCAATTTCAGGTACAAATTGTATTGTTATTGAATTGAACAAATGAAAATTAAAAATCTATTTTTAGAATAGATACCAATTATGTTCGTATATATTGTTTAATCAGTGCCAAGTCGTTATTAGCCACTAATATTATATATGAACAGCCATTTTGTATTGTAAAAATATGTCGTATCTATAGTACATATACTATTATTTTTCTATAATACATGTGTAATTATGAAATAGCTACTTATTTTTAGCTCTGTATTTGACATAATTATGTAAAAGAGTACATTATAATATACAAGTTACAATTATGTACTATAAAAAGTAACAAATAGAGCTGTGCGTATAAAATGAACGGTGACACAAGTGAATCAAGATGTCCTTTATGGGGGCGGCTGGGATGCGCTCGCGGCGTATGTGCAAGGTTCTGCAGAAGACGATTTCGACGAAGAATTGCTCCCGAGCACGCCACCAGCAATGGCAAAGCTTCTAGCAGGTAAGACCATAACGTACTTTTCGACGGCCTCGGTGGTCTAGCGGTTTAGCACACCGCTTTAATAACGATGGTCGCGTGTTCGATCTTCGCACGGTACAAACATTTGTATTCATGAATTTGTTTGTTTGTATCGGTCTGGGTCTTCTGTATGTACAAGTATATATTTACAAAAGAATATGTTGGTATTTGTATCAGTTGTCTAGTAGTCATAACACAAGTTCTGCTTATCTTGGGACTAGATAGCGTGTGAATCGTTTAAGGATATTATTATTTGTTATTGGAATGGCGTTCCAACTGATGGTAAGTGATAGTCATTGCCTATAAATATGAATAGCACCAGGTTATTGTGCATATACCCATGAGTAGCCAGTTTAGAGGACTTGCTGTACCTCCATATCCTGTAATTTCACTCCTATATATCACACTTCAACTGAAGGATATCTTACAGAGCGAGCTGTCTGGTTATTAAAATAGGTAGCCAGGAACGTCTGCGTGGGTAGACGAGTTTTTAAGAAGTGTCCAGTTAAATGTCATCATTAAATATACTATGATAATACTTTTAATAACTAAGTTAATTTCCAACCACATTGAAGCTCTCCGAAATCCGATGTCTTGATCGTAAATAAATATTTTCAAGTGCTTAGACTTTGATATCTTGAAGTCGAAATGATCTCTCGAAAGTTCTTTTACTGCACGTTTTCGTTTAGTAAAAATTCGCTTCTATGCAGTAGTTAAAATATAATTATACTGAACTGGATGGTAGTGAAGAAATTATAATATAAAAAAATTGATATTCATAAGCGGCTAAAATGTCCTACATGAATAAATTATTTTTGAATTTCGATTTGAATTTAAAAATTTATCCTGCTATATATTATTCACCTTCTAACAATATAACTACTAAAATGTACTTACTACTGTACTGTTCATTGCCGATACAAATTGCTATTTTTATAGACAAAAGAGTTACAAACAAAACTCGTTTTTCCCCTCAACCTAAACACATACCTAATAAATGAAAAAAATCTCTATTTATTCTTTTATTATTGTGAAACATTAAGGAAAAACCGCAATTGTTATGTTCATAATAATACTGTAAATTGTGCAATAATTACTTACAATCTGTGACTCAAATGTAGGCATTACTGAAACTCTTGTCATCTTTTTATAATACATTCACACTAAGAGCTTGTGAGAGAATTTTACAAGCAGTAAATCGTCATAAGAACCAGTTAATTTTGAAGCTACAGGATACATGTAATCCATCCAGGCTGGCCTAGCCAGCATCTCAAATAAATCTCACGTAATGATTTTTAATTTTTTTTTCTATGTTACTCTTATTAATATTTTCTTTTTTTTTTGTTTAATCCTTACCACTCAGTCAAAATTATATCAAATTATACTCTGAACTATTTACATTATTTTTATTATACACACACCGCACAGACAATCACCAATAATATTGCTCTTTTTATTTTATATTTATTTTAATTATTATTTTCACGTACCCTCAAATGGGTTAAAGCTAAAAATCAGTGTTTTGTTCCTTGAACAATGTCCCACGCTGAGCTTCGACCTTTTTGTATTGCTACAGATCACACATAATAACACAATTTTATCAATCTTATGTTGTATTATGTATTGTCTATTCTTATGAACATGTTGTGTGTGATTAGTAACAAATAAATAAACGATTTACTATCTACCTATCTATCTATATGATATACTTCACTCGATGTACCTATGCACATGAATGTTTTTTTCATACCAAGGCAGAGAAATTTTTATGCGCCATTTGTCAAACTACCTAACTTTTCTACCGAGGTAGGTAGGTAATCACGCATATAACCGCATGTAATGTAATGTAGTAAAAGTACATTTGCTGTACAACTTTTGCTGTTATAAAGCATTAATATTAAGAACTGCGGTTTACACGCGTTAATTTTATAACCTATGGTTATTGTAATGTATAAGTATCATTAGAATCCAGTCAGTAGTTTTCGCGTGAGTTACAAAACATCTATACATCCACACTCACAAACTTCCTATAATATTATCCGCCATTGGGATCCCTAAAATATGGTCGAGCGCAGTGATGGCTGGCTCATCCGTCATATACGTGAACGAGTGCTGCTTGTAGGGACTGGTCTGCTCTTATCACTACGACTGATGTAATCTTATTGTGTTTTTATATTTGAGCCTAAATAAATTAGTGCTGGTTGGTAGTTTGTTTAAAAGAGCAACACACAAGTTTCTTGCTTATTCTTCTTGTAATGAGACAGGTTTCCGATTAAGCGGTAGATTAAAAAAAAAATTGTTGACTATTCAAAAGTGCTTAAATTAAGTTTATTTGAATAAATGATTTTCTATTCTATTCTATTCCGCATTAATAATATTAGTATAATAAGTACACCCTAATGCCGTGATAAAAAAAGAAAAATATTTCCTCAAGTCCCGCCATGTACTGTGTAGGTACATCCCCCGCGCGCGATTAAACCACGCAAGTTGTCGCTTGCGTGACATTATGCAAGTTATTTCATAAAACACAATAGTCTACGTTATACGTAGTATATACTACTTTAGTTGTACATAAGTGCAGGGTCGTAATGAAGAAAGAAAGAGACACACCCCTCTGATATTACAACATTGAATCAAATTATGGAATACGTATAACAAAATATGCCTATTCAAATATAAAATTACGTTTATTTTAAGATTATTTCTATTTATAAATAATGACAATATATTATTATTTTCATTTGACGACGTCGGTCGAGTGGTCTAGAGGGTTAAATCTCCAAAACAATAAATACAATTAGTATAGGTCTGGATGTTTTTTTTCTATTTCTATACAATTATGTATCTTTATTTTATATAATTAAAATAGCGACCAAACTAACAATTCACCTGATAGTAAGTGGTAGCCGTCCTCTATATACATGATCAGCACTACGCATCCACTAGACATCCTATGTGATTGTAGCCCATTCATGCATAATATCTCCTTTGGAAAGTTGACACTCAATCCTGCGGAGATAAAAACCATCACTCCTAAAAATACCTTTCAATTCTTCTCTAACGGGTCTAGGTGGCGAACTCTGAAAAAGGGTGAGCACAATAGAGCTATATAGGTCGCAGTGCTATAGGTCCAAGCCCCTGACAATAGCCCAAACAGCCCAATATAAAAGTACCACTCATATGTTGCCATTTCTGAGGATAAGGGGCATCACATATTATGTCATGCTTCTTATCCTGTAATTTCACTATCTTCTCTCACCTTCCAACCGAGGTACAGACAGTATTTTAAAAAAATGTTTTTATTGTAACTATCAATTCTTTAGATTTTCGGATTACTCTAATGTTGTTGGCCGTAGCTGGCCTGTACAGCTTCAACAGACGATAGGGGACCAGTGCAGATGGCACTCCAAACGCGCGAAAGGACTTATGGAGCGGCTGAAGGCCAACTTCCGCCTGACGTATACGACTTTAGTCTGAGGGCACCACTAGTGGATCGAACCTCGGCTCAGGATGTAGTAATTTCGATCCCCGTTTGAATTGGACTATTGAAATTCCATTTTGTTTGTCGGCAATAAGATGAAGTTATTAGAGTTGTCCGGAGTTATTTATTTAGAAGGTAGAAGAGAGAGGTCCTATAATTATTTAGATCATTACTTTATAACGTAATGAGTTTTTGAACTGTGTCAGCAAGGTTATAATTAACTGTTAAACTTTAACTGTTGGTTTATAATTAACCAACCAGTTAATTATTTCAATCGATGCATGATGCACCTATATTTGCATACTAGCGAATAGTGCAGTATTCTTTCTTTACATAGTATAAAACAATTTTGCCGCCGCTATCTGTTCGATTATCATTATTTTTATATCGTTCGATTGTATCATTATAATTACATAAAATTATAGGAGCCAACCGAATATCAGCGCTGCAGACTTATCTGTAGCTTCATGCTGAGTTGGTTGCCTCTTCATCATTGCGACACATAAAGCCATCTCCATTTTATTTTATTTTGTAATATTATATTTCTGTATTATTTAATTTGTAAACTTTATTTCTATTTATAAAATGTATCTCATGTATGCTATGTGTTTGTAATTGTTGAATAAAGAACTTATCTATCTATCTATCTAAAATAAATATAACTTAAAAAATTGTTACAACACTAGCTGTCCTCGTGGTTACATCCAGGAGAAATTTATAGCCTTCTGATGTATAAACTATGTACGCTCAGTAGTTTTTCCGTGAAAGAGTAACAAACAGCCATTCATACTCACAAACTTTCGCGTTTATAATATTAGTAAGATAAACAACAAATATGATATGGGAGCATCATATCTTAACACAGTATAAAATGAAGTAGATTCTGCTGTCTGTTTTGCTTAGATCTTTTATATTACGCAACGGATTTTAATGCAGTTTTTAGCAATAGATAGAGCTATTCAATAGGAAACTTTATATGTATAATACATGTACACTTGTGGGAAGTCGGGGCGGGTACTTAGTTTAAGTATAAATCCTTTAAATTAGGAAAAAACAATTGGCGATATTTTGTATTTCACCGTTTATTTGTAAACCTAAACAATTTTGCACTTCGTTCAATAAAAAGGTTATAAAGAGAAGGTCCAATTACGTTACCGTGGACTTATATAAAATTATAATTGCTATAGTTACAATTAAGCGAAGCACGCACATTTCTCCGCCCTTACAAATATATAGGTCAAGTTTATTTTCAGGAAATAACTATTAATAATAACGGTCTAAATAAGTAAGGGTGACTTATTTATCGCCGCAATTATCTTTGCTTTAATGAGATTGCTGCTTATTTATTTTATGTACTGTATTCGATTAGTAAACATGGAAAATTTGTTTATGGTATGTTATTTTTAGGTTTCTTCAATGAAGGATTTTTGGTCTATGACGCACTTGTTTATTTATATTCTATTGACCGTAGTAGACTTTCTGAAAAGTGTTCTGCGTACCTAGGTACCCAGGTCTCACCTATTTCAGCCGTTAAAAAGCACACTTACATAAGAAGTCTTTTGACCTCTTCCCCTGTCCAGCCACATGTGAACCGAGGAGGGTTCACCAGGAGGGAATGAGATTATTAGTAATATTGATTGCTATATATTATTATTATTATTATTGATTGATACCCCATTGGTAGCATTGTACTATGACAGGTTCACCTACATGTGGTTCCCCCTAGAAAACATTGTGATAAATTCCTGATAAATTTGTCTCGACGGACTGACTGACATTATAAACAATTAAATAAAAAAAAACCCTCGCCGGTGTAACATCACATATTTTGCAATTTTCTTAGGACATATTGAGAATTTTTTAAGACTTTCGTCACTGGTTCTTTTTTATTTTAATACTTGATGTCACGAAATTTAGGACTCCACGTCTTGTCACACTTTGTGACTCCCTCGCTAGTCCCCTTAACCTTACGTCAGAAGGTTAGTTCAAATTTCTTACTTTAATACAGAGAGGTATTAGATTCGTAAAGTGACCTCATAAAATTTAGGACCCTCACTCTTTGTCAGACTTTGACATACTTTGTCGACTCCCTCCCTCCTTACCTTAACATCTGACATAATTGACTCGGTGGTCTAGCGGTTTAGCATACTGCTTTATTTCCAATGGTCGCGAATTCGATTCCTCGCAAACATAGTATTCATGAGTATCATTGTTTGTGTTGATCTCAGTGTTCTATGTACAATATATTATGTATTTATTTACAAAACTAAATGTATTTATATCAGTCATCTAGTATTCATAACACAAGGTCATAACTTGTGACTAAATGACGCTGTGTGAATTGGCTGAAAAAAACTATGTGAAATTTTTATATTATTTGATGGATAGTAAAAGAAATAGATCAAAAACTATTGTTCGCAGTACAGTGTGATGGTTGACAGTGATCGCGTGTTATCCAAGTTATTACTGACACTACCTGGCATGAATAATGTAATTGTTGGCATGTCACTTTGTACCGCCAGTGAAAGAAACTTATGTACTGGCCGAGTATTAAAAATATATCAAATACTAACCATGAAAAATAGAAATATAAATAATCATTATTCAACTTAATATACACAAGCACTTTTGAATGGTCATATTTTTTTTCGGAATGCAAACTCATTTTTCTAATGACAAAATTTCTTAAAACATATTTCATTTTAAAATAGAAGACTTTAAATAGTCGAAGATAGTTTCTTATACGACTTTAAAAAAGAAGAGCCTATATCGATCCTTTGTTTTTTTTTTGTTTTCTAAAATATGCAATTTTGTAAATAATCTTACTAATATTATAAATGCATATGTTTTTGAGTATGGATGGATAAATGGATGAATGGATTTTTATTACTTTTACACGCAAAAACTACTGAACGGATTTTAATGAAATTTTACAGATATAACATAAATATATATATAAACAATATGAGGGTGAGTGAGAGAAACCGCGGGCGCCTCTAGAATAGAATAACAAAATTTAGTGAATATGCTAACTCTACTATTATTCGGCTGTGTTTACACTTAATGTTGTTTATTCCCGTGCTCACATAATTACAAAAACATTAAAGGTCAGTAGTAAAAAAACTTTTAAGTGACTTACACTCATTTGCACCTCGATTTTTGTTTTGTTGGAAAATATTCACAGAATTTGCGTCAAGGGATAAATGGAAGTGAAAACACAATATTACTGTACGGGAGGATCAAACACAAGAACAAATAAGAGCACCGTATTGTCACCAATATTTAACACTAAAACTAATGTCATATGTAAACAAAGCAAAAACATAGACGTTTAAAAAAATACAAAATAGTTCCAATAACTTATAAATAATGATTCATTAGAGACTGTACATACAGTATTGAAACGCATTTTTGGATGAAATAATATAAAAACATATTGTGTAATATTAAATACAATATAAATAATTGAGAAAAATATTCCCCATCTATGAGGGTATTACGGAATATCTAACATATGGGATTAGTGTGTCATTTGCTTGAAGTTTTTGCGGTATATTGTATTTATTGATTTGATCTTCATGATGTTTCCTCACGTAGAAAATATGTTTAACAAGGACCGTCGCAAATCTAGTATCAACTTTTTGAACTATAAACGATTTCATTTTATGGATAGGTACGTAAGTTTACTTATTTATTTTATTCTAATTTCTATAATTAATTTCATAATATATGTATATAAATAAATAAATAAATGTACAATCATATCATTAAATATCACGGAAGAAGAGAACCTACAAACTATACCTGCAGTGTTCGTTATTGATAATTATTTCTTTATTTTATATGTAATATGTATGTTTACGATATTTATTTCTATGTATGTATTTACGAAGAAAAAAATATATTTATTTGTATCTACAATTATCTAATATCCATAACACTAAAATAAGAATATATTTATCATCATATAATTTTAAGTAGTATAAATAGTTTTAAAATATAAACGTGTTGGCAATTAGCTGTAAGTTTATATTGTGTTAATTAAATAAACTAATTAATTAATTAAAAAAAAAAAAACACAATCTTTAGCTAGCTTAACTTGGGACACAGTCCCAATTGTTCTGAGATTATTATTACAATGCTAATCTTTATGCTTCTAGAAGTCGCGAGTCCCGGCGGCGCATAAACCATCCACCAGCAGCTCTGTACAGGTAGGTTATCATGAGCTCGGAGTACCATCCAAATTCATACTTATTAGTAACTAGCCGTAGTAGTAGTATCTAGCCGCGACTTCTTGCAGCGCCCACAACGCCCTCAAATATGAATAATTTTCCCAGTTTCTGCAACATGATTTATTTATTTATATATATACTCTTTATTGCACCAGGAAAAATTACATTAATAGAGTAATTAAAATAAAAGGGTACAAAAGGCGGCCTTATCGCTTATGCAATCTCTTCCAGGCAACCTTTGGGTAGAGGAGAAAAAAACATAATAATAATAATGACAAATGAACATGATATGACATTTTTCACTGATAATTCGCTTCTATTAATCGTAGCGTAATGTTATAAAGCTTAAAGTCTTCCTCGACAAATGGACTATCCAACATAAAAGGAATTTTACATTCGAACCAGTAGTTCCTGAGATTAGCGCGCACAAACAAAGAAACTCTTCAGCTTTATAATATTAGTATAGAATAAGAATTCGTGTATTTCTTATGTAATAGATGTACTATTAACTTATGTGTGGTAATAGGAATGGGAAACAATCTGCCAGGCTACACGATAGTGTAGCTGTAACCGCTGTTATGATTAGAGCAGAGCATAAGCTAAGATACAACGGTCCCTACAAGCATTCCCTATTCTGCCTGATTTTGATGAAAGTAAAGTTATTGGATTCCAAACTGACGGTAGATTTGACATATCATAGGAGTCTGTAATACTTAACTACTAGACTACTAACTACTTTACTATAAGAATCCAGTTTTCACCAATAATGATGATGCTAACTTGCAGCACTTTAGGCGAGCGAGTCCGTACCACTGCACCTTCTGCGCTACAGTGCGCCCTGTTCTGCGGCGGTGCAAGGTGCCAGTATGAGCTTCCATTGCAGCGGGTTGCTGCAATACAGGGACTGTACTCCGATTGGTAAGATCCTTGGTATATAACATGTATATATCCTGTTATACTTACGACCTCGGTGGTCTACCGATTTACGATACCGCTGTCATGCCCATGGTGACGGGTTCGATTTCTCCCAAACTTTTATATATTTATTTAGTTATATATCACAGCATAGTTATATATATGCTGTGATCTTGATTCAAAAGTGACGAATTTCCGTACAAATTTTCATCTCCTATTTTATTGTACCGTCTTAAGGGCAAAATTTTTACAAACTTTGAATGTCATATTCATTCATATTTAATCAACAGCCTAAAAATAAGCTACAACTTTAGAAATGACTAGACTTCCATACAAACTTTCATCGCCCCTTTCAATCTCTTATAACACTTATTTTGCGTTAAAAAGTAGCCTATGGCATTTCTCAGGGTCGAGACTTTCTAGACTTTGAGCCAAATCATCTGTGTATCTGTGTACCAAATTTCATTTAAATCGGTTTAGTAGTTTTAGCGTGTAAGCGAGACCGACAGGCAGATAGATAGAGTTACTTTTGCATTTATAATGTTGGTAAGGATTATTATTAAAAATAAAAAATCTTAACTCATATTGTGTGCGGTTTTTGTTCACTGACTAACAAAGTAGGTCAATATCCGACCTTTACTTGTTGCGGCCGCTACTTCTAAGCCCACCTGTTTCAGAATTATTAATTATACAAAATGCCACTTTATTACCAGCACGCTACATAATTCGATCATAAATATAGTTTTACAACCATTGTGGCAAACAAGCATACGGCCCATCTGATGGTAAACGGTTCCCGCACCTATTAATGCCTAAAACTCTAAAAACATGCCGTTGTTAAACCTTAAGAAACCTTAATATATCCTCCTTGAAAAACCCCATGCTGTAATCTCGTGAAGAAACCTTAATAGTTCCTTGTATCTGTAGTCTCGTGAAGAAACCTCATGAAAAACCTCATGCTCTAGTCTCGTGAGGAAACCTCGGCAGGTAATTCCTTGAAAAACCCCATGCTGTAGTCTCGTGAAGAAACCTCGGCAGGTAGTTCCTAGAAAAACCCCATTGTAGTCTCGTGAAGAAATCTTGGCAGGTAGTAGAAAAACCTCATGCTCTAGTCTCGTGAGGAAACCTCGGCAGGTAATTCCTTGAAAAACCCCATGCTATATTGTATCGTGAGAAAATCTCGGCAGGTAGTTCAGTCCACAATCTAAGTGTACGCAGGAGGAAGCTCCTCTGAATCCGCTGACTGAGATCACTTCTTCCGTTACATTACAAGGAATTCATCCTCACATTTCCAAGAACCGAGATGAATTTCTTGTAATATAAAGCCACAATTTCTACGATAGTTAATTTTATAGACACTACTAGCTGTCCCGGCAAACGTTGTTTTGCCATATAAATTAATAACGCTATAAAAAAATAGGAGTTGATGATAGAAGAGTGAAAATTTAGGATTGTATGTATTTTTGTATGTTGTATCATAAAAAAATAGAAACTAAAAATTTTGCCTAAAAAATAAAAAAATAAAATTTAGGGGTGGAGTACCCCTAACATTTACGGGGATGAAAAATAGATGTTGGCCGATTCTCAGACCTACTCAATACGCTCACAAAATTTCATGAGAATCGCTCAAGCCGTTTCGGAGGAGTATGGGAACCAAAACTGTGACACGTGAATTTTATATATAAGATAGATATAAGATGTTAGTTATCTGAATTTAAAAATCGAACGCTTATCTAATCCAAAAAACATATATTTACAGAGGTAGACTTTGTATGGCACCTCTATCTAACTATATCTATCTCTGTCTGTGTTTTGGCTAATCAAATCAAATCAGATCAAAATATTTTTATTCATGTAGGTCTATGACCGACTCTTATGATATGTCAAATCTACCGTCAGTTCGAAATGCTTTCGAACAGAGAAGAACTGACAAGAAACTCAGCTCGTATTCTTTTCAAATAAGTTTGTACATGTTTACAATAATACAGATTCATTTATAAATTCAAATTTGGGAGAATAGAGTAACCACCAGTATATGCTGTTGCAATTTTGTCACCCGAACAGACCAGTCCTCACAAGCAGCTCACGAGTATGACAGTCACGAACAGACCCGTCCCCACAAGCAGCACCGGTTCACGAGTATGACAGTCATAAGTCCAAAGCAGAGCTGTACTCATAGTTTGTTACTTATTTTAATTTGTTCAACAATAATGACCCCATCATATAATTTTCCTGTATACACGGAAAATGCAGAGAAATATACATTAGTATAAAATTTAATAGGACTGCAGTATGAGGCCGACATTAGAAATGTAAAAACTAAACTAATTATTGTATAAGTCACGCGACGTGTGGACATAATAATAAATTATTTCACCTACTTACTTAAAAGTCAAGGATATAACCGAACTAATTTTTCATAGGCTTACTTTAGTATAAACATTTCCGAGGGTATTATTTTAAGACGGTGTCGCTGTCGGTTTAGTTCTGATGGTCGCGGGTTTGATTCCTCGCACGGTACAAATATTGACATTGTTTTCTGTGGAAATTAGTTGTCTAGTATAACTAACACAGGCTCTGCTTAGTTCGGGACTAGATGGCGTGGTGTGAATTGTCCTCAGATATTATTATATTTATAAGTAGCAAAAACGGCAAACAGTAAACTACTAGAACCTAATGGAAAATGGCTACCATGCCTACATGAACACGGGAGGAAGGCCCTCTGAAACCGTACTGTCCGAGACCACTTAGGTTCTTGCTTGTGCGGATGAATTTCCTGTCGCTGGCTAGAGGTCCGATTGTAAAAGGTAGCCTTAAGGCTACCTATTCTTTTTGAAAGTTGTTTTTTTCTATCCTACGATAGAAAAAACAACTTTCACATTATTTTAACTTGTAAAATATTTTTCATATTGTAAGTTTCCTTGTGAATAGTAAAATAAAGATTATTACTATTCACGATTGTCCAGTGTGTGTGTATGTGTGTGTATGTGAGTGTGGGTATACCTACTTATATTATTTACTGCATCACACGGGTGTATATACATATACATATAACTTCCCCTTGCATCACAATATCTATTAAAAAAAATCCGTACCAAAATCCGTTGCGTAGTTTTAAAGATTTAAGCATACATAGGGACAGACAGCGACAGCGACTTTGTTTTATACTATGTAATGATGGGCATTATTTTTTAATATTGTCTTGAACATGACAAGTTCAAAACGTGTATGTTGCGTGTTTCAGGATCACAGACGATATATTGGCGATGGCACGTCCCAGCACTGCCAGTATCGCCGCCCGGAATATCATACAACAATTCCACAGGTAAACCTTTGTTTTATGATTCGTCTAGTCTAATAACATCCATTATATGACGGCCTTGGTGGTCTAGCAGTTTAGCACAGCGTTTTACTTCCGACGGGTTCGATTCTCGCACGATACAAATACATGTTTTATGGGTATGATCATTTGTTTTGTTGATGAGGTCAGGGTGCTTTGTGAGTACCTATTTTTAATGGGTAATTATGGATTGTAATATATATATTACACAGTACTGTAAGGTCCCGGAGAGACCCTAGCGATTTGTAGATGCAGGTTCCGACACCAGAAATGACTTGAAAGTTTAAATATAATTTCTTGACATTGTAAAATTCCTTGTGAGCAGTAAAAATAAAGAATCGTACTTGCGACCATCGGTAATAAAGCGATAAAGGCGCGAAACTGTTGGTTTTTTTTCGCAGCTGACCTTTACAGCTTCACCGAACGATAGAAAACGAGTGCAGATGGCACTCCAAACCCGCGGACTTGTGGAGCGGCTGATGGCCAAGTCCTGACGGATACGCCTTTAGTCTGAGGGCACCGCTAGGGGTTCGAACCTCGGCTCATGTCGTCGTAATTCCGATTTGAATTGAACGAAGGATTAATCGGAGTCAGACCGGTTGTTAAATAACCCCCTTATTGATATTGATCGGTATTAAGACGACAAAGGCTACACCGACCACGGCAATGTACCTGTCCCGTCTACATTACGCCACTAAGGAACAGGACATTATTGATTATATACGAACCAAGAGTAACGTGACACTGAGGGTGACGCACCTGGAGTCGATTCACAACGCGAGTTTCAAGGCATTTGTGGTCCGGTCCCCACCAACATGCTGCCCACCTTCATGAAGGAGGACTACTGGCCGAAGGGTGTGGTGTATCGGCGCTACACTACGCTACGTCACGTAGTCACGGCACTGACGACGGCTATCTGCCACAGCCGTCGTCAGCGCCGTGACTACACAGACAATATAGATATATATTTTTAAAATATTATTTCTTATGTATGTTAGTCTATAAGGTATTTATAATATGAGTCTAGTTGCCTAAATAAATAAATAAAGAATAAAAAAGGCCTTTTGCCAAACCACTCGATCAGACCGGTCCTCAAATAACCCCGTTACTGATATTGCATTTCAGTTGGGGCATTCGCACTGTGATCAACCTACAGATGCCTGGTGAACACGCCAGCTGCGGTCCACCTCTCACCAAGTCCGGCTTTACATACGATCCAGTTGTGTTCATGGCCAACGATAGTGAGTATGCTTAAATTTTTAAAAATACGCGACGGATTTTGAAGCGGTTTTTTTGCGTGTGAATGAGCTAGCTACCCGTGCGAACCCAGAGTGGGTAGCTAGCTCATTCATAATATATGAGCCACGATCGTGTCGTCTTGTCTTACCACTTCACATGTTCTTCCATGATGTTGATACGAAACGACTCCAATTTTGTCCTTCCCTTTCCATTTATCTTATCCTCAATAATAATATTAATAAATTCCTGATGCCGTATCAAGTGTCCCACATTTTCTTTCGTTTATTTTGAATAGTATTCAATATCTGTCCTTTTTTTACCCTGTGTAAAACTTTTTAATTTCTTACTTTACCTTTAAAGGGCGTTTAATGACAAACGTCATATATGACACGTTAATGAAATCCTGTATATTGTTGGTTTGAATTTTCATGTTATTTGTCTAAAAATGTGTTCGATTGAAGAACTTGTATCCATTAATAATAAATAATTGTTTAAAAAAATATAATTCGTGTTGGCAACATTAAGTTTAATAACTTTTTAATTTTTAAAGTATTCACTTTTATGTGATTGGATAGAAGTGTTTGTGCAAATGAAAATTATTGTATGAATTTAGTATGCTACTTATAACATTTGCAGTATATTATTACAACTTCGCGTGGCCAGATTACGGGGAGGCAAGCCTGAGTGGGCTACTCGATATGGCTAAAGTCTTGTCGTTCGCGCTTCAAGAAGGAAGAGTTGCCGTTCATTGCCATGCAGGTAATATTTCTAATCTCACAATGCCGTTGGTATTTATTTTGTTTGTTTATTATTTTGCACACAAAAATGCACAAATTCAGTCTCTACCAGTTAACAGTCGCGTTGATCGGAGATAAAATATATTGTAGGCATAAATGTGAACAGGTTTCAATTTATAACGTTAAGTATGAATCATATACAAAACTGAAAAGAAAGATGTGACAATTTAGAATTTGGTGTTCCAAATATAAAGATTTATAAATATAACATGGACCAAGTTATTATAAGTATTAAAATATTATAGAAGTGTAATATATGTACATATATATTTTAATTATAGAAGCCGGAAAATCAGCGCTGCAGATTTATCTGTAGCTTTATGCTGAGTTGGTTGCCTTTCCGTCTTTGCAACACATACATCCACTTCCATTTTTTAATTTGTAAAATTTGTATTTCTGTATCCCATATATGCTGTATTTGTAATTGATAAATAAAGTATGTATCTATCTATCTAAGAAGCCTATATTCCACAGAGATGATTTATCAGCACATCTTACTACAATGTTTAGGAGTACTTACTTAATTAAAAACATTGACATGTATCTTCTTATATATAAAATTCTCGTGTCGCAATGTTACTCCTCCTAAACGGCTAGACCGATTTTTAAGAAATTTGATATACACATTCAGTAGGTCTGAGAATCGGCTACTATCTGTTTTCATACTCCTAAGTGATAAGGGTTGTCCACCCCGAACATTTTTTATTTGGCCTTAAGAAATATATACAACCCTAAATTTTCAGCCTTCAATCACCAACCCTTATTTTTTAATAGCGATATTAATTTATATGACAAATAGCTAGTAATTTATAAATATTTCATTAATAAGAAATTGACATACTATGACTCATATTATAAATAATGTACATAGGTACTTAATATCGACTTACTAAGAATAACCAAAATTTACATCTGCTTTGTCTGTTGCATGTCGGAAATGACAAAATGTGTTTTTTTTTTTAAAGATAGTGGAATGGTGCTTACGCCTGCGCTAACGGTTTACGCTGGCGGGGCACCAGTGGAGGATGACATGATGAGCATGAGGTCAGGTCAGTTAGCCCATCATGATATCTTCACAGGGAATTTATCACGATGGTTTCCAGGGGGAACCGCGTGGAGGTCAACCTGACATGGTACATTGCTAGTAATGGGGTCATGAGTCCACATTACTAACAAGCCCCTCCCCTCCTGTGGAACTGATTGTAAAGACCTTAAAATTTTTTTAGCAATAAACATTCATTTCATTTCATTACAGATATTCTATTTAAGTTTATTCTTTCCAGGCTTAGGACGAACAGGCGTTCTCATAGCTTGCTACCTGGTATACTCTTTGCGGGTGCGGGCAAATGACGCTATCAGATTAGTACGTAAGAAGAGACCAAAATCCGTCCAAACTTCTGGCCAAATACTATGCGTGCAGCAGTTCGAGCACTACTTACTGCCACAGACCGTTGTGTTCAGTTCTAAGTTAGTATACTGTTTTTTGTTTTTTTACTTCATTTTTTTATTTATTTGCTTTGAATAGGTTACATTGTACTTAGAAATAAATATATACTTTTATGTTTAGCTACATTTTGAGCATGCTTTAGAATAATGTTAATAGTAAATGTATAAATTTAACAAATATTAATCATAATGACTCAGTTGACAATACATTTTTACGTAGTATAATATGACGTAGCTTCCGCTGTTTATTCTCTTAGATCTTTTAAACTATGCAATGGATTTTCATGCAGTATTTAGCAATAGATAGAGAGATTCAAGACGATTAATACATGATCATCATTTTTGATGATGATTTTGATGAACATCATCATTGATGATTAATACATGATCGTACACCCCTGCGAAGCAGGTAACTACTATTAATTAATAATAACAACAACCCTGTACATTTCACACAGCGACATGTAGTGCCAAGCTAAGCAGAGCTTCTGTGACGGTTCATACTAATACCTATTCACATTTTTTTAATACATACATAACATACATAGACCACACTCGAACCCGCGATCTTCGGAATAAAAACCGGTGCACTAAACCGCTTCACTACCGTAGCCATCCGTGTGTTTAAAGGTAGTTATGTGGTATTAATAATAACATGATAATGTATAGGATTTCTGAATTCTGCTGGATTAAACAAATTAAAAGAGTATTGGATTTGACTTCGTCTATTTCCTTTGCGTCTAAGAAATAGTTATTTTTCAAATAATTTACATACATTTATTTATCATAAAATTATTCGTGTTAAGACCCGGTTAATAATATAAATAATGTAAGAAATGTCATTGTATTTTTTTAGGGATCCAATAATGTTAACCAAAGACCACAAGACAGCTGAGTTCACTTTACGCCAACACTTGTACAGGCAGCGGGCGACACTCCACGGCCTGGAAGAAAGGGCTTTTAAGGAATTACCTAAGGTACTACCACAGATAACATAATATTACAGTAGTAGATATACGACCTCTTTCGAATTAGGGAACATTAGTCATGGAGACTAGTTAGACCTAATGCTGGCAATATACCACAAAATACAAAGGATTTGTATCCAGAGCCGTAAAACATATTAATAAAAAAATAAAATAAAAAAGACTGCCTTACTTTACCTTACCTTGCCTTACCTTTATTTACATGATGATCTGATTTCGTTGATGCTATTCATGTATCAGATTATTACGTCAGATTATTGCCAATGGTTTTAAGGTAATTGGAAGAAAGGGTTTATAAGGAATTATCTAAGGTGATCTAAGAAGATTCGTGTATGTAGAATACACGAATCTCTTTCCAATTACAAGGGAATATTTGTCATGGGACTAGTTAGACCTATTACTGACAATGTACTATAAAAGACCGTGGTGAATTAACATGATGATGTGATGTTTTTGATCCTATTCATGTACCTATATAGTTGACCATTCACCATCACGTGGGGCGTCAGATTATCGCCAATTTGAATGTAATCAATAAATCTGAGCTTACTCTTCTGTTGCAGAGTTCATGCATCTTTTCTTTATTTCTATGTTTCTCTATCTAAGCATTTATTAATTTATACCGTCAATGAATTTGACGGTAAAAATGAATAAATCTGTGCTTACTCTTCTTTTGCAGAGTTCATCCACCTTTTCTCTAATTTTATATACATATTTATCTAATTCTATTTATTTCTCTATCTAGATTTTTTTTATGGATGATAATGAAATGGTGCTCCCGCCTGCGCTAACGGTTTACGCTGACGGGGCACCAGTGGAGGATGATAAGATGAGCATGAAGTCAGGTCAGTTAGCCCATAGTGACAAATTCACCAGGAATTAATCTTGACGAAGGTCACGACCGCGTGGAGGTCAACCTGACATGGTACATTGCTAGCAATAGGATTGTTAATCCACATTACGAACAATCCCCCTCTATCTAGAATTAGAGAAAAGATGAATTATCTACACGCAAATTTCTTGCTCGTTCTTCTTGTGATGTAGATTAAAAAAAGTGACGACTATTCAAAAGTGCTTCAATGTATGTAAGTTTATTTGAATAATTCTATTATATTCTATTCTCAGATTGTCTACTGCATATGTGAACGCCTTCTAAAACTGTGTGGATGCCAAAAGAGTCTCGGGATCGACTTCCGCGTGAGGAATCGACCATTCTATAAGTCATTTCTCGCATTTCGGCTGAAGCAATCTCGGCTGCCGGACCCCACCACACCAGAGGAAGTTCTAACAGGTAATGAAAATATTTTTCAAATAATAATATATATTTTTTTAGCAAATATTGGCTACCTGTGCCCGCATTTTCACCCACGTTAAATTTCAATATAAAATCTAGGCTATGTGTTATTCTGATGCCTAAGCTATATTACTGAAAATTTTCATTAAAATGCTTTCAGTAATTTTTACACAAATCTGTGCATCCATACTCAGAAACTTTCATTTATTTATTTTTTTTTTTTTTCTTCGACTAGCAACACCAACGACAGTTGTCATTTTCGGCTGGCCGTAATAAATAAATAATTTTTAATAGTCTATCACACGAATATTATATTTTCAACATCGTTATTAGTGATATAATAGTGCAATAAGTGTCGATTATTGTTTGTGTACAATTTGGTAGTGTATTATTTGCAAAAATCGACATCAAAATAGTGTACCGGCCATCTGTCAAACTTCTTTCGTTGGTAAACAACTAATTTTAAAACTATTTTTATTACTATTTGTTGGACTTATTCAAAGAATTTCATAATATATACAAGTTTTATAGAAATATTCACATAAAGTTAAATTGATATTAATAATTGTGAAGTTCAGTTGTTGCGTACGTCGAAGGAAAAAATATACCCACAAAATATATTGTAAGTAATTTTATGTTTTATATTAATATAATTTGAAGGAAAGGAGCACAATCTAATTCCATTTACTTAATCTTGTAAAAAATAGGTTGTATAAATATATCTAACAGAAATTATTCAAAATTTTAACACATAAAATAAGTAAGGTTCAGTTGCTGTTCTCGTTGTGATACTTTGTTTCTTTTAGAAATAACTCACTTCACTCTCCCTAGTAACTATTCATATATTCAATAATGTCACTATCTACCCGTTCCACAACTGCACGGCAGACAGAGATGAAGCTTAAAGTGGCCCTACAAGAACTTCAGGCATCCAAAGATCTCAGTGACAAGTTGATCAAGGAGAGAGAAGAGAGTGACGATGAAATTTTAAAAATTATAAATAAAAATACACAATTAAAATCGGAATTGTCAGAACTGTATAATAGTCATCAGGAAGTTACAGCGGGATCAGCTTCAAGAACTAATAAATAGCTTTCATCAATGTAGTGACACCCATGAGCAAGCCTTGAGGTGTACCACTGAATTGGAGCTTGAGTTAAAGCAGGCATATTCTAAAATCAATGATCTAGACACAAGATTGGAATCTCAACAAAATAATGAGATTAGTAATTTATATGAGGAACTTATTAGTGTTGACTGTGTGCCTCCTTCTACTACAGTTCCATGCACCCATCCTGTTGTAATTGACCTTACTAGTGATACATCACCTAAATTAGGCAACTATAACAGTAACTATTGTATGTTGAGTAATAATAAATTTAAAAAATATTTAAAACTAAAAAAGTTTATAATTAAGAATCGGAATATATTAAATAAGCGTTGCAAAAAGGGACAGTTATTAAAAAAAAACACTTTAAATAATTTAAAATTGCATGATTACATTAATATATGTAATAATAAGTTAGTGGAAAGCCAAAAGTTATATGACATTGATACAGACTACCTAACTTCAAAAATCAATAGTTTAGAATCTTCGCTTCATGATTTAAATACAAAGTATATTATCTCTCAGAAACAAATCCAGGAGCATATTTTAGCAATGGATGATCTGATTGATGTCAGTAAATACAATGCTGACCGTTTTGAGTCGTTGACTAAGCATTGTATATGTAATCACACAAATATATCAAATAATAATTCAGTTGTAACTGTGCTGGAAAATGAAGTTCAGGGTGTTTGTGCCAGTGACTGTAACCCTAAGAGTAGCACAATGGTGTTCTCTGACAGAATAGGCTGTAACTTTGGGTCTATTTTGAAGTATCATCTTAAGGGTGATTTATTAAACTACTGTATGCCAGAAGCATCATTTACACAAATAATAAATAAAATGAAGTCTACGAAAATGAACAATATGACCACAATTGTGTTATTTTTTGGTAATAGTATTCAATTAAATAGGCAGGATGTAATTAAAGGAATTGAATATTTATTACAATTAAATGTGTATAAGATTGTATTGTGCGCTTTTCCTTACACAAAAGGACATCTTCATAAAAAAATTAACAGTAAGGTACATTACCTGAACAACTTATTACATACATTGACATGTCGTCATAGTGACATTTTTACATTTTTTGATACTAATAGTTTTATTAGTGATTTTTATTTGACAAAAGATACAATGTATCTCTCTAAATTATCTAAAAATAAAATAGCCACTTTAGTGGCTTATAATATTGACTACATGAACAGTTTACATGGTAAACTTAAACATAAAAATACTGACATAACAAATAATTCTATTAATATTTGTGACATAAATACTATGACTGCAGATTTAAACTGCTCACAAAGACAAAGGGAAAGCAATCAGAATTAATAATTGTTCATCAGAACATACAAAGTTTTCCCTGCAGCGAGTTAATTATACAATTATTTTTAGAAAAGTATAATATTGATATTGTCTGTTTCACAGAACATTGGCTTAAAGAGAGCAATATGATGTTCAATTTAAATAATTATAACGTTGTCAGCTGCTTCAATAGAAAGTCAGTTAACAGAGGCGGGTCTATGATAATTGCAAGAAATAATATTAAAGTAAAGGAACGTGCTGACATTGTTAGACTTTCTATTGAGTGTTGTATAGAATTATCTTGTATAGAACTAGAAAATTATATCCTTATATGTGTGTACAGGCCTCCTAATAGTGATTACAATGTATTTGAAGGGGTGATGGAGGATATATTAAAAAAAATATTTAATAGTATTAAAAAAATTATTGTATGTGGAGATTTTAACGTTGATATTCTTTGTAACACACCCACATGTACAAAAATTATTAGTTTATTTCAATCATTTGATTTAAGTCATGTCTTTCATGAACCCACTCGTGTAACTGCCACGTCTGCTACTTGTCTTGACAATGTTTTTTGTAACTGTGAGTATACAGAAAAATTCATAATAAATAAACTTCCTTCAGATCACTGTGGTCAAGTTGTTAAGTTTAACAGTCAGATCAATAAAGTCAACAATAATAAAAAATCAAAAAGACAAATAAGTGTTTACAATATTAACAAATACAAAAGCGCGATTAAAAATGAATTGGATTTGCTGTTACAATCTAGTAATAATCCTGATTATCTTTACACCAAGCTAATTACTATTCTATCAGGAGAATATGAACAATTTTTCAAGAAAAAAGAAGTTTATGTTAAATCTAAATTCACGGAATGGGCAACAGTAGGTATACTTAAAAGTAGAAATATTTTGTTTGATTTATACGATCAAAAAAAATATCGATTTGATGACAAATTCACCACTTATGTGAAAAATTATTCAAAAATTTTTAAAAAAGTTTGTATTACGGCTAAATCTAATTATATTAATAAACAAATTAACCAGTCTTCTGACAAAATTAAAACCATCTGGGGCATTATAAATAAAGAAACCGGAAGATCTAAATTAGCCTATGATCAATTTGCATTAAATTATGATAATAAATTAATAACAGCAACAAAAGATGTAGTTAATGTTTTTGAAGATTTTTTTGCTAACATTCCGATTAACATTACATCTTCTCTGGACTCATCTCCATCTCGAGCAAAAATATTACTAGAGTCTAATATCGGTTGTTGTGCTTTAAGATTTAAATTTTCACATGTTAGCCCCGTTTATATCATAAAAATATTCAAACATCTAAATTTAAAAAATACAGAAGACCTTTGGGGCATGTCTGTAAAAGTAGTTAGTTCTTTCATAGATATTGTTGCTCCATATCTAGCTACTATTTTTAATAAATGTATTGATAATGGCACTTTTCCACAATTAATGAAATTTAGCAAATTAATCCCACTATTTAAATCAGGTGATAAATTTGAGCCAGGGAACTATAGACCTATATCTATTTTGCCAGTTCTAAGTAAGGTGTTTGAAAAGATAATTTTAAATCAAATGTTACAACACTTTAGGGATAACCGACTGCTTCACAGTCAACAATATGGTTTCACCGCCGGCAAGTCTACCACTGACGCAGGTGTAGCGCTGATAACACATATTTTCCAATCATGGGAGAAGTCACAGGATGCACTCGGAGTTTTTTGTGACCTATCAAAGGCATTTGATTGCGTGGATCATAAAACACTTTTGTACAAGCTCGAACATTATGGTATAAAAGATAATGATCTAAAATTAATGAGAACTTATTTAGAGGATAGGGTCCAAACTGTAGATATTGACGGTATAAAATCTAGGGGAGCTAATATTGGGATTGGCGTTCCACAAGGGTCAATCTTAGGCCCCTTTCTCTTTTTAATTTACATAAATGACCTTCCCTTTATGGTAGAGAAAATTGCAGATATAGTGCTGTTTGCGGATGATACTTCGTTAGTGTTTAAAATTGGACGTCAAACTAATCAATTAGACGATGTAAATTGTGCTATGTCTGCTATATTAAATTGGTTTACATGTAATAACCTATTATTAAATTCCAGCAAAACAAAGTGTATAAAATTTACACTTCCTAATGTAAGACCAATAAATACACAGTTATTGCTTAATGATGAAATAGTAAATTTTGTTAATGATACAGTTTTTTTAGGTATAACAGTGGACTCGAAATTACAATGGGGGCCCCATATTTCAAAATTGGCCAATAGACTCAGTTCAGCTGCATATGCCATTAGAAGAATTAGGCAATTAACAGACGTGGCGACGGCTAAACTTGTATACTTTAGTTATTTCCATAGCATTATGTCATATGGTATACTACTATGGGGTAAAGCAGCCGATATAAATACTATATTTATTTTACAAAAGAGAGCCATACGTTCTATTTATGGTATGGGTTCAAGAGAGTCATTACGTCAGTGTTTTAAAGATTCAAATATCCTCACCGTTACTTCACAATACATTTATGAGAATATCATGTATACACGGAAGAATTTAGAGAGTTTTAGAAAACTTAAAGACTGTACAAATAGAAACTTACGCAATAAAAATAAGCTAATTTTACCTAAATGCCGCCTGCACAAAGTCAGTAATTCATTCTATGGTAATTGCGTAAGATTTTATAATAAACTGCCAGAATCTGCACTAAATCTGACAGAGAGGCAATTCAAATCTTATATTAAACAATTTTTGTGTAAGAAAGCCTATTACAGGATAGACGAATTCATAGACGACAACATATCAAGTAAATAACTAGTTTATTAGCATACAACGTTATAATTTAATTTTCTCATTGCTTTCTTGATTTAATTGATTGATTTTAGAAATATGAAAGCGTAGCGGTTTTTGTATTGATCGCCGCATGCATTCTTATGTAAAATGTGAATACTATAACTATCAGATAGCAATTGTAAGTAGCTTTGACGTAGTCTAGTGTTTTGAGTAGTCATGCTCACTAAAATGTCCAGACTTGTGGCGGCGTGGTGGGCCGGGTCATTGGGCTCCCTAAAATATGGTCGAGCGCAGTGATGGCTGGCTCATCCGTCATACTCGTGAACGGGTGCTGCTTGTAGGGACTGGTCTGCTCTAATCACTATGACTGATTTCCTCTTATTAATTGTTTAACCAGTTGGTTATATATTCAATATTATTTCTATTTGAGTATTTAATAGAATTAGTGCTAATTGGTGGTTTGTATTCACACACTTAAACTTAAAAATGTAAAGTAATAATACAATTATTTAAAAGAGCAACACGCAAGTTTCTTGCTCGTTCTTCTTGTGATGAGACAGCTTTCCGAACGAGCGGTAGATTAAAAAATGTAATGACTATTCAAAAGTGCTTCAATGTAAGTTTATTTGAATAAATGATTTTCTATTCTATTCATTTATAATATTAGTTACATTATGTCCTGTGTATTCAGCCTGCATACAGGCGTGCAAATTTTTATACATTACTAGCTGTTCCCGCGACTTCGTCCGCGTGGAATTTAACTTTATTTTTCTAAAATAAAAGTTGCCTAAGTTACTCCTTATTACATCAGCTAGCTGCCAAAAAAGTTCTGTCAAAATCGGTCCAGCCATTTCAGAGATTAGCCGGAACAAACAGACCGACAGACAGACAGACAAAAATTATAAAAAATGCATATATATTTGGCATATATATTCAATTATATATTCATTTTCTACTAGATAGAGTGATTAAAGAGGAAGTTTTATATGTATAATATATGTACACCCGGGCGAAGCCGGAGCGAGTAGTTAGTATTGTATATACTAAATTAGCATCAATGACACAGATCAAGTAGCAGCCCTACCGATGTTGGAGTGGCGAGATCCAGTGGAAGAAGATATTGAACGAAACCTGGAGTCGGTTAGCAGAATTACTGGCGCCTCCAACGGTAACTTGGCTGCGTCTCAGGTCCACGAGGTAAATAATAATAACACAGAACTATTCAGCACCACCTCAACTCCATAAAAAGCATTTACCTTATCTGCACCTTCCGAAAAATATTCCTCAGCAAAAACGTCTCAGTCCACGACGTAAACAATAATAACAAAGGACAATTCAGCACCACTTCAGTAGAGGGGGAAAGGGGATTGTAATGTAAGCAATGTACCATGTCAAGTTGACCTCCACGCGTTTCCCCTTGGAAACCATCGTGATAAATTCTTGTTAAATTTGTCACGATGGGCTAACTGACCTGACCTCATGCTCATCTTATCATCCGCCACTGGTGCCCCGCCAGCGTAAACCGTTAGCGCAGGCGGGAGCACCATTCCATTATCAACGATAAAAAAAACCACCACTTCAGTCCCATAACAAGCATTTAACCCTGCATACTCCATATATAGTAATAAAGTATAATAAATGATATCACTATTTAAATGCAGTAGACTAAGATGTCATGCCTCTTATCCTGTAATATCACTCGTCGTCTAATCTGACCAATATTATTATATAAAAAACATCTATTAAAAAGAGCAACACACAAGTTTCTTGCTCATTCTTCTTGTGATGAATCTGCATTCCGAATGAGTGGTAGAATCAAAATATGACTATTCAAAAGTGCTTGCAATGAGTTTATTTGAATAATAAAAAAAAAATACAATCGAAACACAAGGTGTGTTGAAATAACACAAGAAGACGAAATCTTTAATAAAGTATTCCACAGCAAAATATTGAAGCTTGTACTAGTTGCACAGGATGTTTAGTGTATAAGAATTTTGGAAAATTTGTTGATTTTGTAGCGCGGTGGTATCATCTCACCACTAAAGCGTTATGTATGATGTGATGTCGTCGCTACAAACCATAATTTGTTGTTTATTTTAAGTTCATTTTTATTTTTATTTTTTAAGACGACCTCGGTGGTCTATCGATTTAGCACACCGCTTTACGTCCGATAGTCGCGGGTTCGATTCCTCGCACGGCACAAACATTTGTATTCATGAGTATGATTGTTTGTATAATATGTATGTATTTACGAAAAAAAAATATCTATGTATTTATATCAGTTGTCTAGTACCCATAACACAAGCTTTCGCTAGCTTAACTTGGGTCTAGATGGCGCTGCGTGAATTGTTCTGAGATTATTATTATTATTATTATTTTAGTATCTAGGTAGTGAGTATAATAGTACTGTTTATTGTACATTAGTAAGTTTATTGGAAAGTATGCTACATGGCTTATTAGTAACGCGTACATTGGCCGCGCAATCGGGACGTAGACTGACTTAACACTGAATTTAAATCTATATTATCTGGAGTGGTACTAATGTACGGATCTCGAGTGTTGATAGAAATAATACAAGTGTAGGCATGAATAACTTTATCGCCGTCCACGATCATTGATCCAATAAATAGAACTCGCATTCCGACTTCTTGTTAGATACTTGCATATCTTTTCACCTAATTACTCATAGATAGCAGTAAGAAAAAGTAAGAGATAGTTCAATCTAGCAACATTATTTTACACATAAAATAATGTTACCAGATTGCCAATTTTGTAAAGGCGTAAATTAAACATTTGTTATCACATCAAATTTTTTGCCAGGCGTTCGCCGTGGACCATCACAGTCTTCCAGATGATAAGCTCAAATATCTTAAGCAACTACGAACTGACATCAATCAGAGGAGAGATGCTATCAACAGGATCGACGAGGAGGTAATACTCTGTTAAAGCATTTGTATCTGGTTTAATACTAAAACATGTAGCATTTTTATCAAAACCACTAAATATATCACAATCGAGAAGGACTTTTAAGAAAATATATATTTATTTATTATAATATATTTATTTCTTATATATACACCATTGGCAGGTCCGCGATGGAGGCCGCTAGGCCGGTTCTTATAATTATGTTGAAATGCTATTGCATATTTAATAGGAAAGTGCTGCATCGTCAGCGAAACTACACGTCGAAGAATTTGTAGCTTCAATAAAGATTTTATTATAAAGGGTATTTTATACTGCCATATTAAAATAGGTACATATTATATTTACTAATAATTATTGTCATATAACACGCTGCCAATTGCAGAAGACATTGGATAAAACGTTCCAATAAAAAGTGAATAACAATCTTCAATTCTTGTAGTCTTTGAACTTTGCAATACAAATGACTTTCCAGAAAGGTAGTCTTTATATAAAGTCGCCTATGTCGGCTAACAGCTAGTCCCTAATAAGAATGATCTCATATCTGTACTATTTGTCTTCCTATTTTTTTTTAATACACATTTTTCGTTACTTATTGTACGTTGCTTATATCAGTTCTCAGATGTTGACGTCTCAAAATGTCCTCAATCGCGGCGCCATGACGCCAGCAGTGTGCGCTAGAGACGACATAATGTTTCCTTCTCTTTCCGACATATACTAGAGTACGAAACATTTAATAACAATTGGTATTCAGGAAGACCCAGCAGTACTTACGTGGCTGTTGTGCGAGTGGCTGGAAGGTCTGAAGCAACCAGTGCTGGACCGAGACGACCTCGCCGCCATAGTGGGTCGTGGTCAGAATGTGGAGTCCTGTTTGCTGACGCTATGTATGGTAAGATTCGTAAAGTTTTCCGTAGAAAAACTGCTATAAAACTTTAATATAGCCTCTTAAGAAATGTTCATATTGCCTGTTAATTTGAAGTATGTAATAATTTTTTTTTAATCTTAGGTAATTTGATTTAATAGTATTATAATTATTATATTTATATTTCTCTTAGATACCTATTTTTGAATCCTAGGTATTGTTAATAATACAAATTACAACCCAATATATATATACTTTCAGATTGACAAATTTTTTTGAGTCGTATGTTGGAGTCGGTTTTTTTTTTAAGAAAATTATTCAGAATGATCTAGAAATTCAATATAATTATCAGTACACCTAATTCATTAGAACTTTATATGCATAGTTTATATGAATCACATGCTTTCAATATGTCGGGTTGATAGCGTGGTATAGAGAGAGACAGCGAAGAGTAAAAAAAATGTCACCCTAGTTCTACATATACAGGTACATAAAACAAATTATTCCCTACAATAAATATTACTAAACCAATTTTCTTGTCCCACAGGAGGATGCAATTCTCTTAGAATATCTACTGCGCTTCGTAACCCGCCTTAGACCGCTGGCGGCCACCAAAAAAATTGATATTTTAAAACGTCTCCTCGCTTCCCTCTCGCATCAGACCATCCTGATCAGCGGCCGATGTCTTCCAACACACAAGGACTACTCGCGTCTGAGAGATGGAACTTGCACCCAAGTGGTGAACTTCTTTTTAAGAATGATAGTGGAACTCCAAAGGGATATGATGAAGCCGGGAAGAGATGACGCCGACGTAGTAATTCCGATGAGAAGGTTTAGATTAAAGGCCTGGAAATAGTATATATCTATTTATTTTCCTATTTTACATGAATACTTTAAATATATGGATTAAATTTTAAAAAAATCTTCACATATTCAAATATACAAAATATTCTAAATTTTCATACAACATTGGAGTGTTTTATTTAACATTCTTAATTTTTATTTCTCAGATTTATTATCCATAACAATTAATCTATTTTTCATTACGAATACACCTGGAGGGTAGACTGCTTTACACTCATATTGTATGTGTAAGAACCGCGCCATCTTAACTACAAGTGGGCTTTGATTTCAAGTCTGGATGGTCTTTAATGGTAGCTACCTTTGAGTTGGAGATAATGAGATTAATTAAAAATTTGTTTCTGTATTTTCCACGAGGTGGCACTATATTTATATACTAGACATAGCTGTTAATTAAAAGTCTTTTTTTCTCTTCTGGTTCCGAATTAAAAGTTATTGACTATATATTTAGTCAATGAATTTAGCAAAATTACTAGTCAACCAATCCATAATCTTCAACAACAAATATTCAAGTCTAAGATAATTTCTATTGTACTTTACTAGTTTACTGAAAAGTGTATGTGGTTTAATATAAATAAATGTAATAATTACTTATGTAGTTACCTGCTCAATAATAATAAAAAAATAATTAAATTAGAAATATATCACGTTCTAAAGTTACATTATAAAATACCTGAATTAAAAGTCGAATGTGAAATCATCGAACGAATGACACCAACGCGACTTTATGTCATCAATCTGTCAGTCATTTCCGTTGTGTCTGTCTCTGTCTATTCTGTATTTCTGTCATCGTCATCCATTCTTAACATTTATATTACACGTTGTCGCTTCACATTACATATTTTTACGCAATAACAACAACAACATCGTCTTCATAACTTTAAAAAAATCTTATTATTAATCAAAAATGTCGTCGACTGAAGAGAACACCCAACTCAAAGCAGGACATCCGCCTGCAGGTATGTATTTTCCGGGCTATGTATTATTTGTTTACATAAATTTATTATAACAAAACAATGAGGTCTCAACCATAAGGTGATTAGAATTTCTTTATATTTCATATATAAATGTAATAATTTGACACGCAATAGGTTTTATAGATTGAACAATTAAATAAACTACCTAGAATAACTGAGTTGAACACATATTATTTAGTGTAAAGTAAGGTACGTCCTTGAAATTAACCGATGCCGTCACTAAGTGATAAACTAACAGACGATATCAATTTTCCGCTCACAATTACTCAATGTTGTTTTTAACAAAGAAAAGTATTTAATTTCAAGGTGACTGATATATAATGCATAGACACATAAACAATATTAAATGGTCACACGTTTCTATAATGGAGCTATGTAACTATTATTTTAGTTTATATAGTTTCATTGTTTAAAAAATATAAACAAAAGAAATAGAAACCAAAGTAATTTAAACGAACATCTATGTCTTTTATTTTTTATTTCATTTTAATTGTTTTCAATTAATAGTGTTAAATAATAAAACTCAGTATTCAAGACATTATCAAAAGTTACAATCTTTAAAAAAAAATTTAATTTTTTTTATTAGTTTTCAATAGCATTAGGTAAATCGTACAAATATTAAATATTCAAAGACAATTATCAATAGTTACAGATGATTAATATAACTATTTTACAACATGTTAAAAATAATTATGAAATAATATGATCTCATAAACAATCCCTAAATATCTTTTTTTTTTATTTCGTTAGTGAAAGCTGGTGGCATGAGAATCACACAACACAAAACGCCACACACAAAAGAAACTGGAAAGGAACCAGCTAATGAAGACCTCACAGGTCTTTCGGGTCCCTCGCCAGTGCCATCTAATCCGGTCTCCATTTCTGGAGCTCCCAACAGGGGCAACGCTGATTTCACTCCAGAAGCAGCTCAAGTGGCACACAGTCCAAAGCCTCCAGCACACATCAATATTAAGCCTAGCCCAAACATCCATCAGCCTAGGAAGTAGATAAATAGAGATTATAACAAAGGCATATCACCATCAGACAGTTTGTATAGAGTGCTTGTTTTTTCTTTTTTAATAATTTCTTTGTTTTTATTTTCAGTTGATTCTTTTATGCCAGTATACAATATACATTTAAAATATATAATATTGGAAAACTAGATTGTTAATATATATGTTAAATTTGTAGAAAATTGTTATGGAGATATAGAAGCTATTGACCAGTAACTAAGGCATGCTTATCAATGAGAACATTCATTACAATTGTACAAATATTACATACTGAATAATATTCATAGATTGAGAAACAAATTTTTAACTGTGTTTTAACATTCTCATATCTACATAATACAACAAATACGACATGTATACTGTATATTAATTATTAATTCAAAAAGTTCTGAATACACATTAAAAAATATAACATGAAGTTAAATCATAACATAAATTCACACTTTCTCGAATTTCATTTTCATTCATATTAATATAAGTATAAAAATTATTTTACATTTTATTTAGTCCTTGAGTCAAGGAGAAGTATTTGAATCAATGCCGTCCTTTTGCAGACAAATAATGGACACCTTTTTTAAGTCAAGGATTTTTTTAAGTCGAGCACTCAATATTAATTGTTTTGACTGTCTAGCCTAGTGATTAGATTGGTGTAAGAGATGTACCTATTATAAATAAGTTATGAATTTATTTATTAATGTATCATGCAAAGCAATATTTCCATCTGTCTCTTAACCTAATCAGTATAAGGCTGGAACAGTAACTGATAGCTTTTTTAGTTTATGGTTAATATACACATCAGAATTAATAAAAAATATGTACTAAATATTTTCACAACTGCATTAACTAAAAAACAATTTGAGTAATCATATGTTAAAATTTAAAAATAAACAAATATTAATGCAGATTATTGATTGCAAGCAAGAATTAAATTTTATTGACATCCATTTTGCCATAGACTAACAAAGCTATATAACTGCAATTAAATATGTGTTAAGTTTGTAGACTTATCACTCAATTATTAAGGTTGAAAATCATGCATAACTAATCATAGTATAAGTCCTTTCTATTTCTATAATTATATAAAGTTGAGTAAATTTTTCAATTATAAATTGGGTTAAATTTCTTTCTTTAATAGTTTTATTTTTTAATAATTTTGAAGTATATGTTAATTTTCTATTTCTGAATATATAAAAATTTTAGATTCTTCATTTTGAAATTGTATTATTGTTTGTCGACTGAAATTTATTATTTACTAAAGTATTGTTATTAATTGGCAAATTTTAGATAACATCTTGTTATTACGTACTTATTTTTTTTTCAAAATATAGCAATAATTTTTTATATTTTATCTGTTTTGGTATTTAAAATGTTTTTTTATGTGAGGTTACTTACACTTATTTGGTGCTAAGAACCAATAATTTACAGAATATAATTGCATTTCTTTCACATTCCCATTTTACAATAGTTTTTTATACAAAAAAAATACTTTATATATTTTCTCTTAATTTATATGGTCGTAATATTGATTTTATTAGGACCATAAATTATATTAACTTTTTTTTAGTTTATAAATAAAATAAATGTAAATCATAATACTTAGTTTTATTTATATCTCCTGAAAAGATGTAGTATAGTTTCTTATAGGATACGCAGGTAAATATGATAGTAAAAAGCGTGTGTATATACATAAATACAATCTTCATAAAAATCTCATGTATGGTCGCCGCTCCCAAAGACATCACTTACATCTGAGAGCGAGAACTAGTGGAGTTACACTATAATATGAAATACTTAAATACATATTTAAATGTGATGCTTATTGTTTTTTATGATAAAGGAATGGTGGACCCCCTGCGCTAACGGCTTACGCTGGCGATTTCCAGTGTAGGATGATAATATGTAAAGGTCAGTTAGCCCATCGTGGTAAATTTGTGGAATTTATCACGATGGTTTCAAGGGGGAACCGCGTGGAGGTCATGTTTACATGGAACATTGCTAGCAATAGGGTTATTGTTATTAATCCACATTACTAGCAATCTCCTTCCTACCTAGAAAGAATAATGTGTAAGATATTATATCTATATAATAATAAATATTGACGAGAATAAGGTTAAAAATTATATTACATTTATCGTATGCTAAAATATAATGATAAAACAGTTCACAATATTATTAATAATTTTTTTTTTTAAATAATTACGATCTATTTTAATAAAATGTATCAAAATAATTTAAGATATATTTTTTTAATATGTTCTTTTATGAAACGATTATTATCGTCCGACAATTGTCTATTAATTACTCCTTGCGCGTGTTTTGTCTCTTTTCTAAAGATGTCTTCTTGATCTTCGTCAACATCTATAATATATAAAGCTGCATTACGGTGACTCACTCACTGATTGACATAGTTGTTCTCCCAGAAGGAGCGTCCGGGGGTCGAGACGATGTATGGGGAAAATGTTCCTTTGGCTAGGGTGACCACGAGAAAATTCCGAAATTTGGGAAAATCCAAGATGGCGGACAAAGATGGCGGCTAACTTTTACATCGGATATTCCGTTCAAAGAGTGATTTGGCACGTCTCGGCGGGACCCAGAATATGGCGTAAAAACAAAAAATTAAAATCCAAGATGGCGGCGAAAAAATTGCCAAAAACTGGTTGAAAATTTTCTAGGGTTTCAAAAACCGAAATTCCCAGGGTAGTTGCGGGGGTGCTGGCGACACCGGTTGTAGGGCATAGGAAACTCGAAGGATCCGACCTCTAGGGAAAATTATGAAATTTCGAAAATCCAAGATGGCCGCCGAGTTGGGGGCGTGTGAAATTGGTCCTAAAAATCCGGATTATTTTCAAAGTCATTTTTTAGGTACAGGGCAACCCCGCAGCGAGTCGGCTTCTATGGGGCGATGATGGGTCTCGGTATAAAGTATTGCCAGCGCTAAAAAGAATTCCCGAATTTGGGGTAATTTGGGAGAAATGGTCCAAAAAGTGAGAAAAAATTTTTTCGACATTTTTGACAAAAGAAGCATCAAGGCCTATCGAGAAACATCCCCTAAAGGGTTTTAGGTGGGTTTTGTTGGAATTTGCTGGCAACACCCATACATGGTATGACCAAAATAGAAATTGGGGTGTCTCTCCAAAAACTGAAATTCCTAGGGTACTTGCGGGGATGCTACCGATCCCTATTGTAGGGCATTGGGAGGCTGAAAGACTCGGCCTCTAGGGAAAATTATGAAATTTCAGAAATCCAAGATGGCGGCCAAGCTATGGGAGATTTATATTTTAGGATATTTTCAATCGCGTTTTTGCTGCACATGGCAACCCCGTAGCTAAACGCCATCTACTGACATGGGTAAGTCTCAGTAAGAAGATTTACCAGGGCTAAAAATTTTCCCCGATTTTGGGTTAAATTTGGAGAAAAGTCCCATAAAGTGCAAAAATTTTTTTCGACATTTTAAATGAAAAAGTCTTGTTGGTCTACCAAAAATCGTCCCCTGAAGGGGTTTAGGTGGATTTTGTCAGAATTTGCTGGCAACACCCATACATCATGGGACAAATTTTGAAATTGAGGTCTAGCTTCAAAAACTGAAATTGATAGGGTACCTACAGTGTGCTAGCTCAACGCACTGTGCGGCGTCGGATAGCCGAAACCCGGCATATAGGGAAAATTATGAAATTTTAGAAATCCAAGATGGCGGCACAGATAGGGGAGTTTTGCTTTTCGGATAAAATTTGGGACATTTTTAAATGTTGTTTTAGGACACATGGCAACCCCGCAGCGAGTCGACTTCTATGGAGAGATGATGTCTCTTGACACAAAGTATTACCTGGTATGAAAATTTTCCCTGATTTTGGGGTATTTTTTGAGACAGGTCCTAAAAAGTGGGAAAATTTTTTTTCGACATTTCAAACAAAAGAATGATGAAAATCTGTCAAAAGTCATCCCCTTAAGGGTTTTTGGTGGTTTTTGTCAGAATTATCTGGCAACACCTCAGATCAGTTTTTTAGGGAATCTCTAGGGAGGCTCTACATAATGTATGGACGAAATGTTTCTGTTACTAGAGAGATACGTCAAAAGTATTAAGAAGTAAAAACAAGATGACGGCCGAGTTTATTTTAAATTCAGTTTTTATTGTCACTAGTTGACTTTTATGGAGCAGTGGAAACTCGGTACGAAGCACTACCTAGTTAAAAATTTTATTTTAGGGTAATATCGGAGAGAAGTAAAAAACGTGGGATTTTTTGTTTCATCATTTTAGACCAAACAATGATGCCGATCTGTCAAAAATAATCCCCAAGGGGTCTTATGGCTTTTGTCAAAATGAGCTGGCAACACCATACATCGATTTCCATTGTAAACAGTACTTAGGAACAACTAGAAGGAGTTACCTTGGCTCTGTACAATGTATGGACGAAATGTTTCTCACCAAGGTGTATATGTTAAAACTATTTAAAAAGGAATCATTCAAGATGGCTGCCGAGTTAGGTTATGACAAGTTTAGGGACGTTTTAAAACCCATTTTTGGGGTACTATTTTATTCCTTACAGCATGTTGACTTCTACGGAGCAAAGATAAGAAGAATTATATAGGCCACAAATTTTCCCCGATTTTAGGTAATTTAGCAAACCCAAAATGTGGGAATTTTTTTTTCGACATTTTTTTAAAAATAAAAGTGATGGGTATCTATTATAAATCTCATCTTAATAGTTTTATGCAATTTTTTGTAAAATTGGCAACACCAGGCATAGATTTTCGTAGAAAGTAATATTTACTAAGGACCCACTAAAAGGACCGTGTCTCTGTACAATATGTGGACGAAATATATCTGTCGTAATGTAATATATATGTCAGAAGTATCAAAATGGAAAAATCCAAGATGGCCGCCGAGATTAAATTGAACAAAATTTGGAAGATTTTTTTATTTTGGTACATAGTAACCATGCAGCCGAGTCCGCTTTTATGGGATGGCATTGAATCTCAGTATTGCCAGCACTAAAAACTTTCCCCGATTTTAATATTTATGATATTTTAATTAAAAGAGTGATGAGTGGTTATTATTTATCATAGGTCCTTTATACGATAAATAATAATAATCAAAATTATTTGGAAAACATTATTATGAAAACCGATGTAAGTTGTTACATCGGTTATAAAAATTATGACAATGTATGGACGAAATGTTTTTGCCACCCGGGTAGCTAAGCCAAAATAAAAAAAAATAAAAAGTCGTAATGGTATATAGAATGGTATAGTAAACAAATAGGTAGCTTAGTTTAGGTTTTGTATTATGATTTCTACATTAAAAACTGTGAACCCAAATTAATATAGTATACAGAAAGGTAGGTAATGTGAGGTTTTGTATTGTGCCCGTTGCAATAAAAATTAAAGCCACAGGTCGAAATGGTATATAGAAAGGTAGGTTAGGTTAGGTTTTGTATTGCGACTTACAGTAGAAATTATGCCCTCAGAATAATATAGTAAACAAAAAGGTAGGTTAGGTTAGGTTTCGTATTATGATCTCTACATTAAAAACTTTGACCCCAGACTAATATAGTATACAGAAAGGTAGGTTAGGTTAGGTTTTGTATTGTGAACATTACAACACAAAGTTTTGCCACACTGTTACAATTGGAAGTCACCTGAATGATTTCGTATCAAAACAGACAACTCTCTTGCCAACCAGGTCTATTCGAAAAGAAAACCGTCTTCACAAAAAAAATCAACGACAACGCCTCGCGGGATCTTTCACGCACCCTCTAGTTGTATTATAAATCTGAAAGTAGAGTGTTTTACGTAACAAAGAATCATCAAAATTCGACTACTTTGTTAAAGGTGATTATTAACTAGCTGTTCCCGCGACTTCGTCCGCGTAGAATTTAACTTTATTTTTCTAAAAAAAATATTTTTTCTAAAATAAAAGTAGCCTAAGTTACACCTTATTACATCAGCTACCTGCCAAAAAAGTCCCGTCAAAATCGGTCCAGCTATTTCAGAGATTAGCCGGAACAAACAGACAGACAGACAAAAATTGTAAAAAATGTAATTTTGGTGTATGTACCGTATTTATATTCACATGCATGTAGTAAAAAACGGTTATTTCAATATTACAAACAGACACTACAATTTTATTTATATGTATAGATGAACGGATATGGAAAGGTGCCTCTTCTGGATGAGAACATGATAGGATAAGTAAGAAATCAAAACAGTAGCCTCTCATGTTTCTTTATTAATTTATGATAATGAAAAGGTGCACTCGCCTGGGCTAACGGTATAGTGCTGGCGGGGCACCAAGGGGAACTACGTCGAGGTTAACCTAACATAGTACCTTGTTAGCAATGGTTATTTTAATCCACATTACTATTAATGCCCTTCTCTCCCCTATCAGTCAGATTACACGTGGTTATCTATTGCCTCAAAGTACATGGCCATACCTCTTGCTCGGAGCGTTGATTCCGTACAGAAGTGGCTGGAGATAAGCAGCCCGTAGTTTTTAATTCTGTAACTAGACAATTTTTAAATATACCTACCCCCTTTTACAAAAGTCCTCCGACATCCACTAAAACTCAACTGTATAATTACAATAAGCCGGCCTTATTGTTAACAGCTGATGTATTTGAATTTAGTAAAGACAATTACTATAGTATAATGTAGGTACAACCATAGTATAAAAGCTATTAATATCACACTTTTAAATAATTTTCATTTAAGTGTGATTAAATATATTTTAAATGATACTGTAATATTGTAAATAAAATTTGCAAATATAAATCATCACTACATAGTATAAAACAAAGTCGCTGTCTGTCTGTCCCTATGTATGCTTAAATCTTTAAAACTACCCAACGCAACCCAAACGTAAGGTTTATATGTATAATACATATACACCCGGGCGAAGCCGGGGCGAGTAGCTAGTGAAATATAAAATTAAAAATAAAAACAAAGTATGAATGATATTCCGTGTTAGTTTTTGGTGAAATCAATTTAGAAAACAATTTTTGTAAATGGGCTTAAGTATGTGTCTCGATTTTATTATACCTAAGGTATGTGACCTTAAAGAAATCAATATTATTTGACATAAATACCTTTGGTCTTCGAGGAGTTTAGTTTTTCGGGCTGTAATTTAAAAAAATCATATATACTTATGGTCAAGTATGAATATAAAACCTTCATGGTCTTCTAACAACATTTTACTGTTTATTTATATACAGATTCCATATCGAAATTTTAAAATTTAGAATTATAGAAGTTTTATACCATAATATGTCATACCAAATATAAAAAAATAAAAATTGTTATAGTAAGTCTTGTGGTGTTAAGAATACATTTTTATTTTCTAAAATTATTAATTATAATAAAACTAGTGAACAAGAAAATGGTATTAATTTTGGGCTCTATATTCAACTTGTATATTTTAAATTAATAATGTTCGATTCAAATACCCTACTGCTTACACAATACACTATTACTACTAATTCTACTAAAATAATAACGTTACAAACCAGTTCGTTGAGACTGGGCTTGTAAAATTTTGAATTAAGCTCCTTCTCGCTCTGCGCAGGCGCTACGTTTGGTGTTGCTGTTGATAAAATTAAACATTTTATAATATATTATATTTTATATAATTATATCCATCTATATATTACATAATTAAATTAAAACTAACATATTTGTTTGCCCCACACTGACTCCCTGTAATTCACCCGTTTGAGACCACGGCGCCGTTTGCTGCGCGTGCGCCGATTTGGTCCACGCGAGTCGCTTGATAACTTCCGCATGACTTTATGGTATAAGCAACGGGATGACACATTTGATATCTATATGATGAGGAGGTTATTGAAATTAGTACCTTATCTATACGTAAGTAAAGTCTATATATTAATACGTGAAGCTAATTTTATGAAAACTGTATGGACGGAGGCTTGTGAAATTTCGCACACATATCCTTATTTCCTTACTAATATTATAAATGCGTAAGTAACTCGGTCTGTCTGTCTGTCTCGTTTTCACGCTGAGACCACTGAACCGATTTAAATGAAATTTGGTACACAGATAGTCTAGACCCTGACAAAGGACATAGGCTACTTTTGAATGCGAAAAAAGGGTTGTAAGGTTTGAAGGGGAGATGAAAGGTTATATGGAAGTATTGTCATTTAATGCGGACGAAGTCGCAGGCGTAGCTAGTAGTGCAGAATGCTAACATTTTTTAAAATTATGCATAAATACATTAATAAAAAAACATAGGTTTACAACCATATATTTGACAAAATCGCATATACAGGCACAGGTAAAATTGGTAATTATTTCATTCCAATGTTAGGTATAAACATTATTTTTAATATATTATATTTTTATAATTAATAATTATATTTTAGCTTTTAAATTATGCATAAATACATTAATAAAAAAAAACATAGGTACACAACCGTATATTTGACAAAATCGCATATACAGGCACAGGTAAAATATAATATATTAAATATATAATGTTTATACCTAACATTGGAATGAAATAATTACCAAAGGTAAATACCTAACATTGGTAAACCAGAGGTAAATAACAACAATGTTAGGTATAAACATTATTTTTATTATTATCGTTAACTACTCAAAAAAATATTATTCTAACTCACTAATAATTTAGTCCCGTACGAGGCCTTACTGAGGGACTCCATATTGTCAGCTCATATATTTGACAACAATGGAAACATACCAATTCGCATTGCACATCATCCAGTTCATCCTCCATAATATCCAATTCGTCCGTATCCTTCGCCGGTATGATCAACAATTTCGTCTCCGGACAAGTATTCGATACTACCAGTTGGGAGGACTTGGGGAAGATCAACCGATGAGCTGTTCTGAAGGGTAATCATGATAAAGAGCCGTTTAAGTATTACGTAAGCAGATTTATTACAATTATTTACCCCCATCCCCCTTGTCAGCAAAAGTAAGCAAAGCTCTTACCCCCTCCCCCCAATACTTACGTAAACATTTTTCAATGAATGTATTTTTTTAGCAAATACAATGTGAGGGGTGCCATTCGTGTAAAAAAGTAAATAACTACTAATGACGTAATCATCATCTAGACCCCCATGTCATCCAAAATAAACAAAGCAAAAACCCTCCCGCCCCCTATAGTTCTTATAGGGGTAATACTTGAATGGCCCCTAAACTGTGATAATAATCTAGACACGCGGACAAGTCGATCAAGTTGGGAGGTTTCAAGTAAGACAACTGGCGAGCAGCACCGTGTGTATATTTACACGAACCATTTGGAGCCATTTTTGACCCCCTCATAACTCAAAAACTCTTTCACGTAATCCTGTCAAATTTGGTTTATATATTGAGACTTGCGAGATAAATATGTGTTCCAAATTTCATAAACATATCTCAAACGGTTATTTAGATATTAACGTCCAAATATCGTCATTATATTAATTGATTCTATTTCAACTTATATTGGACAATCACTAAAATTCTATGAAAATCGATAGCCACCATTTAACATTGATCCCTGGCTGTGATAAAATATTCATCTCGTACTGGACACAAAAGTAATATTATATGAAAACGTCGATCATTACCAATTTACGTTGACCCCTTCGCATCAGATGTCGAGCAAACTTCAAATATATATTGAGCAGTAAATATATATATATAGATATCTGTGTATATATAAACGTACTTACAACTATATAGTCGAATATCGTATTTATTATGTTATTAATGAGATTTATGTATTAATGATTGTTTCAATATTTAGCGCACATCGACAGTGTAACAATGATTATTTATATAAATAATGATTAAATAAACCGTATTCATGAATAATACATAATAATAACTCACAGCGCCACCCAGTCCCACGCTAAGCAGTGTTTGTGTTATGGGTACTAGACGACTGATATAAATACATACATAATATACATAGAAAACACCCAGACCAATACAAACTAATGAATACAAATGTTTGTACCGGACGAAGAATCGAAACTCTAGCTGGTCTACTTGTGATGGTTGCATCACAAGTAGACCAGCTAGAGTCGGTAAGACCACTGACACCGTCCATACCCTATTTGACGGAGTCCGTGCTTTAGCCCACCGTCTTACTTCTGATGATCGCGGGTTCGATTCTTCGCCCGATACAAATATTTGTATTCATCAGTATCGGTCTGGGTGTTTTCTATGTATAATATCTATGTATTAAAAAAAAAATGTATGTATTTGTATCAATTATCTAGTAATAATTAATTATATTTAAGTATTAGTTAGTAATTATGTATAATACAAGCTTTAACTAGCTTAACTTGGGTCTGGATGGCGCTGTGTGAATTGTCCTAAGATTATTATTATTACATAAATGTCAGGAAAGTGAAATCTAAAATAGAAAAAATATTGGGTGATGGGTTAGATTACCTGGGTATATAGCACGGTGGTTGAAACACCTCTCTAGTCGCCATGTCTTGACAAACACCGTCCAATAATACTATATCTTCCATCAGCTCATTCACAACGAACACCTACATATAATCAAAATAACAGTATATAATCTATTCAATTAGATAGATAGAGAAAAAAATTATTTGTATCTTATTACACACATATAGTCTTAATACAAGTAGTGGGGAACGGCGATTGTTGATTATGTGGACTGATGACGCCATTGCTAGCAATGTACCATGTCAGGTTGACCTCTACGCGGTTCCCCTTTAAACCATCACGATAAATTCCAGGTGAATTTGTGTCACGGCGTGCTAACTGATCTAACCTCATGCTCATCTATAGAATGGTGCACCCACCAGTGGAGGATGGTACCTCCACTGGTGGGTGGACCATTCTATTAACATCCCTGAAAATCAAACTTATTTTTTGTAGATACACAGATAATATACATATATAAAAAATACACAGACCAATGTGAACATTATACTCATTAATACAAATATTTACATTGTGCGAGGAATCGAACCCTCGACCATCGACAGTAAACCGCAAGACACCAAGATCGTCACATTGTTATTGTGACATATCATTTCAAATCATTACATAGTATAAAATAAAGTCGCTGTGGCTGTCTGTCCGTCCCTATGTATGATTAAATCTTTAAAACTACGCAACGGATTTTGATGCCGTTTTTAAATAGATAGAGTGATTCAAGAGCAAGGTTTATATATGAAATACATGTACATCCGTGCGAAGCCGAGACGAATAGCTAGTTTAGTAATAAGACACGAAATTTTTACTATTTAAATGCCGTGAAAGAGAGCTGTGGAAGAGGGGATAAAAAAAATTTATGACGTAGTCAATAAGAAGGCCCTTAAGCTCTATAAAAGATGTGTCAATTGTACCTTGAACGCCTTCAGACAAGGCACGAATGAGTGCTCCAGCCTCATGCTGAGTCTCTCAGCTGACCAGCCATGGTACGCGGGTACAGTCGGCAGCAACATCATGGATAACTTTATACCAATCTCTCGCCACATTGCTGCTTCTAGGCTACACAGAAATTATCTCCGATTAACCTTACTAATATTATATATGCGAAAGTTACTCTGTCTGTCTGTCTGTCCTACTTTTTTAAACTACTGAACCGATTTAAATGAAATTTGGTATACAGATAGTCTAGACCCTGTGAAAGGATATAGGCTACTGTTTAATGCGAAAAATGATTTTAAGGGGTTGAAAGGGGAGATGAATGGTTGTATGGAAGTATCCTAATTTTTATAGCTGGAAACTTATTTTTTAGTTTGTTGTATGAATATAAATAATTAGGGTTCTAAGGGGTTGAAAGGGGAGATACAAAGTTGTATTGTCATTTTTAAAGGTAGACAAGTGAAACTTATTTTTTATGCTGTCGATTAAATAGAAATAAACATGACATTCAAAGTTGATAAAAAATTTACCCTTAAGGGGGTAAAATAAAATAGTGGATAAATTGGAAATTCCTCATTCGTCATCTATTTCACTAATGTTTTATAACAAGAGTTTAAACAAAAGAATAACCAGAATTCACGTTTTATGAAATTCGCGTAAGTTACGGTATTAGCTTAAGATCTCGCCAGGATGATGTAAAGACAATTACGGCCAACAGCTTTAGAACAGTACCAAAAATACTGTGTCAAATTTGAAAACTTGTTATATGGAAGTATATTATATTTACCCCATAATGGGATGAGGGGCGAGGCTGAATGCCTCTCTTGTGACCGCCATGGGGATGTAATATGCCTGAACCGCAGATTCGCAGCGAACCGTGTAGCTGTAGGGGCGATTTGTTAAAACCTGTACAACAAATATTTATATACGTCCGAAGCGATAGGTATAACAGATAATTTTTTCTACAATCTTTTAAAACATTAAGTTCTGTCCAGAACTGCAGTGGCTTCTATACTAGAACCTATATCTACCTGCGCTAGTAGGCTCTCATCAGATTTGGCTGGGAAGGGTGAGAAACACGAGCGGTGAAGGTGATTTACATGTAGGTATAGAAAGAAAGAAGAAAGAAAGAAAAATATTTTATTTAAAGCAATGTAAAAAATACAATATAAACAACAAACGAAAAAAAAGAGCAAATAAAATGTACATATAATTAAACTTAATTTACTACATAGATAATTAAAAATAAACATAAAATAATCATTTATTACATCCAAACATGTACTGTAATGGCTCCGCTCAGCTTTAATATATGTCCTAGGTGAACATACAGCTGGTTTTCAGTGGCACCAAATATACACCCTAATACCTATATATATGTGTGTATATATATATATGTGTGGACTATAATGATTCTTTGTTAATATGCCTATAATAAGTGTTACAGGGCGGCAGCAACAACGATACACTAAGATTATGAACTACTTATTTTACTTATATGTAGATACTTTACACTTCGAGCTTTTAAACCGAACTGGACTGTACAATATCGTGTTTCTATTTAACAACAGTAGGTAGATAGAACCGATATGGTCAAATCAAACTTATATTTTGTACTCAAAATTAAATATATTTTACAGAATTAGATTTAATCTTTACTATTTATTGGTTTACTTCAAACTTATAGGTTACACATTATATAACAATTATTCTCTGCACCACCTATGGTTGACTGGTAGAAAATGCCGCATGGTGTTAAGTCCGCCAAATGTACTGTACTATATATTATATTGTGTGTAAAGTTAAATAAATAAAATAAATATATTAACTAAATGAAAATATATTGTGGTCGTTATTTCACTCATAAATTCGTTGTAGTCATTGAAGTCTGGTTTAGCTTGCGAACTGTTGCTGTTGACGGTAACATAACATTCTCCAGTTATATTTTATAAGTAACTAGCTGTCCCGGGAAACGTTGTTTTGCCTTAAATAAAAATAAAAATTTAGGGGTGGACTACCCCTAACATTTAGGGGGATGTAAAATAGATGTTGGCCGATTCTCAGACCTACTCAATGCTGACAAAATTTCATGAGAATCGGTCAAGCCGTATCGGAGGAGTATGGGAACGAAAACTGTGACACGAGAATTTTATATATAAGATTACACATACCCCAAGAACACCAACAGCATTCCCTGACACGATGTAGTCCTGGCTCGGTTCAGTGAACTTCAAATCTGTTAGGAACTCGTAGTTAGGTATGGCCTCGTCGATATCTCCATCTGGGGGCATGTATGTTGCCTCCAGTAGACCAGACACTAGGATGTACAGGCCCTTGGGTTCATCCCCTGTTGAATACAATATAAGTATACCAATAGATTTTTTCGAGTTGGTAGACTTAAATTTAAGTCTATTTTTGTATTTAATGGACTTATATTATTTTGTTTAGAACAAAGGTATTCAGTGCGGAAACCTGACCACCGCTACTGAAAGTGTTTCGACCTTCTCTATGGCATTGATGGCTGGCTCATCCGTGATACTTGTGAACGAGTGCTGCTTATAGGAACTGGCCTGCTCTAATCATTACGTCTGATTTACTCTTAATTAGTCACTCAACTAGTTGGTTGTATATTTAATATTTCTATTTGAGTATATAATTGAATTAGCACTAATTCAATTAAATACTCAAATAGAGAATTGGTAGTTTGTATTCACACACTTCTACTTAAAAACCTTTACGTTTTTACAACAAAATTATTTAAAAGAGCAACATTCAAGTTTCTTGTTCGTACTTCTTGTGATGAGACAGCTTTCCGAATAGTATATAATATAAGCGGTAGGTTGAAGAAAAAGTGATGTCTATTCAAATAATGTAAGTTTATTTGAATAAATGATTTTTTATTTTATTGTAGACTAGCTGTACTCACGACTTCGTACGCGTGGTATTTAACTTTATTTTTCTAAAATAAAAGTAGCCAAAGTTACTCCTTATTACATCAGCTATCTGCCAAAAAAGTCCCGTAAAAATCGGTCCATCCATTTCAGAGATTAGCCGGAACAAACAGACAGAGAGACAAAAATTGTAAAAAATGTAATTTTGGTGTATGTATTTATATTCATATGCATAAGTAAAAAACGGTTATTTCAATATTACAAACAGACACTCCAATTTTATTCATATAGCGATAAGACCTATATCTACTATTTAAATTTCTTTTATTCTGTAATTGATGCAATAAAGTATAAATAAAAATAAATAAAATAAATATTGTAGTGAGCCCAAAAATGAGAACAGTAGGTATTCCATATGCAGTCTGATCTGTACCTTGTATAAATTGTTCTTTACCTCTAGAGATTAGGATGTCGTTGTAATTATAATTGAGGATGCTGGAGTTTTCCAGGAAGTAATCGGCTACCCTTTCGTTACCTTGCAGCCATGATACAGCGCGTAGCTGTGTCTGAAAACATATTTCTTTAAATATATTGTACTAGCATTGCCCGCGGTTTCAAATTAAATTTATAGCCTATTCTGATATATAAGCTATATTGCTGTAAAGTTTCATCAAAATCCGTTTAGTAGTTTTTGCGTTAAAAAGTAACAAACATCCATACTCCTAAACTTACGCGTTTATAATATTAATACGATTTATTAAAACTTTAGTGCACATATGCGTAATTAAAAAGTATATATTTGGCGGACTTAACAGCTTAGTGCATTTTCTCTCAGTCAACCAAAGGGCAAACAGATATTTATGTGGGCAGTGCATTTAAATTATATATCAAATTAGCTGTACCCGCGACTTCGTCCGCGTGGAATTTAACTTAATTGTTCTAAAATAAAAGTAGCCTAAATTACTCCTTATTACATCAGCTACCTGCCAATAAAAGTCCCTTCAAAATAGGTCCAGCCATTTCAGAGATTAACCGGAACAAGCAGACAGAAAATGTAAAATCGCTATTTTGGTGTACCGTATTTATATTCATATGCATGTAGTAAAAAAACGGTTATTTCAATATTGTAATCTGTTTGTAAACAGAAACTCCAAATTTATTTATATGTATAGATTGAAAGCAAAAATTACGCCACAATAAACAAGTGTTATCAATCAATATAATATTGTATCAGAACAGTTATTTGTTTTATTATTATCTACATTCAGTCATTATGAGCATTGTTATTGTTTCTTTTGTATCAACCATTATCAATAATAATGACTTACTATTTTATTATTATATTTTATATGCGACTTAGAAAGTAATAATATTTTTATGTGTAATTGGAAGCACAAAGGTGCAGACTTTAGTAACCAGTATTCTTAACTTCCAGTCATGGCTTTCAAATTATTGTATAAGTAGCAAGCGTCGACTATATAATATACCTAATGTTTCTGGACAATTCACACAGCGCCATCTAGTCCCAAGCTAAGCAGAACTTCTGTAATGGGTACTACATGACTGATAAACTTAGATTTTTTTGTTAATACATATATAATATACATAGAAAGGATTCAAACCGATACAAGCAATTATATTCATGAGTACAACTGTTTACACCGTGAGAGGAATTGAACCCCCAACCATCGGAAGTAAGACGATATACTAAACCACTAGAACACCAAGGCCATCATTATCATCAAATTATAATATATATATCCAAATACTGAAATATATATACATATGTATATATCTTATATATAAAATTCTCGTGGTGACACGAGAATTTTATATATAAGATATATGCTTTCATTCCCATACTCCTCCGAAACGGCTTGACCGATTCTCATGAAATTTTGTGAGCGTTTTGAGTAGGTCTGAGAATCGGCCAACATTTATTTTTCATCCCCCTAAATGTTAGGGGTAGTCCACCCTTAATTTTTTTTTTATTTTAAGGCAAAACAACGTTTGCCGGGACAGATAGTATATATATATATATACATATATAGCTCATTTTATTTTTCGGACACTCTAATGCTGTTGGCTGCAGCTGGCTTTCACAGTTTCACCGGATGTTAGAGGGCGAGTGCAGATGGCACTCCAAACCCGCGAAAGGACTTATAGAGCGGCTGAAGGTCAACTTCCACCTGACGGATACGACTTTAGTCTGAAGGTGCCGCTAGGGGTTCGAACCTCGGCTCATGCCGTCGTAATTTAATCCCCGTTTGAATTGGACAGGGGATCGATCGGAGGGGCAACCGGGAGCACCAGTGTGAACCGCCCGGGCGTATATAAGCTAATATACAAATTCAAATTCAAAATATCTTTACTCATGTAGGTCTATTACAGACTCTTATAATATGTCCAATCTACCGTCAGTTCGGAATGATTTCGAGATGAGAAGAACTGACAAGAAACTGATATTGTATTTTTTTTTTAATGTTGTACATATTTACAATAATACTATTTCATTTAAATATACGCTATTTAAAGATACACTGCGGCACCAGATGAGTGGAAGCCTTTTCAGCATAGCGAATTATTAGTTTTTAAGTTTTCTTTTTTATCTGTACGCTTTTTTATGCTGAATAAATGATTATTATTATTATTATTAAATTCAAATTTTGGAGAATAGCATACCACCAACATATGCTATATAAAAAAAAAATCAAAAAATCTAATCAGCGTTCACAACCTGAACAGACCAGTCCCCACAAGCAACACCCGTTCACGAGTATGACGGATGAGTTAGCCATCATTGCACTCAACCATATTAGAGGGAGCACATCGACACGGCCCACCACGCCGCCACAAGTTTGAACTTTATAGCGATATACATATAACATTTAGACACAAATATCTCACATCTCATTAGGGCATTGTTAGTAATAGAAAGATACCTCGGGCGATGAAGGCGCCACCAGGCTACCTTTATGGCGACACATTTGCACCTTCTCTTGTATGGCGTTCACCAATAGTCGATACTCCATTTCATCCAAAAATCCTGAAATATAAAGACGTACAAAAATACCTATTCGATAAAATATAGACTATGATTCTTTTCTTTAACCCTTTCAAGTACAAGAAGTACTTGAAAGGGTTAAAGAAAAGAGGCATTGAGAATAGGCGGGTGAAAATGTTGGGGTACTTGTTACGACACGACGAACTTATCTATACATTTATACATATAAATAGAATTAGAGTCCCCGTTTATAATATTAAAATAACCGTTTTTTACTACATGCATATTAATATAAATATGGTACATACACCAAAATAACATTTTTTACAATTTTTGTCTAATCTCGCGATAAAACCTTGGCAAGTATTTCATTCCACAATCTGAGTGTACTTCTGTGTGTGTGGAGTAAGTTCCTAGCTCAGTTAGATATGGATAAAGGCATTATGTCCTTACTATCATTTATTTATTTATTAAAACTTTAATGCACAAATATACTAACATAGACGCATATGGCGGATTTAAAACTTAAGTAAGGTTTAAAATTTTACATGTTATAAATACGAAAGTGTCTGTCTGTCGCGCTTTTACACGATAACTACTGAACCGATTTAAATTATATTTGGTACACAGATAGTCTAGATCCAGAGAAAGAACATAGGTTACTTTTTAATGCGAAAAAGGGTTGGAAGTGGAGTGAAAGGTTGTATGGAAGCATCGTCATTTTTAAAGTTAGAAACTAGAAACAATTTTTAGGTTGTTGATTAAATACAAATAATTATGACATTCAAAGTTTGTAAAAATGTCATCTTAAGGGAGTAAAATAAAATAGGGGATGAATGTTGAAATGGAAATTCGATATGATAAAACTTTTTGTCTTTCGCATTTTTGGGTTAGATTATTAAATACTGTTTCTTTATTTGGTCAAAGTGACTATTCCACGTGGACGAAGTCACGGGCACAGCTTGTACGTATATAAACATTACCCTCTTCCTTAAGCTGCATCGTATCCAATATCATGATATTCAAGGTTGATGTGGTGGCTTGTCTTGTCTTCACAGTGATTGCCGTCCACGGTCGATCACGCTGCAGGAGACCCAACTGTCTTGTGACAGCCAGTCTACGAATGGCAATTGGAGGGCAATCACTATAGCATATATACTAGGTTTGTTACGGGTGTGTTGTTTACACACCACACATGTTGAGCGGAGCGCGTTTATTTTTTTCCGCCACGCTAAGTCTATAGCAACGTTTTTCACCGGCCATTCCTCAAGGAGATTCCCGATCAGAATACTTTGAGTGGTAAACGATGGAGGCCCGAAGGTCGACCTTGGATGAAATTTTGGTCTCGATCAGCCAAGCCGTTTCGGAGGAGTATCGTTACAAAGAGTGCAAATCTGATCTCTATCGCATGCTTCGCGCTCCGTTCAACAATCATTACTAAGTATAAAACAAACTCGCTGTCGCCGTCTGTCCGTTCCTATTTATGCTTAAATCTTTAAAACTACGCAACGGATTTTGAAACGGTTTTTTTTAATAGATAGATTCAAGAGGAAGGTTTATACATATATAAAACATGTACACCCGTGCGAAGCCGGGGCGAGTAGCTAGTATATATATATAGTAAAATATATCAATCGGTCTATAAATTACAATCACAAAATTTGCGTAAACTATAACAAGTTTACTTTTTTCCTCGACTATTCAGTTCAATTCACACAACGTTTTTTAATCCCAAGTTAAGCAGAGCTTGTCTTATTGGTACTTAACAAGTGATATAAATACTTAGATATATTTTATAAAACACATACGTACTATTACATAGAGATGGAGGAAGATTGTTAGTCATGTGGACTAACAACCCAATTGCTACCAATGAACCATATCGGGTTAACCTCCACGCGGTTCTCACTGGAAACCATCTTGATAAATTGGTGGTGAATATGTCATTATGGTCTAACTGACCTGACCTCATGGTCATCTTGTCATCCTCCACTGGTGCCCCACCAGCGTACACCATTTCATTATCATAAAATAAAAATATATTCTCTCTCTATAGTTGTCAAAAATTGTTCCCAGGGGAACCGAATGGAGGTCAACCTGACAAGGTACATTGCTAGCAATGGGTTGAATTATCCACATTACTAACAATCAGTGTCCACCGACAATAAAACAATAATAATGTTTAAACTTATAATTTACATTATGGTCTAATTTCGATCATTGGGCGACCACTCGTAAGTTCAATTATATTTTAATAATAAATAAATAAATACTTTTAAATATGATTAAATATCTTATTTAATATTATAAATGTGAAAGCTTTGAAGAATGGATCGATATTTGTTACTCTTTTACGCAAAAACTACTGAACGAATTTTGAGTGATATTTAACTTATACAGTAGAATAACATATAGACTATAATTTAAATAGATTATGTACATTGGGCGAAATATTATGAAGTAAGTGTGATGAGATGTGTGCAGACGAAGTTGCGCGGATCGACTATGAATAAATAAATAGATTAAATATGATTAAATATCATATTGTTTATAAATAATTGGTTCGTATGAATTGCATAACGTACCTATCCGCTTCCAGTTTAGCATTCAACGTTTCCTGTATTTGTTTGTTATCAACTAATTGAGGCAATAAATTACATACTTCTTGTTCACCGGTCACGAAACCCTAGTAAACATATAAATATAATCTTAATGTTGCTATTCCTTAAAAATAAATACTCATTGTTACACTAACTCATTTACAGTACAATCTGCTCGTCTTTGGAATGCTCTGCCAACGGAGGTCAGATTGTCATCATCGGTTTAATCTTTTAAGGCTCGCCTCAAGGCTCTGGTCACGCTGTTTTAATATTCTTCATATTTTTTATTATAAGTAATATTGTCTTTTATATATGTCTGCTATTACTATTTATATATTTCATTATTATTATTATATTTATATATAGGTATATTTATATATTGTACTTAAATATTTATTTAATACAAGCTGTCCCGACAAACGTTGTTTTATCTTAAAATAAAGAAAAAGTTAGGGGTGGACTACCCCTTACATTTAGGGGGATGAAAAATAGATGTTGGCCGATTCTCAGACCTACTCAATACGCTCACAAAATTTCATGAGAATCGGTCAAGCCGTTTCGGAGGAGTATGGGAACGAAAACTGTGACACGAGAATTTTATAAATACTTATTACCTTTTTAAAATTGACATCTCGTTTAAACAAATAAATGCTAAAAAGTCTGAACGCATTTTAATTCCTAATAGTCAGCAACAAGACACGTGACACCCCTAGTGTCTCAGCCGTCCATAGGCTACGGTAATCATTTACCATCAGATAGGCCGCATGCTAGTTTGCCACCATCGTAGCATAAAATGAATGACCACTGGATACTATTTATATTAACCTTTCCGACGTCGTAGCCGTAAGCCAATTGAATGTCAATCATGCGATCAATGTACGCCATAATTTTAGGTACAGACACTCTGAAAATCATATATTACTCGTTAATAATCTAGATATCATTATATAAATAAAGGACACCACATTACTTCCGAAGGTCGCTAGTTCGATTTCTCGCACGCAAACAATTAAACAAAAACATTCATGAATACATGGGCGGATCCAGCTTTGGCGCCAGGAGGGGGTCACATAGTCGTGTTCAAGTCAAGAACTTATAATTTAATTTTGATAACAATAGATACAAGTAAAAAGTAGGTATTTTATTAATGTACAAAGTTATTATACTATATAAATTAATTAAATATTGAAGAAATGTAGTTATATAAAATCTGTATGGTGTCAAAATATATAAATAAAATCATTATGTTCAATTAGTGGTCCACCTAACTCCAGGAACCAGCTCAGGGGGGGGGGGGGGTCATGGTGGTCATTACCCCCCCCCCTGGATCCGCCGTTGCATGAATATGATTGTTAGTATTGGTCTAGGTTATTTCTATGGATATTGTGTATACATTTACTAAAATAAAATGAGTATTTCTGTCGAGGTGTTTAGTACCCATAACAAGCACCTCTTAGCTTGGGAGTAGATGGAGCTGTATGAATTGTCAGGTTATTATAATTATATTAATCTGAAACCTTACTAATTTGGAGAGTGCCTGGTACGGTCTCTAGTAAAGGTGGTATGGCCACGTCATACGGCGACCATCAGACCACATGACAAGAACAGTACTTGACATGAGTACCCAGCACAGAAGACGCGGCAGACCCCGTTTCACAGGGTCTGTTATTAATCGGGACTAAAAAATACGCCGAAATAACACCCCAAACGATCCAGAACAGACCTTACTGGCGAAGATTGACCGGAAGGTCCGACCCCAAATAAATGAGACTTTTTTATGGATGATAATGTAATGATACACCAGCTTGCGCTAACAATTTACGGTGGCGGGGCATCAGTGGAGGAAGATAACATGAGCATGAAATCAGATCAGTTAGCTCATCATGACAAATTCTCCAAGAATTTGTCATGATGGTTTTCAATGACTTCCCTTGGAAACCATCACGTGGAGGTCAACCTGACAAGGTAAATTGTTAGCAATGGGGCCCAAAGTCCACATAGTAATGTCTACACAATCCACTTTTCCCCTAATAAAAGGGACTAAGATCAGGCAAAAGAAGAATATACCTGGCTAATTTACACAGCCTGAGGAAACGCAGCATCCTCAATAGTTTGGTGGCGGTGAGCACGCTGGAGTTGAGGTTCGTCCACTTGTCCCAAGGGGTCAACGCATCTATGACGTCCAACACCAGATCTAACGGGACAAAAACATACCGTCATACTTGGGACTGCGTCTTATGATAATGGAATGGGGCACCCGCCTACGCTAGCGGTTTACGCTGCCGGGGCACCAGTGGAGGAAGATAAAGTGAGTATGAGGTCAAGTCAGTTAGGCCATCGTGCTAAATTCACTATGAATTTATCACAATGCTTTCCAAGGGAACCACGTGGATGGCAATTTTATATAGTACATTGATAACAATATGGTTATTAGTCCACATTACTAACAATCCCCATCCCCACTCAATAGTTTCTTCAACTCAACAGCCCCTGTTGATTGGAAGAAACCACTCTTGTTGGATAAGTCCGCAATTATTTTATTTCATAAGTTCATTGTATTCATTTATACTAAGTTTTATTGTACAATAAAGTATTACAAACAAAGAACTTTATTGCGCACTGAAGCATAATTACAAAAGAAATCTTTACACAAATGTGCCAAACAAAAGGCGGCCTTATCGCATAAAGCAATCTCTTACAAACAACCTAGATATAATACATATATAATAAATTGCCTACAACGATTTCCAGCCCCCCTCCCCCGCTCTTCCCTCCTACGTCCAGGACCAAGTAATACTAATAAAGTAGGTATATATATGGGATGAACCCCGTACAAGAGGTATATATGAGGGAGATATATATGTATATAAATAAAAAATATAATAATATCTCAGGACAAGTCACACAGCGTCATCTAGTCCCAAGTTAAGCAGAGCATATGTTATGGGTACTAGACAACTGATAGAAATAATTAGATTTTTGTAAATACCTACATAATATACATAGAAAACACAAACAATCATACTCGTGATTACAAATGTTTGTGCGAGGAATCGAACCCGCGACCATCGTAAGTAAAACGGTGTGGTAAACCACAGAGGTCGTCAAGTAGTTGTGAAGCACTTACCAGCAGTAGCCATTACGATGATAAAAAAGTCAAGTTTGTTCCAGTGTGATTTGAAATAGCCGAAGATACCAAAAGACAGCATCTTCAGAACCATCTCTAGTATGTAAATTATGTAAAAGAACCTGTAATATTTCCAATAATGTTATAGGTATTGTTATACGTATTAGACTCAGCCTCCTCCGATCGATCCCTGTCCAATACAAACGGGCTTCGAAGTTACGACGGCTTGAACCAAAAGTCGAACCCCTATTTTTTTTCAATTTCGATTTTGGGCTATTGACAGGTGTTTAAACCTGTAGCACGGCGACCTACATAGATCTATTGAGCACACTCTTTTTCAGAGACCCGTCAGGGGGGTTATTCGTTAATTGAAGGGTATTCTTAGGAACGATGGTTTCTACATATATATGTAGTGGCGGCAATTTCACATAGGATATGTAGTGGCGTTTCCTCCTCATGTTGGCAAAAATCTGCAGATTTTTTCGAAAACCTAGCGGAGCTCTCAGGTTAGTCATATCCGTCAGGGAGAAGTTGACCTTCTGTCATTCCATAAGTCCTTCAGTGCGGGTTTGAACTGCCATCTGCACTCGACCTCTATCATTCAGTACAGCTGTAAGACCAGTTGCGGCCAACAGCATTAGAATAGTTTGAAAAAAAAAATGGTCTCAGTGGCACATCACCTTATTTCCAATGGTCGTTGAGTTCGATTTCTCGCACAGTAGAAACATTTATTCATTAGTCTGATTGTATGCACTGGTCTGGGTGTTTACTAAGTATATTATTTATGTATTAACAAAAATTATATAATATTTATATCAGTTGTCTAGTGTCTCATAACACAAGTTCTACTTAACTTGGGATTAGACGGCGCTGTGTGAACTGTTCATCCTGACATATGATGATTATTATAAGTACTTTTAGTTTTCAGTTTTTATAAAATTCTGGTCGATTCAAGTCTTTTGTTATTTAATTATTTTCTAATTTTATCACTCAAGAATTGTCCTGACTTTATTATCTTTACATAGTATAAAAGGAAGTAGCTTCCGTTATCTGTTCGCTTAGATCTTTTAAACTACGCAACTGATTTTAATGCAGTTTTTACAACTAGATACAATTATTCAAAAAGGTTTCTATGTATAATTTACACGCGTACGAAACCAAAGTGGGTGGGTAACTATTAATAATTTAAAAGCACTTTTTGACGACCTCGGTGTTCTAGAGCACACCGCATTACTTCTGATGATCGCGGGTTCGATTCCTCGCACGACACAAACATTCGTATTCATGAATATGATTAGTCTGGGTGTTTTCTATGTATAATATGTTTAATTACTATGATATTTTATGTATTTGTATCAATTAGCTAGTACTCTTAACACAAGCTTTAGAGTATCTTAACATGGGTCTAGATGGTGCTGTGTGAATTGTCATGCGATTATTATTATTATACTTACAAATTGAGTGACTTTATAGTGTAAATTACACCAAGTGAGATGGATACGTTTAACGCCACTTCGCATAGTATAACCGGCGTATTGCAGAGTATCATGGCATAGATGAATACATCAAACGACACGTTGGTGACCACCCGATAGCACCGCTGTCGCCACGCGTGGTGCGGTACTTGAGCATTGGCAGCCTCAGGGATCATCATGTTTATCAACTTACGTCGAATCCACACCGCATGGGCCTTAATAATGACATGTTTTATTAGATGTTATTTAGCGGAGCTCCATTTTATTTACATGACAAACGTGCATAGCAATCATTCCATGCACGGGATTTTCATTTAATGTTAAACAGAGTCACATACATAAATGTACAGTATAAATAAACTGGTGTTTAAAAAAAAAGAACTTTAGTTGAAGTTGTCGATCACCAATAGAGAAGGTCGTAACGCTTCCAGGAACGGTGGTCAGTATTCCGCACAGAATATTTGTGTTCTCAGTTCTCACACATGCTATTTGTAGCAGTATTAAACAATCTTTATATACTATAAAGCAAAGTCGCAGCCGTTGTCTGTTCGCTTAAATCTTCTAAACTACGCAACAGATTTTAATGAAGTTTTTAGCAATAAATAGAGTAATTCACGACGAAGGTTTATATATGTATACTTAAGTATATTCGTGCAAAGGTGGGCGGGTACCTAGTAAAATATAAATACACACAAATAATCATACCAGAATATAAACATACTTGCATCGCTCTAGAAATCATACCCGCAACCATCGAAAGTAATGCGATGTACCACCAAGGTCGTTGATATTAATAAAATATTTATTTATGATCAGCATATAAGTACTTTCTACACGTGCCACCTTTAGTCCTTGTAACGGCCCTTCCCAGAACTCATATCGTTCGGCACGTGCACGTGCAACGGCACGTGTATGCCACGTGAGTAAAATTCTATATAAGGCCGAGACATTTTTATAAATACATACTTCTGTTCTGTCTCTCGACTGTATCATCTGAAGCTCAAGGTTCTCGACAAAGTAGGTCATATACCTAAACCCTAAAGGGGCGTGTACACTAAAACCCCTTAAGTAACAAATAAAGTACGCTTCATACTTTTGGTTTCCACAAAGTGCCAAGCTGGTCCAAATTGATCCGGCCGTCATTTGAATCAGCGGCCACTTCCACCGCCTGCACTAATGTCCTGACTCCGTCTTTGCTGATCTTTCCGTGCTCGTACTGCCTCCAGTACGATATCTTCATTGCTTTCAGTACACGTTGGTTGGCTTCCCTATATAAGTATAAAATCCGTTTTCATTAACTAATGTATATTTTATCACCGTTGATTTCAGATGATTCTTCGTTCCGAATGAGTGGTAAAATAAAAAAAATGTGACTATTTAACGTGCTTAAGTTTATTTGAATAAAGATTATTTCTACTTTCTTTACTTCATCATCTCAGCAAATTCCTTCTTCGTAGGCTCATTTGGTATCTCCCTCTCGCAGTCAGGGCACGTGGTATATCTGTAGCCCATATACGTGTCGTCCTCGCTGTCCTCATCTCGGCCAGATATCTGGAGCTGGTATGGGTGCTTAACTGTGGTACCTATTATAATGTTCATAAGGTTTTATTTCCGTTAAATCAAAGAAGGGCCATTTACGTCTCAAATTCGATACACATTAAGGAACAGGGGTCGAGAAAGTGTGACATTGTATGACAAGTAGTAAACTCTCACACCCCGTTGTCACACAATATCCTACGTCACATTTAAAGATCTAATGTACCTAAGTATAAAAATACTATATTTGAACTTTTAAGATATAAATTTCAAAATATATGACGTCACACTAGGGAGTGAGTCTCACTAATGTGGCTAACTGTGACAAAGACGGGAGAGGAGTTAAAAAAGAAACTCGTGTGCAATTTATTACTTACACTAGAATAGTGACATAAACCACTTTATCGGTTCAATTTCAAGCCGGAAATAAACTTGTAAGATATTATACTGCCTTGGTGGTCTAGCAGTTTAGCACACCGTCTTACCTCCGATGGTCGCAGGTTCGATTCTTCACACGGTACAAACTTTTGATTCAGGAGTATGTATTAATTGTTTACCACAGTAATTTACACAAAAAATGTATTGATTGACATTCATTTGTCAATTTTTTAAAATCAAGCACCCAAAATGTCAAATTACATAGTAAACTCAACTATTCCAAGGGTATTTCCAATTGTAATTATCAGATATATTCCCAGTTATAATAAAGCGTAGCTAACCTTCTTGTACAAGATCCCAGTTAGCATCAGCCAAGAACTTGTCCATCTTCAGCATAGATATACATCTGTCTCTGGTCATCATGATGCGCTTTACACAGTTAGTCATATTTGCTTTCTTGGCTAGAGAGATCTCGGCCAAGCCCAGCATCTTTAGAACTTTATGCATGGTTGTAGCATTAATTAAAAGAGATAAGAGTACTATACCGGCTGTTTGGATTATGAATATCTGAAAAAGATGCGACGATAGCTTTTTTATTGGATGATATGGACTGTTGCACCCGCCTGCGCAAACGGTTTACGCTAGCGTATACTACTATATGCTACGTTTACATTCAGCCGCTTCCCCTGCCACTCGCGCTGCCGGAAATATTTCCGGGCGATAACTGAGCGAGAGGGCTGAATGTAAAAACACGCTGCCAGTTCTTTGAGGCGCGCACGAAAAATCGACAATCGAGGGAGCGCCGGGCAGCGCCGGGCAGCGCCAATGGCATGGGAAGTGTTTCCACTCGTGTTTATACTCTCGCGCTGCTCACTTCCCTGCCCACTCGGGCTGAGTGTAAATTGAGCAAATACTATACTACTGACCAACTTCATGTTCATCTTATCACTACCAATGGTAGATGTTAGTTGTTAGTTAGCCCATCGTGACAAATTCATCAGGAATTTATCACAATGGTTTCCAGGGAGACCACGTGGAGGTTAATTTGACATGGTAACTTGCTAGGAATGGAGTTTTTAATCCACATTACTAATAATACTCTTTCCCCGGCGACGACAGCTGAGTCAGGAAGGAGCGTAGGGGCTAGGAAATTTAGGCCCATAAAGGCCTATATAATATTTAGTGCCATATTCGAGAGGTAGCAAGCGTGGCACTTCAATTCTCGGAAATGAAAAGAAAGAATTACATGTGTATAGGCAACGTTCATCATATGTTTGCCATTCCAGCTTTTAAAAAATAAACCCTATAGCTCAAGAATTATAGTCAAAAATAAGCTGTTACTTACTTCCCCAACATCAGGTATGGACGGTGTTTGCAGCACGATTAAAGCCAAGCACAAAGACAGAGGGCCCCTGAGTCCGCCCCACACGCAAGCCATGCAGTGTTGCCACGTCATTCCGTAACCAACACGTCGTAGTAATGGCATCATGGCAGAATATACCAGTAACCTTACACAATTTAAAATACGTACATCGGAAAATAATCCTTAGTATAAACTAAATTATAAGGCTTAATTTAAAAAAAAACCTAATTGTCACTACAGTGCAAATTCCTCTGGCCCGATTTCGGTGAGAACGGCATTTTGTGAATACACCACTCGGTTATGTGCCCAGAGAATGGTACCTGAACACTCAAGATCTCGGTCCGATCGATATGAAGACACTGTTCAGTATACTTCAAGATTTTTGGCTTCAAGAGGTACTGTTTTTAGAACTTACTATGTCTTGAAACTCTATGTAAAATATTTCCTACTCAATTATCTATTAATAAAATGCCGCATGGTGTTAAGTCCGCCAAATGTACTTTACTATATTTTGTATATTGTGTGCATTGAAGTTAAATAAATAAATAAATAAAAAAATATCCATTTATTTTCCTACCACAAAGGATAGACCATTTGTCAAAACCGTCTCTGTGCATAAAGGAACGCAATGAAGAATATCATCTCTTTTTTAAGTTGGATTATGAATAAACCAATTTAAACTACATTAGTACTTGGCTTTTGCTATTTATGTACCGTGTCAGTTGGACCTGGAGATCCAATTTTATGGTCAATCTGGTGACTTCGTCTCGATGTGCTAACTAACCTGACTTCATGCTTATCCTATCATCTTCCACTAGTGTCCAGTCAGCGTATACCGCTATCGTCAGATAAGCGGACCATTCCATTATCTTCTATTAAAAAAATACTTAGATTAGGGTGTTATTACATTTGCAAATTAGTTAAAACAATTACCTGGAACAGTAAATAGTCATATACGTAACAAACACCAGCGAAACTTGTTTAACAGTGATCACATAACTGACTTTCTCAAATATCACCACTCCAACCATAGTGAAGACCAAAGTGTTGGCCTCATGCGCCAGCACTGTCCAAAAATGGGACACTATCTGTTCAACATCGCCTGCGACCGTCGACTTCTTATTACTCACAAGAACTCCCGTTATCACAGTTGCTAACAACCCAGAAACATACAAGAATTTCTCCCCTACATAATAAGTGAGGTACGCAGTCGCCAAAGTGATAGTTATCACACATAACATATCATAATAGGTCACAGAAAGTAACGCCCCAGCGATTTTCCCCATTGTGATTCCTAACAATATCCCCCCACCTGCAAATCTGAGCAGAAGCAATGCTAACTGAGATGCATCCGTTACAGCCATAGCCAAATACCCAAATATTGCTGTAAACTCTATCATCACTGTTGCATCTCCTATTAAACCTTCTCCCAATAGCAACACACTTATATACTTCCCTTTAGACATTTCCTTCAACTGTTTCACTACTTCAACTGGGTATATAGGAGAACACACGACACCAAATAAAACTGCAGTTGCGAAGTTCCATGATGATTCCATCAAGTAATATGCCATAAAACCCGCCATGACAGCTGTCAATAATGCTCCAGGAACTGCCACTAGTAGGATCTGAGGAAAACTTCTCCAAAAGGAATGGGAGTCGACGCTGTATGACGTGCTGAATACTACTATAGGCAGGAAAGCAATGAGTAACACATCGATATCCAGATAACATATGTTTACGAAGGGTTTGAACGTTGGACTTCTGTTTGCGCAGAATCCGGCTAAACCACCTAACGCGAACATCACCACTCTGTATGGAATACACAAACTTGTCCACAGCATGAGAGCTCTAACCACTGCACCAATGAGTAAAGTCGTAAATATAAATAGGAAACCTAATGACGTTGGGTATGATAAGTATGGGCGACTCGGATCGTCGAAGGTTATATCCTGCCTTCCAGTCTGATTAGTACTATTTTGACACTTTACAGTTGTAAGTAATATGAGGAATAATTTTAATGTTGCCGACATTTTTGTAATAAGCATGACCATGTGGAATACTTATGTCAGTAAGGTAATATAGTCTATTAATTAATATTATAAAACAAAGTAAATATTTGTGACTCTTTCTACAAGTACTTTTAAACCACGCGAATTTAACAGGTTTTGAGGAAAGATTTAACATTTAAATATTTTAATAATAATAATATTTATTCATTACCAGAACAAAAGATACATATGTACATACATTTGAATTTGTACGCTAATTACAAACAAAAACTATAAAGAAATGGGTTTCTTAAACTACATATAAAACAGGAACTGTAGTACCTCACACTGCATATTCCGGGCAAAAGGGATGACTCAGCTGATGCATCAGAAATTATACAACATATTGGTTCTTATATAATAGTAGAACAAATTTTATTCAAATCTTAAGTAAAAATAAAAAGTTTTATCAAACACGTTTTTTATAATAATTATTGAACAGAAATAATATATATATATTTAAGTTTGTTATTGTCCAATCTTATTAGTTTGTAATTTTGTTATTGTCAATTTTTATATTTAATTTGTTAGTTGTAGTTTAGAATTTAACTTAATGTGCTATAGTTGTCGTCGATCTCATATTGTATTATTTTACTGATAAAGACTATAACAGAATAGCAGAGAGAGTGGACTCACTGCCCTCACTGAGTTATAGACCGTTTTGTCTCCTTCATTAGTTTTAAATTATATTATTGTATGGGCAACTATTATATTAGTTATTGTTTGAGACAAATAAAGATTATTATATAAAGCTACTATACGAGTCAAGGATAATAAAACACAGTAGTATTTGCGTTAATAATTTAAAACACGTACATTAACAATCGGTGGAATAAATTACTCCTTATTCAACATTTTTGGTCATAATCAAAAATATATCTATGTATTTATATCAGTAGTCTAATACCCATAACACAAGCTCTGCTTAGCTTGGGACTATATGGCATTGTGTACATTGTCCAGTGATATTATTATTAAAATAAGTAAAAAGTATAATGGGAAAAGGACCAACTTTGCATTATGACTATTATTATTATATTCTAAACTTAGTAACACCAAGAATTCAATAACAATTATATAATCCGCTTTTTATATTTTATTACATAAATAATAAATAAAATAATTATTACATTTTAAAAGTAAAGGTGATTACAAGTTAGTCCTTCTGGCCGGATTGTCTATAATTTAGTTTTTTATTGACAATTCACACAGCGCCATCTAGCTCCAAGTTAAACTAGCTAAAGCTTGTGTTATGGGTACTACATAACTGATATAAATATATGGATATATTTTCTTTTTACGTAAATCGGTGTGGGTGTTTACTATGTATAATATGTTAGATACATATAAAACACCCAGACCGATAGAAACAATCACACTCATGAATACAAATGGTTGTGCTGTGCGAGGAATTGAACCCGCGACCATCGAAAGTAAGGCGGTGTGCTAATCTACTAGACCACCGAGGATGCAACATACATACAATATCATGAATTTAAAGGAAATAATAACCTAACACCGTTAATTTTGCTAGAACTTTTATACGGTGAAAACTTCTGTGGCGTTTTCCTTGGCGATCTCCTGGGGGTCATACTTTGTTTTCTGTTATTTTCCAATTCTGATAACTCTTTGTAAGCAGCTTGCAGCATGCGTTGCTTCCAGTCCATGTAAGATTCTATTTGAGGTTCTGTTACATCTTTTTTTGGGCTGTCTACTTCCATTTTTTCTTGATTATCATCTGTAATTAAACAATTATATTAATACGTGACGCAAAATCCTTAAGTCCCTTTTCACAAAATTTGCACAGATTGAAGAGTATGAAATTTTGCACACTTATTCTTATCTTATTAATATTATAAACGCGAAAGTTTGTTAGTAATGTTTATTACTCTTTCACGCAAAAAATACTGAACGCATTTTGATGAAACTTCAGAGTAATATGCATCAGTGTAAAATATTAGCTATATTTTATATTCAAATTTAACGCGGGTGAAACCGCGGGTACAGCTATTAGGTTATATAGAGAAGGAGCGCAGAATGCATTTTTTTTTAATATTTTTTCATATAAACTCTGCACAGCTGAGACCAGATGGAGCTGTGTGAATTATCCTGAGATATTATTAGTATTATATATATCCTAGTCTACAACCTTATGTTTCCGATACAGCGTACAACACAGCAACAAGCTGCTTAGCAGCAGAGATAGATGATACAGAAGTATCCACGTTACATACATATTATATATGGTAGTATGTTGTAAATGTTTACTCTGTGTTATCCACCTAGATCTATGTATATGTATATTATTATTATTATTATATGTATGAAGGTATCCACAGAATACCAGCGTCGTGGCACCCTGTCACGACATATGCTGAACATAGTACCAAAAAGGTTTCCCTATTTGGTACTATGAAATTAATATAAACCAGTATGTAATTTAAAATTTAAAAATTATTTTTATTAGTGTTATATTCCAAATACACTATCTTCTTTCTTTTTCTTTACATACGTTAATACAATAGTGTTACTCTATCGCAGTAACACTTTCTGTGACAGATTTTTTATTTAGAAACAAAATATAATCTGTTATAATATTACCGTTTTGCTTTACGTCTTTCTGTCGGCGCCCCTTTTTCTTCTGAACACCAGTAAAGTTGTCATCGACATATTTAGTCCAGTCTGCATCTAACTTCGCCCACTGCGATGGTTTCAAACGACTCTTCTCTATTATTTTACTCTTTGACACTTTAACTTTATTTATTCTGAAATAATAAAACAAAGTAGAGTAATAATATAAACTACTCTATATACATGTATTATGCCATGTAGTTATGGAAATGTGGGAATAAATAGTCACCATTAGTCTTCCAAGATCTAGTCTGATGATTCGTCGTTTATAAGCGAAACACAAAATTAAATTAAATTACATATTAGTTAATGGTCGAACTAAAAATAAGACTATTAATGTTACTTTATTTAAATAAAGATAGATTTTTATTATATTAAGAAAAAAAACATTGCAAATGTTATTATATTAAATAACAGTAAATTTTAGACTTTATATTCAACCAATGTATAAGATTGACATCTCAATTATTTGAAATATTGATAACCCATTTAGCCTTTGTAAATTTTTCAAATTTAGTCAATTAAATAACACACAGAAAAGTAAATTATATATATAAAATACAAACCTGCATGCTTGATACACTGCTATACACACGTATTGTGGGAGATTCAAGTCTATTTCCTGAAAACATTAAACATTCATCACTGTTTTAAGATGATATCTATACTAATACTATAGAAAAGTAATCTCTGCTACTGCAGATCCGATTTTGAAATTTCTTTTACTTTTGGATAGCCCATTTATCGGGGAATACTATAGACTATATAACATCACGTTACGACTAATAGGAGCTTAGCTGCAATGAAACATTTCAATATATTTTTGAAGAACTATTTACCTATGTTCAGTAAAATTATAGGTTTGTCCTTTCCCACCATTGCCCATCTTTTACTACCTAATGGTAGAAAATGTCATATAGCATTAAGCTCGCAAAATTGTACAAGTGCAATAAAGAAGAAATAAAAATCGGAGAATTGTGATGCAAACAAAGTCACATGGATCAGCGATTATTATATAAAATTAACAATGAATGTTTGTGCATACAGTGCTTGAGATAAATATTAGCTGTCTCATTTTACTTTACTGTTTTTTTCTCAATAGTGAATAAAATCTACATCTACAGAAAGCTTCAAAGACATCCCATGCATCATGCATGGAATGTCTTTGAAGCTTTCTATAGACAATAGGTCATGTAGTGCTGTTGCAAGGATTTTAGTTTGCTCCCCTACACAATCTCTATATGCTCTTCTTCTGTGTTCTATTTCTTTTCTGACTAGCCTAAATAATAATAATTTAGTGTAAGAATAAATAAACATTTTATAACTTGCGTTGATTTACCATTTTAGCATGCTTCTGGTAACTCTCCAATATTTTATCAGCCAATGATTGTACACCACTACATTGCAGTGTAATGCATAGCATTGAGGTACTCAACTTGTCACTATTGATTTCTAGAAGGTTCTCCAAGACTTTTCTACTATTAGCATACATAGCTGGCTTGAGGCCTGAGTATTTGATAGCTGTTTTCTGAAATTATATAATATTTATTTATAAACTCCTATGAATACTAATATTATAAAGAGGAAAATATCAATTTTTGTATATTTATAAATATAAGTTTTTGTATATTTGTAATGGATAGATACGATTCTTAGACCTACTCAATACGCTCAAAAATTACTTGATCAAGCCGTTTCGGAGGAGTATGGGAACAAAAACTGTGACACGAGAATTATATGTATAAGATAATACTTAAAAAATATTTGATGGATATTAAAAATTCTTTCACTGTTTGAAAGGTACATTATTCCAGACATAGCCAATATATTATATTTTTATTTACAAAACTCACAAGTTATCTATGGAAGTAGAATATTTACTGGTTAATAATAATCTAATTTAAAAAAACTTATTTCTATTTCATGCATTTTTCCTATAAAATAATAGGTATTTGTAGGCCTAACATAAAAATTCAGCATGAAAAGAATAAAGTTAATAACATACAATCAAAATTAATGGATTTACTTGATAAGAACAACAGTTGGGTTTCATGCTAGTTCTTTTAAATAAAAGTGTGGCTAAATCTGTCAGTCTTAAAACAAATTCTGACAAAATAGTATAATAGTGTGCCATCTCACTTCTTTACCATCTATTGAATCACGCTTTAATTAATTAATCATTAATTCCACATTATATTTTTAGTGAAAAAGATATTAACTATTTCTTTCTTTAAAATTTCAAAGGAGCTCCACCGACAAGAACACAGCTCTTAAATTATGAATGAATGAATTCTTTCAATACTACAGGTAGACAGTAAAATAGTATAAATGTCAATCTCAACTATTTCAGACCCTAAGCAGTTTCCTGCTTACCTAGATGATGATGATGATAATCATAAGGGCAAATAAAAAATGGCTACTAGATACCATATGTTGCTTGCCATACCAATGATGTAAGAAAACTAATTGTTAGCTGACAAAGGTTTAAATGCCCTTTACAATTTCACTGGAAAATGGGAGTGAGTCTAAACCTCACGTTTAACTTATGGAACTATTAAAGATCACCTCCTGCCTGATGGGTGTGTGGGACTTTATCACTGAGCTTTAATGTTGTAAACATCATCTGCTTCTTCCTTATCCCATTTATTTATATGAATAAATTGAACATTTTTAGTTTTACATAACACTGAGTTTAAAAAGAGAAGAATATTCACCACATCATAATCAACACCAAACATCCCAGCAGCTATATCAAGGCATATCGCAACTTTGCTTGTGTCTGTGATATTGCTGCCCGCAATTGTCTTTGCTTGAAGAAGTCGTTCAAATTCTGCTGCTTTACTGGAATCAGATTAATTATTAGTTAGTTTAGTAACTATAAAGATACTTATATTATTTAGTGTTTTTTTTTGGAACATGGCCATAGGTAACTGATATATTTTGTTACTCAAATAACAAAATATATCAAGTCATAATTGGCCGTTTTTATTCATAGAAAATCTTAAAGATATTTTGCTGGACATTTATTTAAAAGAGTAACACACAAGTTTCATTCCACTTGTCATGAGTCTACTTACTGAATTACTCATTCAGAAAGTAGACTCATAGAACAAAAAAAATATTCTTATATTTATTATTATTTGTATGTTTCAATACAAATATTACAAAGTTGATTATACATTGGACTACACTAGGTGCAGGAGTCCACAAAAGAATTGCCTAATGCTAATATCTATTACAGATCTGCAAGAAAAGTAGATTAGTATGTAGTAAGTTAGATTAGACTATTGAAAATGGTTTACATTAAGTTTTTTTAATACATTTTATTTTTATTATTATTATTATTACTTTATGCAAGTAAAATGACAATGGAACCTGACGGAAATTGCAACTGTTGTCAGAATAATACATGAACACTGTTGATATTTGTCTTGAAATTGTAATATTACAAAAAATTTGTTTGTCCATCTACACATAATATATTAGTAGTAGTAGTACCTCTGCTATAAGCTTGAAGATTGTCTCATAGGTCTAATATCTTGATTTTTATGGATTATCACAGAATTGTTCACCCATCTATAGTAACTAGCAGGTAAATGAGTGGATAATGACAATATAAAAATGAAGTTAAATCATTTAAGCCATGCCATTTATTCATGTTTCAAGGGGTCAACCACATGAGGTTGACTTGATTGGGAACATCAGCTGGTATAGGAGTCACTTGTCTCCATTACTAACAATATTTAAGCTCTGCATAACTATATTAAGGGTTGCAGTATCAAAAGACTGATTAAACAAGAGCAGTTTGAAACCTATGTGGATAGATTCTTTTACTGCTTTAAAGGTAGTTTATTCCAGATGGATACAGGCTAAGTCAGAACAGGCTACTAGTATTATTAATACAAAATGCAGCATTGTGCATATTTCACTCTCTTCTCAAGATGTTTCTATTTATTATGAATTAACTCACTTTAAAACTTTTTCTTCTTCATTGAGACCCAATTTTACTGCAATGGAATCAAGGGTTTTATTGTAGGTACCCATATTTTCTTTTATAAATTATTCAATTAATAAAACTTTTCAATTCATAATACGGTTATAAAAACTATTGGACATTGACATAAAGAATAATAAGTTTACAGCTGTCCTTATATGAGATTAAATTATTTTGAACTAAAATTAAAGAGGAAATGATAAGTAATACAGTTTTTGAGATAAAATTAGTATAAAAATATTTTTAAACAAAACTGTACAATAAATTTATTGATACACATGATCGAATAAAACAATATGACGTTTAAGCAAAATACGCGCTTTTTTCAGAGTTGCCAACTCTTTAGAACGCTTACCTCTTACGACAAGTTAGGTAAATTAAAAGACAAATTTGTGACATATTTCAAGTAAAACAATTAAACCTAAATTTATTACAAAATGTGATTGATTAAGTAAAATTGTACAAGAAAATTCCCCTAAAAATATAAATTAACCTAGCTTGAATTGTCGCTTAAGAATAAAAAAAAAGCCAACTGTTGCTTCTTTCATTCGTTCAATTCGTTCACTTTTTAGAAACCGGAAACTGTTCCTTCTCTGAATTATAATATATTATTATTACTCCATCTACGGTCCGACTACAGACTTATTTTTGAACTACAGCCTGACTATTATAATATTTCTTTAATACGTTGTGTTCTGTCCACAAAAACTAAAAATTTATTAAGCCAGCAGTTCCATTGTGGAAAGTTTATATTTCGTTTTACATATAAAATAAGTACTAGCTACACTTATTACTAAGTGCATAAAAGGAATTAAATATTACGTATAAATAACCATATTAGACAATTTGTTAATTTTATGAAGAGTTAAGAAAAACATTATTCTTCATAAAATTAACAATTATCTGCAGAGACTATGAATTTGGTAAATGAGACACCATAATACTTTCCTCCCTTACCTCCTTTTGAGCATTAGTTGCAGCCGACAATTTATGCCGGTAGAGGACACCAGTATTCTATAATGCCAAATGAATTAAACATAATGTACTTAGAGTATATTTAAGCAAATTAATAATTCATAAAACTATTCACCGTTTTTAATAAAATTAATTTGATAATATTCAACACCGTTCTAACTGACAAGTAAAATAGAAAATTCACAAGTTAAATATTGTTATTTTATAAAATTCTATATAGATCAATTACAAATAGGGCACAGAATTGGATCTAATTAATTACAGGAAAATTATATTCACGATTTTCAGCAATTTCAGTCTAGGTCTAGATTGAATGGTGACATTTATCTCGATTCACGTTTGACCACGCCCCTTATCTCGATTCAAACGAACTGCCAATGATAAAACACCTTTTCGTATCAGAGAAGGCGACATGTTGATTTTTTCTAGGTTCTGTAAAGCCGATACGAGATCCCTGTCATTTCTACAAAATGTCTTTGTAGTTATCAGGGTGTAGGTCATAAAATTATAGTTCTAATAACCAATTCGTGCTAATTTTCTGATGTTAAACGTATTTTAAATAGGAGGAAGAGGATCCGCTCCACCCGAAACAGGGGTGTGTATGCAGTGATAGACTGTTATAGATTTGTATCAAAATAATCCGAAGCTATTTATAAATATTATTTTCTCGGCTTTTACTTATGTTCAAACGTTATTAGTAACGTCTGGTCTATAATTAACTCGTGAAAGTTTATAAATATTACAGTATTCTTTGGTGGACTCGTGTGTTGAGTGGGGTCGTTATTCAGAAGGTTGCCATTTTTAGTGGGAATATTATTGGTGAACGGAGTTCTGAGGTGGTGCTAGAAGTAGTCGGTGGTGGTGATAGTGGGCAGGAGTTGTGGGAGTCGATATTATTCGCGTAGTGTTGTGACGAGTGATCAGTCGGTGCAACTTACGGTGTGATGCTTTCAGGTAGAGATGCAACTAGTGTCAGTGTGTACGAGGTAATAGAAGTGCGTGTGGCGTGAGTAGTGCGGACAATGATGGCGTTGTGAGCAGCAGGCGGCACCACGGCTTCGTCAGTGGCAGGGGGCGCGCGGGGAGCAGAGTCTCCTACGCAGGCCAATCAAGACACGGTGGATAACGCAACTCCCACCTGCTGGTGAGTACTTCAAAATAAACCCTGAAATCTAGGATTCCTAAATGTATAAAAAAATAATAAGTAAGTATTTAAGTATTTATTTGTTTAGGAGAATGTTTGCAATGTACATGTTTGGGTCTGATTATTCTAAAAAAAATGATGAATTCTACATTACATTACTATACCACTGTGTTTCACAAGTGCCTGCATAAATAAGTCCACAAGTTAATTAACAATTAAGGTAATTTGTTATTGAAGTTACTTCATCTACATAGTCCTGTATTTGTTGGGGTTGTTGATTTCTTATTTTTATGGATGTGCTGTCATATGTGATTGCAGTATGCAACTAGCTACTGTTAAGTATGGATATTCTAAGTTTTAATTTTACGATTTAAAATAGAGGCTTCAAAAGCAATTTCGCAGGGGACTATATATTAAATTTAGATATGTAGGTGGGCCAGAGTGAAATAGAATAAAATAGAAAATCCTTTATTAAAATAAACTTAATTTAAGCACAAAATTTTTAATATACCTCTCATTCGGAAATCTGTTTCATCACTAGAAGAATTAGTGGCAAATAAAAAAAGTACTTAATTATGAAAACTTTTTATTTACTAAGTAATTATATAGTATATAATATATGGTTGTTAAATATATATCTTTACGTAGTATAAAACAAAGTCGCTGTCGCTGTCTAGTTAGGACATGCAATGGATTTTGAAGCAATATTTTTTAATAGATTCATTCAAGAGGAATGTTTATATGTATAATACATGTACACCCGGGCGAAGCCGGGGCTAGCTGCTAGTAGCTAGTGCTATATATTTGACAGCCTCGGTGGTCTGTCAGTTCAGCACACTACTTTACTTCCTATGATCACACATCTATTCCTTGCACAGTGCAAATGTTTATGAATATGATTATTTGTATTGGTCTGGGTGTTTTTTATATATATTTTAAACAAAATCTAAATATTTATATCTGTTGTCTAGTACTCATAACACAAGCTCTGCTTACTGTGGGACTAGATGATACTGTGTTACTTGTTAAGAGTTATTGATTTATTGTCAATATGTGATCATAGGCCTTATTGATGAAGCCTGGGGACTGTATCTTAACGTTTAAAACATATTGGGGAATTAAAAAGTGCAATACTAAATTGCTTCAGTCATGCGTGAGGAATGTTCAATGAAATAGATGTAGAATGTGAAAGATGGGTGCTAAACTGACTTAACAATTCTATAGCACAATTGATCTGGATTGTATGATGTCTGGTGTATTTTTTTTATTTTATTTATACTCTATTGCACCATTTAAATAATTAAAAAAAATGGTACATTAACTGGTATAAAAGTCTTATCCCTAAGCAATCTTCTCCAGACTACTTTTGGGTGGATAGAGAAATTAAGATTAGATAAGGGTAGGTGGCATATTTTATTTTAATTGGTGGGTTTTGTATTAATTGCCGCATGCATTCTTATGTGAAATGTGAATACTATAAACATCAGATGGCAATTGTGAGTAGCTATGACGTGGTCTGGTGTTTTGAGTAGTCATGCTCACTAAAATGTCCAGACTTGTAGTCATAAAATATGGTCGAGCGCAGTGATGGCTGGCTCATCATACTCGTGAACGGGTGCTGCTTGTAGGGACTGGTCTGCTCTAATCACTATGACTGATTTCCTCTTATTAATTGTTTAACCAGTTGGTTATGTATTCAATATTTTTTCTTTTTGAGTATTTAATTGAATTGGTGCTAATCGGTGGTTTGTATTCACACACTTAAACTTAAATTGTAAGTAAGAATAAATTATTTAAAAGAGCAACACACAAGTTTCTTGCTTGTTCTTCTTGTGATGAGACAGCATTCCGAATGAGCGGTAGATTAAAAAAAAAAAAAAAAATGTTATGACTATTCAAAAGTGCTTCAATGTAAGTTTATTTGAATAAATGATTTTCTATTCTATTCTATTCTATTCTACCCTATGGAACTTGGTGTATAGATAGATTGTTTTTTTATTCTGTGAAAATTAAATGGAAAATTAAAAAAAAAATAAACAACTGCCTGTGCTGACAGTTTACGTTTGCAGGGCACCATTCAGGTCAGGTCAGTTAGCACATTATTTATTATGATTAGAATTTATTATGATGGTTTCTAGGGGGACTGGCATAGAGATTAATCTGACATGGTATATGCTAGCAATGTAGTCTAAGTCCCATACTAATAGTCCCCTTCCTGCTTGAACTAATTTGAAGTAGGATAATAAAAAGAAAAGAAATAAAGGTTATTATTCATTCTTACTAATGGTGAATTAAAAAGGTAATTGTTAATTTAATAATAATTTTTTATTTATAATCTATACTTCTATACATATAAATAAAACTGGAGTGTCTGTTTGTAATATTGAAAGAACTGTTTTTATTTTTTACATTATGCATATGAATATAAATACGGTACATACACCAAATAACATTTTTTACAATTTTTATTTGTCTGTCTGTCTGTCTGTCTGTCTGGCTGTCTGTCTGTCTGTCTGTCTGTCTGTTTGTTCCGGCTAATCTCTGAAATGGCTAGACCGATTTTGACGGGATTTTTATTATCAGGTAGCTGATGTAATAAGGACTAATTTATTATTTTTCTTTTTAGTACTACTTTATTTTAGAAAAATAAAGTTAAATTCCACATGGATAAAGTTGCGGGTGCAGCTAGTAATATTATAAATAATAAGAGCATTTTTGTATTAATAACCCTAGAACTACTGCACCTTTTTGTATTTAGCTGTTTGAATAGTTTGTCATCCATATAGTTCCAGAGTGACATATAACCTATATGCATATTATCTCTTCTCTAATATATAAAATTCTTATATTACTGTGTTTGTAACAAAACTCTTTGTAAATGGTGTGACTGATTCTTATGAATTTTTATGTGTAAATTCATTAGGTCAGAGAATGGGATGTAATCTATTCTTGTACCCCTAAGTCATAAGAGTGGTGCACCACAATGTTTTTTTTCATATTTTGTACAAAATTTTTATCTTTATTCAAAATATGTTCATGGAGAGTCTTATTAGTTTACTGCTGAGATTTACACCCAGAATAGATAGTTTGTCAGTTTGAATTGGGCAAACACAATCAACCTATATGTCAACACATTTCTGACTGACTCACTAGCAAAGGAAACACCAAACCAAACCAAATATAATTTAAGATGCGCTGGTAGATTCGTCTCATGTCATGTTGCATTAAAATAAGCCCAGCGAAACCTGGGTATAAGGTAAACAATTAAGAATTATGTCTATGTCTACTCCATCTAGGATAGCAGTATGGTGTTATTTGTTTTATTTAATTACTTAAAAAAATACTGGCAGCTTGTAATAAGTTTTAGACATTTGCTTAAGTCACACCTAATCAGTATAATATTGTACACATCTAAATATATATAACTCAAAGGTGACTGACATAGTGATCTATCAACGTACAGCCCAAACTACTGGACGGATCGGGTTGAAATTTGGCATGCAGGTACTTGTTATGACGTAGGTATCCGCTGAGAAAGAATTTTGATTAATTCTACCCCCAAAGGAATAAAATAGGGGATGAAAGTTTATATGAAACTTTGTCAATTTTAAACCGATAGGGTTGAGACTTTGCATGCATAAAGCTACTATGACGTAGGCATCCAAAGGATTTTGATAAATTCCACCCCTAAGGGGATAAATTAACGCGAACGAAGTCGCGGGCAAAAGCTAGCTTACAATATAATCAAGAGGGTGATTATTTCATATAAAAGTCGGTTTAGTAATATATAATATATTTAGCTTTACTGTTTTACAATTTACATGTTTATTATTGAAGAATGTTATAGTAATTAATGTAATAACATTTTGTATACTACAATTTCGTTAAAAATATAGTTATTTGTATTTGATAATACAATTTATGTATATTTGCTAGGTGTCACACATAATTATAATAAAAATATGTAGTTGATGTAATAAGGAGTAACTTAGACTACTTTTATTTAAAAAAAATTAAAGTAAGGTTGCAAAATTCCACGCGGACGAAGTCGCGGGTACAACTAGTGATTAATATAATGCAGTAATTCTACAGGTCACTGCTTCCATTTGAAAAATTGATTGACCTTAAAGGTGCTTTATTCTTGATTCCTATGAGTTTAATGCCTGTATATACCGTATTTCTGACCGAAAGACACAGCGTGGGAAGGCATCCAGCAAGGTGTACCGACGGTCTGGTCAAGATCGCTGGAATGCATTCGATGCAAACAGCGTAGAACTGATCGTCATGGAGATCTTTGGGGGAGGCCTTTGTTCAGCAGTGGACGTCTTCCGGGCTGAAATGATGATATAGTATTTCTATAGTTTTCGATATTCATAAATCCAACTTGTTTGTCAAGCAAATTTGAGATTATATCATCAATTTGTATGATTAAACTGCATATTGTACAATAATTTAAATATGTAGGTATATTCAAAACAATGTATTTCTTTTTTTTGGTTACGACAACTCGTTAAACCGTTTTTTTAACCTGCGCTAACGGTATGCGCTGGCCGGTTACCAGTGGAGGATGATTGGATGAGCATTAAGTTAGGTCAGCTAGCCCATCTCAAATTAATCAACGACCATTATGGTTTCCAAGGAGACCGTATGGAGGTCAAGCTGATAGTATATATTGCTGACAATATCTCCATTACAAGGGGCGAAAGAGATTTGTTAGTAATGTGGACTGATGACCCCTATTGATAGCAAAGTACCATGGCAGATTTACCTCCAGGCGGTTCATCTTGAAAATCGTCATGATAAATTTCTGGTATTTGTCACGATGGACTAATTGCCTGACCTTATTTTATCCTCCACTGATACTGCCTGTTAGCGCAGTCGGGTGGACCATTTCATTATCATCCACAAAAAAAAAGATCCTATTGCTATGTACCATGTCAGTTTGAGATCCATAGCATATGCTGGTGGTCACTCTATTCTCCCAAATTTGAATTTAAATG